GGATGAATACGCTATAAGCTTCCACTTTGATGAAAAGCAAAACATCGTATTAGATGGATACAAACGATGTGAACAAGAAACATTCTCTAAGAAGGAACTTTCTGAAGCATATGTTCTTGCATCTAGGGAACATTTGAAGTCTCAAGATGATCAAGCTGAAGAAATAATTGATTGTTACCTTAATCGAAAGACAATTGGGGATAAACAAGTATTCTGTGTATGGAGAGATGGTGTTTTAGGCGAATTTGACGATCAATTGAATAATGACCAATTCAATTTAAATCCTATAAAGTCGTTCTTCCTTCAAAATGGAAGGATCAAGCCTAAACCCGTACGAAAGAAAGTTCAGAAGAGGCGATTTGTTGAACCTATACTACAAAATTTTAGTTTGGGGGAGAATTGCGATAAATCTGAATCCACAGAAACCACACAGAATCAATGTAATAACGAAAATACCTCTGAAATGATCAGAGATGATAATTGGAATAAACCTAAAAACTCTCAAAGAACTAGGAAGAGAATGGCTCGATATGAAATACTCAAAAGAGGAACTGAATCATTCCAAAGATCCCAACCGAGTTTTGAGAAAGTAAGATATGAGTCGAGGCAACGAAAGAAAGGAAAGGCCCAGGACTCGAAGGACAAGAAGGAGAATGTTCAGGCAGATGTAGTGACTGAACCTCCAATAAACAAACTTGAAGAACGTATTAAATTGAATCAGCAGGATAGATCTCCTATCAATTTAATAGATGAAACGAATAAACAAGTAGATAATGAAGCGATAGGAGTCGAGAAACCAATCAACTTGAATACAGAAGAAGTGTTTACGAAGTATAAACCAGTTGATAAGAAGGTTAACCCTATAAAGGCAACGTTACCAGATGAATTTCGAATTAAAAGACACATTCATGGTGATCCGTTATTGGAACTACCTGAACTGTCGAAACATCCTAAACCGTTTGTTCCTACGGGAAGATATACGGAAGAGAGGAAAGAGATTATAGACAAGAATCATCCTGAAGGATTTTTGTGGGAACAAGAAAGAGATCTTATGCACGAAATGATGTGTAAACAGGAAGCAGGTTTTGCTTGGGAACCAAGTGAAGCTGGAACCTTTAAAAATGAATTCTTTCCACCTGTGAAAGTACCTGTAATTCCACATGAACCGTGGGTTGAAAGGAATATACCTATTCCGCCAGGTATCTTCGAGGATGTGTGCAAAATAATTAAAAGTAAAATTGACTCAGGAATATACGAACCATCGAATGCTAGTTATCGTTCGAAATGGTTCTGTGTCATTAAGAAAGATGGCAAGAGTCTACGATTAGTACATAGTTTGGAACCTTTGAATAAGGTTACCATCCAACACTCAGGCGTACCTCCTGCAACTGCAGATCTAGCAAGATCCTTCAGCGGAAGATCTTGTGGAGGAACCTTAGATTTATATGTTGGATATGATGAACGAGAATTAGATCAATTGTCTAGAGACATGACGACGTTTCAAACGCCGTATGGACCACATAGGTTAGTAAAACTACCTATGGGGTGGACGAATTCTGTACCTATATTTCACGATGATGTGACCTATATTCTACGAGATGAAATACCTCACGTAACAATTCCTTACATTGATGATGTACCTGTAAAGGGACCATCAACTCGATATGAATTACCAGAAGGAGGTTACGAAACTATTCCAGAAAATCCTGGAATTAGACGATTTGTTTGGGAACATTTCCAAAACATGAATAGAGTAATACAACGAATGAAATATGCAGGTGGAACCTTCAGTCGAACCAAAGCGTTTCTTTGTTGTGAGGAAACAATTGTCGTAGGACATAGATGTACCTATGAAGGCAGTATGCCCGAAGAACATATTGCTCAAGTAGTTCTAGAATGGCCTTCATGTCATGATAAGACTGAGGTTCGAGCATTCCTAGGGACTGCAAGTCAATTGAGAATGTTCATTGCGAACTTTGCTAAGAAAGCAGCTCCTTTGACTAAGTTGACAAGTAACGTTAACGAGCTTGCCTCGTTTTTGTGTGAAAGAGAAAGGAAGGAATCTAATGGGCACTCCAACCAACCAATCTAATACACAATATGCGAGTTCACTGCTATCAAATTTATTTAATAGCAAGGGGTAGCGTTGGCAAAGGTTCCGCAAAGCTTTGAGAGCTAAGTAAGAAGCTTTGATCAATCAATTTGAATCGTTCTAAGGATTTGATATATTCCTTTGATCAAGGTAGATTCAGCACGATTTGTGCTTTGGTTTGTATTGATTTGGGTATATCAAGAATTGGGGGTTTGAATCTAAGTAAATTAAAACCGAAACACACAGACCCCTCGGAGGGCTAGAACTATGTGCTGGCACAACCACACAGCGTGATTTGCCCTTAAGACCAACGACTGATCCTAAGTTCGAAGAATACCCAACAACTGGATAGACTTCTCGCAGTCACAAGGAGCAGAACACGACGTTCCTATACTCACAAGTGCCGGGCCCGAATGGCTGCTAGCGAAGAGGTTTCAGTCTGGCGGGAGTGTGTCTTTCCTTTTTACGGATTAGCACTGCAACGTCGTCCCAAAATCACTTGTATTCCAGATACATCGGATCGCTATTTATACATACAGAATATAGAGTCGCATAGTACAATTAATTTAGTACCATAAACGTTCGGAACCGCAAGGAAACTTCTACACTCAGTCAGATACCATTTAATTTGAATCTACATGTCCTTATTTGGTCCATATTGGTTCCAAGATTCTAGTATACCTCCAAACATAGGTAGGTACTTCAATATTCATTTAATTTAATTGTTTTTCGAGAATGACTCGAATGGTGTTCAACTGTCATTGCGGTTCAACACTTACTTCGATCGTTTGTCATCTCGTCCGGAGGCAAATCAGCTCTCCTCGATTCTAATCCTATCAATCTGATTCATCTGGATTAAACTAATTGCTTCTCTCTTTCAACAGACACCCATTGTGCCTATACTCAATCAAGGGAGTTACACATAGTATTCATTTAATTGCATTCTTCAATGTTTTCTACGTCAGGACTCTTTGACATTCATTTGATATGTCTTCGGAGCCTCGCAGTCTTTCGATCGTTCTTCTAGTCATTTTCCTCAACCATGCAACTTGATTGGTCTATTAGACTAAATCGCAGTCCTTTAGATTAATGCATGATCTTGTTCTAGAAGGAGTATTTGATAATTCCTGAGTTCTAGAAAGTCATTTCGAGTCAATCCTCGGTTCATGGTCACTTGAGTAAGTTCTTCCAAACTCCTGCCAGTGTAAGGTCCAATAAGAATACCCTTGGTATGTCATACGTAAATGGTCATCCTTCGGATGTAGTCCGAGTCTGGTATAATCCTGCTTGACAAACAGGTAGACTGCTATCCGTAGGTAGTATCGGGGATGGGTAAACTAACCAACTTGTGGTAGTATGGGTATATGGTCCCTTCAACTTATTAGACTGATTCAGTATCGACTTTGACTGTCAATCTGGGTCTCAATTACAGTCCTCTTGATACAAATCTATACGTGAAAATGTCACAATTCACAGCATAGACGTCTAGCCAAAATTTAGGCGTGTCACCGATACTACCTTCGGATAGCAGTCTACCTGTTTGTCAAGCAGGATTATACCAGACTCGGACTACATCCAAAGGATGACCATTCACGTATGACATACCAAGGGTATTCTTATTGGACCTTACACTGGCAGGAGTTTGGAAGAACTTACTCAAGTGACCATGAACCGAGGATTGACTCGAAATGACTTTCTAGAACTCAGGAATTATCAAATACTCCTTCTAGAACAAGATCATGCATTAATCTAAAGGACTGCGATTTAGTCTAATAGACCAATCAAGTTGCATGGTTGAGTAAAATGACTAGAAGAACGATCGAAAGACTGCGAGGCTCCGAAGACATATCAAATGAATGTCAAAGAGTCCTGACGTAGAAAACATTGAAGAATGCAATTAAATGAATACTATGCGTAACTCCCTTGATAGAGTATAGGCACAATGGGTGTCTGTTGAAAGAGAGAAGCAATTAGTTTAATCCAGATGAATCAGATTGATAGGATTAGAATCGAGGAGAGTTGATTTGCCTCCGGACGAGATGACAAACGATCGAAGTAAGTGTTGAACAGCAATGACAGTTGAATACTACTCGAGTCATTCTCTAAAAACAATTAAATTAAATGAATATTGAAGTACCTACCCATGTTTGGAGGTATACTAGAATCTTGGAACCAATATGGACTAAATAAGGACATGTAGATTCAAATTAAATGGTATCTGACTGAGTGTAGAAGTTTCCTTGCGGTTCCGAACGTTTATTGTTTTAAATTAATTGTACTATGCGACTCTATATTCTGTATGTATAAATAGCGATCCGATGTATCTGGAATACAAGTGATTTTGGGACGACGTTGCAGTGCTAATCCGTAAAAAGGAAAGACACACTCCCGCCAGACTGAAACCTCTTCGCTAGCAGCCATTCGGGCCCGGCACTTGTGAGTATAGGAACGTCGTGTTCTGCTCCTTGTGACTGCGAGAAGTCTATCCAGTTGTTGGGTATTCTTCGAACTTAGGATCAGTTGTTGGTCTTAAGGGCAAATCACGCTGTGTGGTTGTGCCAGCACATAGTTCTAGCCCTCCGTAGGGGTCTGTGTGTTTCGGTTTTAATTTACTTTGATTCAAACCCCCAATTCTTGATATACCCAAATCAATACAAACCAAAGCACAAATCGTGCTGAATCTACCTTGATCAAAGGAATATATCGAATCCTTAGAACGATTCAAATTGATTGATCAAAGCTTCGTACTTAGCTCTCAAAGCTTTGCGGAACCTTTGCCAACGCTACCCCTTGCTATTAAATAAATTTGATAGCAGTGAACTCGCATATTGTGTATTAGATTGGTTGGTTGGAGTGCCCATTAGATTCCTTCCTTTCTCTTTCACACAAAAACGAGGCAAGCTCGTTAACGGTCTTCCCTGCCTCAATATGCATGCAGTGTGTCACTCCAACCGATATATTTCAACTGCATAGAATACTTCCAACACCACCTTGTAACGTAGATATAATTGATAATCAACTGGCAATACCAGTTTTTTAGGTTTTTTGATTTCACTGGCTATAGTAAGTGGTTGTAAAATCAAATTTTAGTGGCAACGACAGTGAGACTACAGTAACTAACACACTGCAATGTGAAGGCGCGCTCCGGTTGGGGCTAGCTATGCTAGCCCCAGCATAACGGAGTGGGTCTGAACATTGCCACACAATCAGCACACTTCGTTAGGGGTTAGGTGCCGCCGAAGGCGGCTTGCGCGAAGCGCAGTTAGGGGTTAGGTGCGCCGCAGGCGCTTGCAGATATTTAAAGCATCAAATGAAGCTTTAGAGTGCAGGCCTAATATTTGATGCACAGAGGAGGATAATTACCAATAATGAGGCAGGGTTCTTGTGTGCATATGGTGCAAGTGGTTCCAGCATCAGCATTGTTGTTGTCCTTTCTACCTAGAGTTCTTGGGTTCAATTCCTGCTGGGGTTGTCCATTCTTTTTGACATTATTGATTGCCATTATCTCGTAATATTCTTCTAAATCGGGACACATCATGTAATACTGTTCCGAATATGGACGTATCTTGTGTCCAATGACCCTGTCAGTGATTATTTACAATATAACCACTGACTATAGCCAGTGAAATCAAAAAACCTTAAAAACTGGCAGTGCCAGTGTATTATTTACAATATCTGTGTTATGGGCTCCCAACACCTCATGCACATACTTTGCCAGCAACCCCACGACCCTCTTATCTGCCAGTAACTCCCTAAAGAGCTCCCATCCATCCCCATAATGCCTTGCAAAAATGGGGTATCTCCTGTATTACCCTTTGCATAAAGGCTTTCCTCAGCTGTATGACCTTGCAGCTGTTGCTGCATTCAAACAAAACATGTGCCCCATCTTCCACTTTTTCTCTACACAATCTACACAGTCTTTTATCATGCTGCACCATTGGTTTGTTCCTCTCTGCCCACCTTAATCTCTCCACTGCTAATTTGTGGTTGCTTGTTACCATATCAATCAAGGATCTTCTATGTTCACCTATTGGTATCCTCAAGTAGTGTCTAAAGGCCAGGGTCTTTACAACCATTTTTTTTGTCTTCTTGTCATACTCTCTTCTATCTCTGAGCACATCCCTTGTCTTGTTTGATGTGTCTACCTTTTCTTGAATATCTTTCTCCATTGATTTCTTAACCCTCTCCATTACCCCATCAATGTGTTGCACAGTCAAGTCCTTGAATTTTGGTATATTCCATACCACCCTGTGAGGTAGTCTGTCTAACACTTGTACCATTTCCATAAAGACTGAGTTCTTCCCCTGCTCTGCCAGTTCATATGCTTGTCTGCATGCCTTCCATGCTAAGTGGTCCCTCCTCAACTGCACCAAATACTTCAGATTCTTCAGGAACAGAATAATTCTTCGATATCGAATTGGCCATAGGCCTGTTTCAGAGAATAATAGAGCCACCATTGATTTATCATTCAGTCCCAACATCCTCCTAATGAAGTAATGCTGTACACTCTCTAATTGCTTTCTTCTTACATCATAAATGTCCACTATCACTTCTGCCCCATTTTTCAGATAGGGATCAACCCTGCCCATGTACAGCAACCATAGGTCCCATATTGGAATATTTTCCCCCACAAACACCTTTGCATGTAGTACTGCTCCTGCAGTCTTTTTTGCTTTCTCAGCACTCTCCTTGTACTGCTGCTGATACATGTCAACTCCTGTTGTCTGGTGCCAGATTCCCATGTACTTCATCTCTTCCTTCTTTTTCAACCTTTTGCCATACAGAGTAAATGGCAAGCCCTCTGTCTCCTCCTTTCCATACACTGCATAAACACACTTTGGAACTGATGCAATAAATCCAGTCTGTGCAGAATATTCTCCAAATTGGTTGAGTTTGGATTGAAAGCTTGTAGGGCACATTGTAGTCATTAATACATCATCTGCCTGTTCTGTATGGTTGACCACTTTGTCATATAATACCACATCCCCTGGGTGCTCACTAAGTCTGAAGTCTGCAATTGCTAGATTGAATAGCATAGGTGTTCCTGGGTCCCCAGTCCAAGCTCCAATATTTGAAGTAAATGCCTCTGAGAAGGAATCTGCCACCTGAACCACATTTCCCAACTTTTGGTACATTAGCCGCAGCCAATCAATCAGTGGGCCCCTGATGCCCATTTTATTCAGCTTCATCCACATCATTGGTCTATTTGTTAGTGGGAAGGCGTGTGTCCAATCCATGTATGCAACATATAATGGCTTTCCCATTGCCTTAGCTGTGTCAACCATGGTCTTGAGAATAAATGGATTATTTGTGGTTCGATAACCCGGCCGAAACCCATTCTGGGTTGATGGCAGTAAATCCTGATCCTCTGCATATTCCCTCAACCTTCTGTCGATTATTAATGTGAGCATTTTCAGAAAGCAACACTCTAGCACCACCAGCCTATAGCTTGAAGTAAATAGACAAAGAGGGGCTGTTGTATATGACCACTGGCTCGCTAGTGGAACTTATTTTGGTATGTATACTGCTAGGAAATTCTGTTAATCATCATCTTTTTGGTCCTTGTTAATTGACCTTTCGACGCTACCATAGGACCTCTCTATGCCCTCTTGTTTGGTAGTATCTCTGTGGCATTGATGAGGCGATATCCTTCCTATGTTACCGCCTGGATACCGTGCAGCGTGGAAATATAATCAGATTCCAACGCTTACCACCTGGCTTGGAATTTAATTCTGATTAACCTGTTTTCTCAACTTCGGCGCTTAATTTGCAAATACTCAAAGGAGCTTACAGCTCCTACAAGGGCATAATATGTGCTTGGAATCTGCCAGTTCAACAATACTGCTATGTAGTACAAGATTACAAAAACAAATACGTACATACATATTACATTGTACATGTTCCATCGGATCTCACTTTGTGTCAATAGCACCAACTTCGTACAAGTACGTTCCAAGAAGTTTGGTCTAACGTTCAGGCAAAAACAAAAAAACAAAAAAGTTAACTGACTATCGGAATAATCGACTTGTACTAGAACTCACTCCTTCAATGAAATTGGACCGATCAAGTTTTTCATTTGTAGAGCTGTAGTGGGAATGATATTTAGAAATACGTTGGATCGAGAATCTGATTCTCGAAATTGTGCTTACTGTGCACCATCGTCACCACGGCCCATGGGAAGTAGCAGTACATTTACACCAAGGGCCTCAGCAAAGGTGAGTGTAACTGGAATAGATCCTCCCTCGCGAGTCATATCGGGATCCTTATTGTATATAGCCTGAAACAAACAGATTAAATGATAATTGGACTGAGAGATAACATGTATTTGCCTTTGTAGCAGTCCTTGCAGCCTGGAAGTTCCAGTGGTTGATATCCGTGACCCACGGTTTACCACCATGCAGTTCCTCGAGTTCAAATTTGTTCTTCGATCCAAGTTTGGCGAATTCGGACTCAACGTGAGCTTTTACTAAGGGGAGAACGTTTTCTGGTGTTTGAGGTGGTACCAACCTGAAAGGATGAAAATGTAAGTATTATCACACATACAAAGGGCCAATGATTGATACCGGATACTGAATTTTCCGGAAACTTTGGCTGGGATAACAGTCTTAGCGCCAGGGCCGTAGAAAGCTCCTTCAATGCCGTGCAAGGACAGGCTAGGCATCCTCATACGACCCATCAGGACTTCAACTTTATCTGTTGATAAAGCAATACTTGCACCAGCGGATGCCTCAACATCGTCGATACTATAGTCAAGCGCCTCGTACAGTTTTCTGTGAAAAACCTGTTTAGATACCACGAAAGGTAAGCCTAATTAAGCCTGATCTACATACCGCTCTTCGACGTCGGCAGTCGTAATCATTTCGTCTACACCCGGAATGAGTATTTTTCCGTTTACGTCGACGAGTGTACTCATAAGTTTGATGAGATCCGTCATAGGCTCATGGACGGTGCGTCCAAAGACGCCAGAGTGTAAATCCCTAGCAGGACCGGTGATATTGAGTTTGTAGTAAGACAGTCCACGAAGACCATAAGTAAGAACCGGTGTACGGGTATTGAGCCAATAGTTGTCGGACTAGAGATATGCGAATGAGAAGCAATTATGGATTGGAAGAGCTTACACAAGACTCACGATGCAAACGCAGTCAACCCCGTCAAACCACCCACCCGGTTTAGATTCCCTTTCCACAAGCTCATCTAGACCTTCGCTTCCATTCTCCTCCATGCCTTCAAAGCAGCATCGGAAGTTGACTGGAAGTTCTTTCTTATTGTCGTGATGATACTGTAATGTGTTTAACCAGCCAAGGACTGGGCCTTTGTCATCGGATGAGCCGCGTCCGACTAGTTGTCCATTGGGTTGCGCCGTCAAGACAAAGGGATCGGTATTCCATCCGTCAGATAGGTTAGCCTGGGAGAAAGATAAGAACAGAAGGTTTCACGAGTGGTTTTGGGAACAGTTGATTAATACCGGTTGAACGTCGAAGTGACCATAAACCAAGATCGTCTTCTTGTTCGGATTGTTTCCCAATCGCCCTAGAACAGCTTTGGGAAGTTGCAACTCCTGACCGTCCATGATGTGCTTCCCAAGATCTACTTGCTGAATTTCGACGCCGACAGCCTTGAATTGCTGGGAGATCCAATCGGACATTTTGAAGACTTCTGAACGATAGGCTGCATCTCCGCTCACACTGTCGCTCCGTGAGTGAATTATTTCAAGAGATATCGTTGGAGTAACCCACGATTTGATGGAAACAGCCTCAGAAAGCCTTTTGATGAAGGCATCGGCATTGTTGTCAACAAAGTCTAGAAATTCTTTGGGTGTTGCTGACATGGTTGGAGAGGGAGAAGTATATCGACCCGATGTACCGGAATCACTGATTACTGTAACTTTAAGCGCCCAGGCTCTACTCGAGTACTTATTCCACGATGCTGGATGACTCTTCAGGTTGGGGAGAACCTGAATCTTCTGTGAGCTATATTTTGTTAATCTTTCAGCGCCCCTAATGTATAGTCCAACTTGAGGCGCCCTAAAGCGCCGCCAGAAACAGTCCGTGACGACTGGGAAGACGACGACGACGAGGATGAGCCTCAGGAGGAGAAGAACAAGAAGATATGGCACAAGGCGTAAGAATAGTATTTCAATACTTGCTGAAGTGTACCAATCCCAAATTGAACAGCAACCGTGAGGCTGCTGCGCCCATGCCAACCTTTATCGTATCATCTTCAGCAATGGCGTCTCCTCCGCCCATTGCTGCATTTCAGCCGGCGTTCAAAATACTTAAGCGACCGGTAAACAGCTCCGAAGGATCTTCTTCACCTCCATTTTCCCCTCCGAAAGACTCCCTGGAAGATAGGGAAGCTCGTTATCAAGTTGCTCGAAACAGAATTTTTGGTGTCACTACCAGTCCAACGGCTTCTAGCTCTGATACAAATTCAATCCATCTTGTTGCGAAAAAAGACGTTGTCGTCATTCGCAATCCACGAGGACCGGACGAAACTCCTTCCACAGACACAACTCCTTCGAAGGGTTTCAATGATAGACGTTCAAAGACGCCACCGAGTTCGGCTTCCATGGAGAACCAATAGTAGCTTGATGTTGTCGGGGTCAGCTCAACCTGAATCTGTATAAGTATCTGTTGTATGTTGATTAGTAGTATTTTAAGTGTATCAGAGTCGTTTGACAGCTTTCTTTGTCTCTGTATCTTGTGAAAAACTCAACTTTCTATGACAAACGCCTTGAAGCTCCCTCAATCCTCCTCAACACTGGGTTGAACTTTAGGCTTCAACCTAGTCTTAGTTTAGAGGTGGATCCGCAGGGACGAATGTATCCAGGGATGCATATTTTTATGGCTCTGCTCTGTCATTGGGGATGGTCCGGAATCCCTTGGGCCTCCAGGGAACATGTCCAACTAGTCTCGCAAGCCAGAATTCACGAGAGTGAACAAAAAACGTTCACTCATATGCCCAACCACCTCCTACAAAGATAGTTGATTGCAGTAATTGCAGGAGCCCCATACACGAAAGGTACCAAGTAATAAGATTCTCAGGTAGCTAATCCTCTACATTACATTCTCGTCGGATATCTCGATGGAGGCTCTATGAGAGCTGTATGTCGTTGATCAAGCGTGCAGTCGAAGGTGAACAAGTTGATCATGGATTTCAGGCTTTGCGGAGATGACGTTGCAGGGTAGAAGACAGAAAATCGCGAATTAAGATTTTCAGTACAAGAACGCAACAGTATACATGTTAAGAACCTGAACAAGAGATAGAAAACGAAAGTAGCGGAGATAATGGATTCTAGCTGAGCTGTCTGGAGTCTGGATAGTGATCCAATAAACAGGTAAAAGAAAGAGCTGTGCATATTATGACAAGCCACCATCGTACGCGAAAACGTTATCGTTATCAATACACGATATTTCTCCAATTTGTCCTAACCTCGCAGGGAAAGACAGTCTGGTCTCATTCCACTGGATTCTTGGTTCGTCCTACATGACCTAACGGCCAACGGCTACTATCGGTATTGCCGGACAATTATTGCCGACAAAAAATGAATGCCGAGAAACATTCATCGCTGGAAGCAAGAAACTCCTGACTTTATTAAGAGATGCATCCTAATTTTTATTCGGTGAGACGTTCCCCTGAAATCATCCATTTGTTCCCCAAATTGACGACATCGACGGCATAGCTTGAGAAGAGTATATAGCGGGGTCATGGAAGGATAAGTGTCGCGTGGAATTCTGAGCTGATTCTAGAACCGGAGGCTCGGAGAGCAAATAGGAAGATGGCAGCATACCACTAGACCCGGAATAGGCTACACTGGAATTTTGAGGTAGAGTATGAGGGAGAAGAGGCGCGTCCAGGGATGTAGAAAGTGCCCGTTGATGTCCTGGATTTGTGAGCGGATATGTCGGATGAGAGGCGATCGTGGAGGAGGGTAAGATACCAAACAGTTGACGTTGGGAATTCTGATTCGCTGGATGTGTCCAAATAGATTGTTGAGAGGTGATATCCTGAGAACCAGAAAAGTTGTGCTGCCGAGTCTGAGGCATGAGGGTCATTTGAGGTCCGCTAGCGAGATGACGTAGAGGCTTCTCATCCCGGGAGGTGGACCAGATGTTAGTTCCCGGACGATCGAACAAGAACGGCGAGCGCGGAGTCAAGGAATCAGAGATTGCTCTGGAAGGTGATATATGACTTGGACTCATGAAACCTTTGAGTAAATCTTCAGCCGTGGTTTTGTCTACAGGCGAAGATCCATCATGGCCTTTGATAGACAGGGATAAGTTGGGGGGCACATCTGGGTGCATAGGAGAAGTGGACGGTTCTGCAGGTGGTAGGGCGGCAGGCATGATAGACCCAGCTACTGGATTCTGGGGAACAATACGGACATCGGCGACAAGTTGAGCCAACATTGACGAATGATCTAGCGAAGCACCACTTGAGGTTGTTGTTAACGCGATGACATATCGAACAAAGTATCAACAATACCGTGGTTTCGGGTCCCAGACAATTTGATCTTCTTCGTCGGTACTATCCTCCTCATTTAGGTGACCAAAGGCGTCCCGAAGTAAAACATCATCAGTGCCGGACGTGAGTTCAGTCATAGTCTCATCTTCTGGATCAATTTCTGCGGTACGAAAAGACGGAATCGAACCATTTCCACTTGGTATTGGTTGGACCTGGGATTCGACGCCTTTGAGAACAAATTGATTGCCATATAAAGCGATTGGCGAATTCTACGGGCGAATGAATATCAGCCGAATTCTAGTTCGGGGTACACGATTGAAAGTCTAACCTCCATTTGAACCAAGGCCTTAGCATCAAGTAAAATATCCTGGATTCTCATCAACTGCACTTCATTAGGATGCACTTCACTTTCTTTATGCGGTACATTGTCGTTAGAGCTGCCTGTGTCTCTTTTCGGATCTGCGTAATTTTTGAGTGGTCTAAACCCTCTGATTTCTATATCTTCCGAAAGCGCAAAGCTCAATTGTGGTAGCTGGTCTACGGGAAAGGCACGCGATAGCGCTCGCAAGAAGTCGGCGTACTTCCGCCAAAAATCGATGGTCTCGACGGACGAGGGGCTGATAATTCCTAGTGGGACGTCTTTTGCCTTTCCTTTTCCTTTGATTACATCCTGTGCTTCGGGATCGCTCATAGCATATTTGTAGTTCGCTCTGAGCCATTTCCCAGCGATTCTCATTGCAGGCAGCGTTCTCCGGAATTCTACAATGAGCCGCGAGGCAAGGTCCGAATCTACAGGAGGCGGTTCTTGCAGCTTATCGATGCCAACCTCAAAAAGTGCTCGATATAGAGACAATAAGTGGGTGAATATCCGAGCCTCGATGACCTGGGAGAAAGAGGAACTCGGGCGAAGTTTTAACTTGTTACTCGATGTCACCGAGGAGTCCTGATGCATCCGAATCCTCCAAAGTGCTCCTTGTGCAAGAATGACGAGCTGTGTGATAAAGTCTTCAGGCAAATGCCGTTCTGACACCAGATAGTAAAACTTGTTGAAGATGTTGCCAGCCTGCTTAACCATAAACGAGTCATCACTATGGAAAGCCAGCCATTACTGAGAGGTCGATCCGATGAACTTTTCAAACACATACTTTTCGTCTCCGAGCCACCATAATGCATGTAGAACAACAATTTTTCGTTTGAACTCTTCGATCTGCACTTTTGGCACATGAGCTAATTCGGACGGGATGTCTCTGCCGGGCGTATTCCGCTGTTCCAATGCCTTGCCGAGCAAACTGATCATATTTTCAGATGCGGTTTCATAAGGATGAGTTACGCAAAGGGACCGGTAGTAGTGTACCAACGAGGTGAAGGAGTCTTTTTCGTATGACGCTATGATGGCAAGTTGATGTGAGGGATTTCCGTCATGGGGCGTGAGGAATTTGGCCTGTTCGTAACAAGTACGTGCTTTCTCAAAATTCCTGGGGCGAGGTATGTCGGAATTAGAATTGCCTCTCTTGCTTTTACGCGCTCCATCGTTGGATCCGACTTTGGATCTGCCACCGGCTTCGTTGTATTGCTCTCTGTAGCGGGCAATATCCCCGAGACAAACCAGCGCTTTGCTTAAGATGGTCAACCGACTGTCGCGGTCTGCAGCAGTCGGAGGAGGAGAGAAGGTCGAAGTAGGAAACTGGAAGTGATTGCGACCATTGTTTGGTGTTATCTCGTCTCCAGCACCGGCATCTTCTGACAAAATACCAAGAGTGACAAGAGTGTCATGCGCTTCAATCAATTCGAACGACCGATGATATCGAATGACAAACTGAGTCCAAAATTTGTCTTCCTCCGCCAAGAATTGACGAAAACGTTGTAGTAGCTTTCGATATTCGACAGGCCCATGGCGAGATTGGGTGTTCGATTGCTGCCCTTGTGCTGACCGCTGGATAGCACGGTCGATACGGGTCAAACGTTGCTTGTACTCCGATATAAATATATGGGATGTCAGCATCCACAGGTGAGTTTCAGCATTTTTAGACTCCTGCGCATAGGGATGGACCAGTAATAGACTCAAATATCGTCTCCTTACGCTACAGAGCAACTTTTTAGAAAGCTTGATCAGACCCCATTATTTGAACGGAGACTCACTTCTTTCTCTGGAAATCAATTTCTCTATCGAATGGCTCTCTTGTTTTCAATAGCTCCTTGATACTTGCCTGACTTCCTTTCGCCTCCCTGTATCACCAATGAGCCATCCTTGAGCAATGGTGGGACTGAGACTGACCGGAGAATCGTCGACGGTTGATCAGACATGTTTAGACTTTCCTATCCTATCCGGTCTAAAGCACCATCTCCTCAAGTTATGACCGTATCAGAGCCGTATTAAGAGCACAAAAAGGAATAGAACACCCTGACAGTTGAAGGTTAGTTGCTCGAGATGATTCAAGCTCTGACGAATCATCAGGCGTGACTCATTTCAGGTGACCATTATCCTTGACCAGTTGAGATAGAGGAATGAAATCCTCTTCCTCATACTACATACATGACGAGTAGCCAGGTTAGGTATATATGATAGATAGATATTGGTGGTCCAGGACTAGATACGCATTACAGTTAAAACGTAGATGACAGTGTATAGTGTATATATACAGCTGATTCCGAAAGTCTAGGACAAAATCAGCCTCCTCACATCGTTGGAGCACTGCTTAGGCTTGTTTGTAGATATAGACAAAATAACAAAGATTACAGCTGATTCCGAAAGTCTAGGACGAAATCAGCCTCCTCACATCGTTGGAGCACTGTTTAGCATTATTTGTGGATGTAGACCAGATAATGAAGATTAACCCAGAGATGGATGCAAAGAATTGTTGTAATTACATTGTTGGAGTAAACTAGGGCTGCCTCTATGTAAGAAAGACAGAGCTGCTTGCTCGGATTTGTTTCTGAAAGAGGCTAGTAACTATGCGCTTAAGCTCGTCCACAAACAAGGCTAAATAGTGCTCCAACAATGTGAGGAGGCTGATTTCGTCCTAGACTTTCGGAATCAGCTGTAACCCAGAGATGGATGTATAGAATTGTTGTAATTACATTGTTGGAGTAAATTGGGGCTGTCTGGATGCAAGAAACTTGCAGAAAGACGGAGCTGCTTGCTCAGATTTGTATATCAAAAAGGCTAGTAATTATGCGCTTAAGCTCCTCCACAAACAAAGCTAAACAGTACTCCAACGATGTGAGGAGGCTGGTTTCGTCCTAGACTTTCGGAATCAGCTGTAACAATGCAAACATGAATTTACAGAACTCAACCGTCACAGTAAGAGATTGTAGAAATGAATCGTAAGCCGTCGTACACGAAAATGTGGATCTACTCTTCATCAGAGTCCCCGCCGCGGCCAGGTCTGAATAGTGCAAGAAGCTCGTCCATTCCCAGACGCATGTTCCTGATCTTGTCACCACTAAGTGCAGCACGTGCGAGTTCGCGTTTTTTGTCCTGTAGCTAGATACAAAAATTGATCAATAGTTGAAGGCGGAGGAGGAAACTGAAAAATTGAGAAGGATACTGACCTCGAGAATACGATCTTCAACAGTACTGTCAATTTTGAGCTTGTAGATGTTCACGTCGCGCTTCTGTCCAAAACGATGGGAACGATCGAATGCTTGGTCCTGAATGACGGATTAAAGGTTGAGTAGACGTAGAATAACATGGTAATAGCGTAAGCAGACCTCAAGAGCAGGATTCCACCACAGATCAACAAGAATAACATTGTTGCAAGCCGTCAGGTTAAGTCCTATAGCCCGATTTCAAACAATGAATTGAAAATGGTAATGACCACCCACCAGTACTGCCAGCCTTGAACGAAATTAGAATGACTTTGATTGAATCGTCTGTTTTTATATCGTTGAGAGAACGTTCCCGTTCTAAAGGCTTCATAGAACCATCATCTAAATCAAACCAACTTATTACTTGATGCTCTGTACAACGCAGTGATACTCACAACGAACAAACTTGACACCACTCTCCTTCAAAAAAGGTTCCATAAGATCAATCATAGTGGTGAATTGGGAGAAGATAATGGTTTTTTCCTCTCCCGCTGACCGCTCGTCGATCTGCCTCAGTAACTTGCGGACCATCCTGATTTTTGCCGAGTCCGGACGATGGTCATTTTGCTGTTTAGACTTGATAACAAGGGAGGCACAATCATCACAATGCCCATCCAAAGTTTTGTTGGGAGTATTGAGAGCGGTAAGACTGCAATTGGTGAGCGACAGTCTGAGGAACACAATGACAATGGTGTCTTACTCTGCAGTGCACATTTTACATTTCTTGGAAACGTTTAATTGATCAAACGCAGCAATAAGATCGTCTCCATCCACATCTGGAGACCCTTTCTTGGCCGCCTTAGAATCGACAGCGTCGAGATCCTCTTTATAGTCTTTCGACACAAGGATCGGATGATTGCAGGCTACGGTCCCATTTTAGTCAGTAGCTACCCAATTTAGCATGAAAGCACTGACCCTGACGAAGACGCAGCAACAACAGCAACACGGACATGTAATTGGCTTTGACACCAGCTTTCTGCGCATCCTCGACGAGTTGCTCCATAACATCACTCATTTTTGTCTCCAGGTTAGTATAAAATTGTTGCTCCGATGGCGAGAAAGGACATGAAACGACATTGACCGTTCTTTTAGGCAGATTGATCAAAATCTTGCCATTGATCGTGTCGTCTTTGCGACGCCTTAGCATGATTTGTTTCAAAACGACCTGAATTCCGAAGACATCTTTGAATTAGAGCTATAGGGCAAGATAAAGATGTCAGGACCTGTAGTCTCTTCATGGCACGATTTGCACCCCTTCCATTTTTGACAGGTTTAGCGATTTGTTCGTTGAATCTCTCCCATACGGAGAAGGGTTTGATGCGAAGAAATTTTAGGAGCGAGTACAGTTCAGTAACATCGTTCTGCCTATGAGAATGCAATCAGAATATTCCTTTGTACGAAGGGAAGGATACAGATACAGACATGGGAGTACCAGTGAGCGCCCATCGAAACTTGGCCTCCAGCCCACAACAAGCCTTAGCGGCAGCGGTATTCCTATTCTTGATATTATGAGCTTCATCTACAAAAAGACATCAGTTCGAATGCATTTCATCTTCTGTTATTCCCTCCTCACCGAGAATTACTCGAAACCATTGCATATGATACAAAGCGTCTTTTTTTGCCTTGGTGGTCTTCTTGGCAGATTTTTTCAATGTTCGACCAAAATGTTCTGCCTCTGAACTGTCGCTGTCGTCGTCACTCGCAACCGTTTTCTTTGTTTTGACTTTACGTTGACCATCACCAGGATTGAAGACGCCATATTCCGACTTCAGTGTGTCGTAGGTTGTGATCACGATATGAGCACGTTTTAGCTTCCTGGGATCTTTACGAGCACGGTCGGGCGTTTGAAAACTGGATATGTACCAAGGTAAGTGTGTAATTACCTGAATCTCGGGAGGGCCCTTGATGTTTCACTACTGTGAGTCCTGTCGTGATCCTCTTAATCTCGTCAGCCCATTGTTGAACGAGTGCTAGTGGGCAAACAACCCTAGGTAGTGAATGGGTCAATTCAAACATGAAGAGAGCAAGGCACGATGACATACAAGGTGGCAGGATCCCACCCGTCCTCTTTGTCGCTCTTACGAGGACACCCTTCAACGATACGAGTCAAAGTCTGTATCGTTTTCCCAAGGCTACATCGCAATGGAGATGTGGTAAAAATATGGAAGCAACAAGTGCTTACCCCATATCATCAGCAAGAATGCCTCCCATACGTTTCAATTTTGGGTCCTCTCGGTCCCGCATCCACTTACGTCCGATAACCTGGTGATCGAGAAGCTTGAATTCGTCTTTGAACCCTTTCACAGTAGCATCGTCTGGATTGATCTCAACATCTACGTCTTGATTCATCGCACCACCCATCAAGTCGCGTAAAGCTTTCTCGGCATCTGCAGGGGAGATGAACCTATGTTCATCCTCCTTGAAGTCGGGAACCACCACCTCCTCGCCGTCCTTCTGCTCATCTTCATCTAGAGTCTTGACATTGGTCTCATACGGCTCAGAGCCCGCTCCTGAAAAGAAGGCGTTAGATGGATACGCCATGGTTTTGGTCGTCTGCGAAGGTTTCGATCTCGGAAGAGGTTGAGTTTGCTTATTGACGTTTGTAGGTTTCAATGGACGTGGACCAAGTTTATCTCGAGCCTCCTCCTCCTCATCGTCAGATGAAAGGATGACAATTGCGCCTTTTCTACTCTTGCCAGTAGCATCTCGAGCAGAGCTGGAACTAGAGGTGCTTGAGGAAGATATGCTCTGCATAATGAATCCATAAGGAGAGTTCACTGTGTTTGCACAAGCACGAACCGTGACGCTTGGTGTGCGAGATGCGGTAGCATCAGGGAAAAGATCTGCCCTTTGGGCTAGTAGACGTTGGCGACTGTCTAACATTGAGCACGAGACACAGAATTGACAAGTAGAATGCCCACATATTCTCCATGGGGTATCGTGTATAGTAGTAACCAAAAAAGAAGAGGGTGGGTTTGGTTGAAGAGTGGCGTCGCGACTATATTAGGTCACGTTATCAATTTGATTACTCATCGTTTGCTTCATATGAAAATTGTGTAAGTACAACTATAGTTATACATCTAGCGATGGCTGGTGCGATACACTTCAGGCATAAACTATTGTCAGTAAATAGATAAAAATGACCCATTCTGGTAGGCTGATTGGCGCTTAGAACACTTATTTAGGTTTCCTCTGGTTTCCCGCTTTCCTTAGTAAACACATCCTTACGATGGAGAGAGGTCGACCTCGTTCTCCCATGGTTTTTTCCTAGGCGGGGCAGTGGGACTACTAGTTAGAGATGCGGCCTAGAAACGAGGAATGAATCGTCAAACCGCAGAAACAACATGAGAGGAATCTTACGTTCAGATCCGTGCATATAGTTTTGTTATTCGGAATTTCATCCATTCTTCCTGCCTCAATCAAAGCCTGAATTTGTGCGAATGAAAGCGGTTCGGCATCGTTGGCTTCGACACCAATATGAGAGGTTGAAGCTTGAGCTGAGGTAGAAATGTCCCTCGTTGAATTCTTGCTTTGTTCATACGCTTGGACTTCGGCTACAGACAAGGAATGACCCAGTAAGCTGGACGTAAAAATCATGTATTCATCAGAAGATAGAGTAGTTATCGAGCGTACCGATTGAAGTAAAACACGCGCATGGAACGAATAGTGTCCTCCGGTACATCCGTGGAGCGATTAGTGCCAGCGAGAGACACTATGTCAGATAGACCTTTCTTGCAACAGCGGCTCGTAAATCCTGATTTTAGGACAAGGATAATGTAAGCAAAAGTACCTTGAAATTCGCATCCGAATCGAAAGGATAGGCGAGGTATTGAGAGAGAATAGAAGACTCGGAATCATTCGCGGTGCGAATCATCGGTGGAGATGGAGGGGAACTGGGGGAAAGCTTTGGAAAGCTAAAATGCAATTGCAATGACGTAATATTTTATCACGTCGTCTCTACGCCGACAAGTTCTTCATACGATTCAAAATCATCTACTGGTAGATCGTTTCTCCAAAATTCACTTGATTCAATACGCAACAGACCTTCAGCTTGGAGAGACTTCTTATTTTCTGGCACCGTCGTCAAATTATGGTGTTACTTTAAATATCTTCAAGTTCGTGCTAACTGCTTCTAGGCTGATATCCGTCGAACTTTGTGTTGGAGTCAACTAGCTATACCCAATACGTCGGCGCAATAGGTTCTTTGTATCGCACCGCTAGCAAGGATGGACCCTTCGATGATCATCACTAATCGTCCCCTCGTGTTTTCGATTATTTGCTTACCCGATGAGATTCGCCTATAAACAACGTTATTATGACCAGTATTTGCTCAAAGTGCACCACATCTCACTATGAGACTACCGGTCAAGTCTTCTGCCTTGCTTGCTATTGGCTTTTCGCTTGTGGCGGCAGCCTCAACATCACTTTCAGTTGACTCTCAGGCTTCCGTTGTGGTTATTCCTTCTACCGTCCGCAATGGCCTTACCGAAGCTCAATTTATCTCATCTACCCATGGTTTAGACGGACCTAAGCTGTCTAATATCAATTCCACTGCATTCGGAGAGGTCTGGTACTTTGACGCCGTCTCTGAAGATGGAAAATACTCCGTTGTTGCTTTTTTCTGGGCATCCCCCTCCCCCAGTCTGACGGCCCAGCTACAGAATGAAAAGATTCTTTCCGCACAGGTGATTGTCCGTGAGGACGATGATATCTATTCTGCCAATAGTGTTTTCGCCGAAACAGCAGAAATATTCACCAGCGCCAAAGGGACGAGCGGTCTGTGGATAGGGACAGGTTGCAGTTTTTCTGGATCCCAAAGTCTATCTACCTACTCAGTCAACTTCTCATCTCCCTTTGAAATCACCGGATCTATCATCTTGGAATCAGTGAGTTCAGACCAACTTGGAAATATCAAGCTTTCAATCTAAGTCTTCGATATAGGTTGCTCCTGCTCATTATAAGTGCTCGCCTGCCGAAGCTGGTGTCGATACGCAAATCCTACCCAACTTTGGCTGGGTTAATGCTGTCCCAGACGCTCAAACAACCGTGGACTTGAAAATCAATGCTAAAAACATCAAGTTCAAAGGCATTGGATATCATGACCTGGTATGTTAATTTTGAATTTTCCTTAGTCGTAATTACCGAGTACTCGCAAATATAGACTTGGAGCAATGCTCCCTTCTTCAGTAAAGCGAAAGGCTCACTATTTACAGAATACCAATGGGCGCATGGGAGGATTGGGCCATACTCAATCGTTTGGTTGGTAATCACAGGATCCGATGGTACCGACTTGACCAGCGGCTATGTCTCGAGGGATGGGAAGGTTCTCGGCACACCTTGCTCAAATGTGTCGGTCATTCCTCAGTTCAATACATCCACCAGGCAGATACGGAGATTCTTCGCCCAAATAGACTTGGGACACGAAGGAACCTTATATGCACAGCTTGATGTCGGAGGGATTCTGATTAATGATGCTGGCTTCGTAGCAGGCTCTGGAGAGCTCAGTGGTGGTTTAAGTGGCGAAACTTTCCGACACGCAGGAGTTGCCTCTTTCGAATATTACAAGTCTGTTCAATTGCCAGAGATGCTCTCAGGTCCTCAGTAAGTAGTTATGTTTGTTCCACTAAGTACAGAACCAGATATCAGCTGCGTACTTTTGTATCAACCATCTGTCTTTTCCTACTCAGTATTATGCATTAGAAATTGCAGATACAGATACATATTGTGCGTCAAATTCTTCGTACTACCTACTATAACTTTTCCTTCCGTTATTTTCGAAACTGAACAATCAAAATGTGCTTCAAAGAAAGCGAACGAAACTGAATCATTCCAAGAGCACAGGAAGGTAAGACGCATTATTTATACGATATATAGGTAGAGTGCGGTTCTATAATATGACAGAAAGGCCTATAGGTAGCCAATTGTCGAATCTATGTGATCCACTAGTAGTTACACCCTATACGTATTCTACACATGAATGTCTAAGCTGCGAGTGTTATGATCAACTCATTCTGGCTTAGAGTGGGAATTGCGTTGGGGACCTGATTCTACATCCTCCATCTTGACACGCTCGTAGGCAACAGTTGAAGATGCCAGAGATTGAGATTCAACATGTTTCACCCAGGTATAGTATATTGAACCAAGGAGAATAACAGCAATAGAGGAAGCTCGGCCGCTATAAATATAAATTTGTCAACAATTGGTGAGGAGGATCGGAAATTTCGAACATACGAAGTAATGATGTCGTGAAAGAGCCACATTCCGAGAACAGACGCAGCAACGCCACGGACCGCAGAAGATATCATATGTGTGATGGGTGAAGTCACCTTGATAGATAAGAGGCTTGCGATACTCATCATAAATCCTAGGGCGCCCTATGGAACTGTCAGACTTTTTTTTGGCATAAGTTGAGGTTTGCTAACTACACCTACCGTGATGATCGATCCCCAAATGAAAGTTGGGAGAGCAGACATCTGCTCACTGTTCCGCAATAGTTCATCAGCGCCAAAGAAGAGTTTCATGATTTCAGCTGTTTCGCCTGCAAGTAGAATTACTGGGATGAGGACAAGGGCGCTGAGTAAGTTGGTGTACCAAGAAAGCAAGAGAGCGCTGCCGTTGACAACGCTCAGGCTTTGTTTTATGACGACAGAATGAATTGCAGTGATTGCGGAGCTGACCACGCCGAAAAATATTCCGACGAGAGATAAAGGTGTGCCGTCGAGGAATACGCCAATGAAGAAGCCCATAGTGACAATACCACAGGAAAACAGGATGCGGAGCGAGGGCCGTGCATTGAGCATAATGAAAGAAGTACCGACAGTGAATGGAAGCACAAGTCCTCGTGCAACTTGGTAAAAGGACGCGTCGACGTATTTCAAGGTGTAGTTACTGAAGCTGTTATCTGGTTCTTAGAACCACGCAAGACTGACCAGGAAGAAAGCCTGGAATACCTTAAACCAATGACATTCAGGCTAACCATAGCGACCAGTCCCTTGCAAACATTGACATCAAATGTTAGTTTATCGGGAAGCATTTTCAGAGTGTCCGAGATGACGAAAAGGACGACGGCAATAACAAGTTGAGTGAATAAAAAGAAAAGTGGTGCTTCAGTGGTGTTGAGGACCCATTTGTTACTGTAAGGAGAGGATTAGAGATAAAGCACTTGCGGAAGAGGCTGCCACATACGCCATGACCATCTGTCATTTCCAAGGATATTTCAAGCACATTTGCAACATAGACTTCAAGTTGACTGACCGATAACGCTGCTACCAGGTAGAAAACGACAACTCCAGTCTGTTCAAGCAAGGAATAATTAGTACAGCATAAAAAAGAATGTTGACCGAGTCGACATACAACGAGACCTCTCGAAGGCGGCTTTTGAGCATTTTGAGAAGACATGACAGGCGCGAATCGCCTTTAGATAGACCGGAATATTAAAAAGAAGGGAACGACCACGTCGTGGATGGTAACAGAACTTTGGCGGCCGCAGTAAGCACGTGTTGAATGCCATTATTTGATTGATCGTCCCCAAGCGCGTCGCGTTCTTGCATCTCAACGTTCAATCCATACTCATCCTTATCATGCCACCAGCGACTCAAGGAACCGGTACGTCAAGTGATATCACTTCACATCCCCTTACTGACTCGCACTAGCTCATCCGCCTGAAGATACGTTTCGTATTCTACTTGCAACCGACAATCATATTGGATATAATGAAAGAGACCCGATACGCGGTCAGGACTCGATAAACACGTTTGAAGAGATTTTGCAGCTCGCAAGAAAGCATAATGTCAGGCTAGTTCTCGTATACTTTCTTACGTGAGGTCCAACTAGGCAAAATAGGTCGACTTCGTTCTACTTGCTGGAGATCTTTTCCACGAGAATAAACCATCGAGGGAGTCACTTTACAGGACAATCGCATTGCTTCGTGAATACACTATGGGAGACAAACCTATCCCAGTTGAGCTGCAAAGTGATCCAGATGAAGGAAAGGCCTATGGATTCTCGTATGTTTGTTTCTGCCACTTCGACTTCGACAAAATCCGCACTGATTCCTGTCTAGGTTTCCTGCAATCAACTATGAAGACCCAAACCTAAACGTTGGCATTCCCGTTTTCTCCATACATGGGAATCACGATGATCCTCAAGGCGCTGGAGCAGTATGCTTGCATTCCTTCATTTACATGTCTTCACTTTTAAATACGCAACTCAGGAAGGCGCCCTTTGTGCCCTGGACGTTCTTTCTGTCTCCGGTTTGCTCAATTACATGGGGAAGATAGATCTTCCTGTTGTAGATGTGGAAGCGACAAATACAGGCATAGCAGTACGCCCCATCCTTCTGCGCAAAGGCAAGAGCAATCTTGGTATGTATGGGATAGGTAATGTCAAAGATGCTCGAATGCATTTTGAGCTCAGAAGCAACCGAGTAAGAATGTTCATGCCAAGAGACAAAGATAACTGGTTCAATCTCCTCTTGGTTCACCAAAATCGGTACGTTCGCTTTCGTTGATACGTTGTCTGTCTTATAGCAATCAACTTTGTAGGGTAAAACATGGTCCTCAAGAATTTGTTCCAGAAGGCATGTTTGACGATAGCGTTGATCTTGTTGTGTGGGGCCACGAACATGATTGTCGAATCATACCAGAACCAGTAGCAGGGAAAAGCTACTACATTTCTCAGCCAGGTTCTTCAGTCGCTACCTCCTTAGCCGACGGCGAAGCTATTCCCAAGTAAGACCCAAGTACCATTGCGATCAACAACTGATATTTCTACAAAGGCATGTGGCACTTCTTACGATACACGACAAAGAATTTCAAATTGAACCGCTTCTACTTCGAACGGTACGGCCTTTCGTGATTGAAGAAGTAGTTCTCAGCGAAGTTGCCGACGAAGAGGGATTTGACCTCTCTGACCAAATTGAAATTTCGAAATTCTTGAAAGCCAAAGCGAATGCACTGATCGAGAAAGCACAAGATGAGTGGCAGGAGCGTAATGCCGAAATTGTCCGGGAAGGCGGCGAGGAACTCAAGCCTATGCTTCCACTCATTCGACTGAAAGTAGACACTACTGGCGTAAGCGAAATGTCCAATCCTATCCGCTTTGGTCAAGAGTTTCAAGGACGCATCGCCAATCCTCGGGACATGCTAGTCTTTCATCGGACAAAGAAATCTGCGCGTTCGGCAGCTTCCAAAATTTCTGCTGATGAGCCGGAGCTCAGCATCGATGACCCGGATTTGAGTGTTTCAGAGAAACTTGCCAAAGTAAGGGTGGCAACACTGGTGAAAGAATATCTTTCCGCTCAGGAGCTGCAGCTGTTGGGAGAAAATGGAATGTCAGACGCTATTCAGATGTTCGTCGAAAAAGATGACATTCATGCGATTCAAAGTCATGTTAATCGGTCGCTCAAAATGATGTTGAAGGCAGTTCAAGCCAACGAAGATCTCCAGGAGGAGGACTTAGAGGATAAGGTGATCTTTTCGTTTTCGTCCTGATCCACGTTGTTCATTGGCTTTACGATAGTTGACCAATATCAAAGAGCAGCAAGACAAAGATTACGTCGCCGGGAAAACCAAGTCGAATGCGAAAGGCAAAGGCAAGGCTAAAGCGAACGATTCCGATGCGCAATCTGAAGACTCTATGATGATGGATGTCGACACTAGAGGTGGTGGTTCAGAATTTGATGAGCCTGATTCTGAAGAAGAACCTCCGAAGAAAAAGGCTGCTGTGAAAAAGCCTGTTCCTGCGAAGAAAGCACCTGCCAAGAAGGCTACAAAAGCCCCGGTCAAAAAGACAACTCGAGGAAAGAAGGTTGTCGTGAGTTGGTTTTTATGCTTGATTAGCGTGTAACCAAACTTCGCAGGACTCAGACTCAGACGAAATCATTGAAATTCCAGACGATGATGAGGAGGATGAAGAAGAAGTAGTAGTAACAAAACCTACAAAGAGAACAAATCGAGCGGCAGTTCTCAGGTGTGTTCTAAAACCTCATACTCCATTTTGTCTTACATGGATCTTTGCTCGCAGTCAAAGTCAACCTAAAAAGGCCCCGGCGAAGAAAAAGGCTACAGCAGCTCCCAAACAGTCTCAACTCGCGTTCCAGCCGGCCGCAACTGGAAGATCCTCGAGAGCCGCTGCTTCCAAAGCTCGAGGAAGGATGGTTGTACGTATCAGCATCTCCTTGCATTATCTGAAAGACTTATAGCTTTCAATCGCATTAGGTTGATGACGACGACGATAGTGATTGAGAAAAGGCTCTCCCAAAATAATGCTTACATCCCATTTTTGCTGTGCTCTACTCTTCAATATTATTCTTGTAGTTACCAGGCCCCTTGTTCTTGTCTAGTTCTTTGCATACATAGTCACTGGTGTTTATGAACTTGCATAGTCATTTAGAGAGATTTTCATTTTCATAGGAGGGTGCAGGCATGATGCATAGCGGCTAGTTCTTAAAAGATGACCATGGTAAAGGAAAATATGGATACATCAGATAGTAGTCTCGTATGGCACAGGCACGATCGTCTGAGGGGCATTTTCTGAGGCGGATACCGTTCGGGACTCTCGGGGAAGGGCAGGGATACGGCGGAGGTTGATACGTTCTGCAATCGATTATTAGAAAGACTTCAATATCCGAGGTGTGAGAGTACCTACCTCCAGAGGCTTTGGCGGCGACGTGAGCTTCGTGATTGCTCTTGACTCGGTCCAAAAACTCCTGTCTGCATTTCGAATGACGAACGTGCTCAACACGTAGGTTGACACGCTTTTCCAGGTAGCGGTTGCCGACGACCTTGTACACAATCACACCAACGGCCGAGGGGGTGACATTGTAGACGATACCGGTTCGTCTAAAAGATAGTTTAGATCGTATCGGATTTAGGAAATTACAAGGGACACACCCGTGATAGTATTTGTGAGGCATACCCTTTTGTTGAGCCGCATTGGCTTTGATGTCGACGATGTCACCAACGCGATAGTTGATGAGGAAGGTAGACAATTTCACGGGGCCATGTTCTGAGGAAAATTATAACTCTGTGAATAATCCTTGCAAAATCCTTTCACAGCATTGTCCTCGCACCCTTGAATCCCCTCTTGAACATGTGGCGCGTCCGCGCGCGGTAACCGAATGAGTGAGGCATTTTGAGGGCTGGAAGGTGATTGAGACTAGTTGATAGTGACGACGAGCAAGATCTTGCCTACCGTCGACGAAAGCTTGAAAACGAAACCGGCAACACTCGGCAACGTACACAGGACAAAGATGCGTGGGAATGGTACTGTACAGCTGCACAGCCATTCTGTCCCACCACTCTCCGCCCAACTTTTGATATCTGTTCCCCGTCGTTCTTACTCTCCTCAAGACAAAAATGCCTAGGTATTTGATGTCGGCCCATACCTAGAATTTTACGATGTTAATGTGCGTTTTGCAGGGCTCCACGGAACCACAGCAAAACGTAAGGATTGTTCCAATATCTTCAAGATCCACTTCGTGTGGAGGGTTGCAACTGTGCTAATAAAGCCTTGCCCCATTATAACTTGTATCATACAGTTACAAGGTTCCTCGTCGACCTTTCGAATCGGCTCGTCTAGATGCTGAGCTGAAGGTGCGTCCCTCGATCTCATAGATTGAAAACCACCTTCAATTCCATCCACATTCATAGCTCGCCGGCGAGTACGGTCTCCGCAACAAGCGTGAAATCTGGCGTATCGGTCTCATTCTATCCAAGATTCGTCGTGCAGCTCGTGAACTTCTCAAGCTTGATCCCAAAGACCCTAAGCGACTTTTCGAGGGTAACGCTTTAATCCGTCGTCTTGTCCGAATTGGTGTGCTCGACGAAACTCGTATGCGTCTTGATTACGTGTTGGCCCTGAAGGTCGAGGATTTCTTGGAGAGGCGTCTGCAGACACAAGTCTTCAAGAGCGGTCTCGCTAAATCCATTCACCACGCCCGTGTGCTCATAAGGCAACGTCACATCCGGTGCGTGTTTCCTTTCATTAAAGGTCGATCGATTTTGGAATTGATGTGTTTTTAGCGTTGGAAAGCAAATCGTCAACGTCCCCTCCTTCGTCGTTCGTCTTGACTCCCAAAAACACATTGACTTTGCCCTTACTTCTCCATATGGAGGAGGTCGCCCTGGTCGTGTTAAGCGTAAACGTGCCGCTGCTGCCGCTAAGAAAGAAGAGGGCGGTGACGAGGAGGAAGAAGAGTAAATTACTTGATCAATCAATTGTTGTATCTTCCTCCTGTCTATGGTATCATGCCGCTATCAACTATGTTTATGATGCATGCCACATCGTGCTTTTTGGGGGTTGAGCCTGTAAGTGTGGACTCTGTACAGTGCTTCTCATTTGAGAATATAGTACTTGCAACAAGTACATAGTCAAGAAATAACAACCTACATACTATAGTGTTACACCGGGAATGTTTAGTCCCCGTCCAGCACGCTCTAAGTGATCCTCCTTCAACATGTAAGCCGGATGGTATTGTGAGGGTGAGGAAAACTCTGATGATTGATTAATCGTCCTGTTGAGTTCTGCACCAGACTTTGTATGCGTCGAGGACATGTAAGTTGAAAGAACCTCTGTCGGAGACAGTGCATCTAGCTGAGGAGTTGCATGCGTATTGGACATCACAGTAGTGAGTGCAGTCGTTGGCGAGATTATCGAAGACGCAGATGGAAGCGGTTGTATGTCTAAATTTGCTGATTGCTTTGATGTTACAAGTAAAGCGGGATTTGGAAAGGTATTATAAGTGGATCCGAGAGATGTGTAGCTATTTCGAGTAGAGGCGTCATTCTGTGAGTACAAGTTCCAAAAATGACAGGTCAAAGCTTACCCTTCATCATAAAGCTTACAGTATGGAATATTGAGCTGGCGCAGGAACGTCCATACGTCAGCATAAGACCAGTTTATGATTGGGTTTATGCGGTCGAATTTGGGCCATCCCTCATCAGTAGGACATCGAAACGATATTCTATCTGTGGAGAGAGTGGTCAGTGTGGGTATCACAGCTAATGTGAGATTGTGTATACCACCGTGTGGATCGGTACGTCTGGTACCGATTAGAATACCGTTGATATGTGGGAGCTGGGCCTTGTACATCTCCAAAGCTTGACGCATACCTTCTCCCCCCTTGGCTTTTCCAACACTCCGAGGACCTGGTAATGGGTGGATGTAGTCACGCCCTTTGGTAATTGAACTAGCAGCAGGGGTTACCACAGTTTCGATTGAATCCTCCTGAGGTGGCCTGCAATAGAATAGGTCGAGGTTGTAGTCTTTTACTGCGTCTTCGATGAAATCCTCCAACACTGGAAACGAAGAAGGCACTGCAATATATATCGCTGGTATAGGCGATGTATATTCTGAGGCTGAACGTCGTTTCCCTAATGCGCCAGCGAAAAGATGCAGTAGGACAGTGCCTTGCAGCGGGAGCGATTAGCACTCAGCATTATTATCTTTTGGAAGACGAGGGAAATACACACAATCTTTACCTCCATTGAAACTGATTGAGACTCGATCCTCCCTGAACAAATCTGTAGTCATATAAAAGTGCAATAACTGTACCTATATTCACTACTCACCCGCATGCATCGAGTCCTTCGTCGATAACATCCAAAGCCTCCTTGATCAAAGGCGCGAGAGGATCATCGGAGGTAGCGAGATCATAGACCTGCCTTGCTACTTCTTGTATCTGAATCATGGAGGGAGGAATCCAGAAGGGGAGGGGAAGTAAGTGGGGTAAGTACAAGTTACGGAATCACTGTCAGTGGTCAGATTACTCCCTCGGGCACACGTGCCGAAGCTTCAAAGTTTTCTCTGCCATCCATCATCATTATTCACGTCGGAATATTATGTCTACAGTCATTCTTGTCACTGGAGGAACAGGTCTTGTTGGCAAAGCCATAGAATATGTCATCGAAAACGAACCAGCTGGATCTCGTTTCGGTAAACGACCCAACGAGAAATGGATTTTTGCCAGCTCATCCGAGGCAGATCTGAGGTACTTGAAGTCTTGATCAATGAATTCTAAAATTGAGGAATATTCGCTTCGTGTAGAGATCCTGCTCAGACGCGTAAATTATACGAGAAATACCAGCCTACTCATGTCATTCACTTGGCTGCACTTGGTGCGCAGTTCTATGTATACTATCCGATTGGTACTTAATAATGCCTTCAGTCGGTGGTCTCTTCAAGAATATGAAATACAAAGTTCGTCTTTCCCTACATCGAAATTATCCCCATATCGAGTTATCGACCTCCTCGCAGTTGACTTTCCTTCGGGAAAATATCCTCATTAATGATAACGTCCTGCACGCCTCGTACGAGCACAAGACTCAGAAGCTCGTCTCTTGTCTATCTACTTGTGTTTTTCCTGACAAGGTCGAGTACCCTCTGACCGAGCTCAACATACATAATGGCCCACCGCACGAGAGTAACTTTGGTTACGCCCACGCTAAACGGATGGTTGATGTTCAGAACCAGTATGTCCTCGTTCTTCTGGACATCTCGTTATACTCGTACTCATTAACTCTAGCGCTTACAAGGAGGAGTTTGGCTGTAATTTTACCTCGGCAATTCCAACGAACGTGTTTGGGCCTCATGACAACTAGTACTAACATCCACCTCTCGAATTGCTCGAGCTCTAATATCTGACGATCGCAGCGATCTCGAAGATTCACACGTCATTCCTGGACTTATCCACAAATGCTACCTTGCCAAGAGTGTGTTCCATATTTCGTTGATCACCCAGTCATTGATTTGGATTGAATGATGTAGAGAACAAAACTCCCTTTGTCGTGTCTGGAACCGGCAAACCTCTTCGTCAATTCATATACTCTCGCGACTTGGCCAAATTGTTCATTTGGCAACTTCGTGAATACGACGACGTCGAGCCTGTGATTCTCTCAGGCAGGTGTTCCTCTTGTACTAGAGAAGACCTTATCCCTCATATTATTCTATCACGTATAGTCGGCGAAGATGAGGAAGTTAGCATCAAAGAAGTGGCGGACGCCATTGTAAAAGCTGTCGGATTCCAGGGCTCGTATACCGTAAGTTTTACCAGGTTTCATTTTCGTTAATTATTCTTAACCTTCCTCAGTTCGATACCAGTCGTGCCGATGGCCAATACCGAAAACCTGCATCCAATAAGAAACTGTTATCGCTCATTGGGGACTTCAAGTTTACACCGTTCGAAGAGGGTATGCGCACAATCTTCATCTGTCTTAATGGATCCGTCATTTATGTGGTTCTTTTAGCGTTGAATGAATCAGTCAAGTGGTTTTTGGAAAATTACAATAATGCTAGGATCGGGAACGTTCCTTCCGCTTAACAATCTCAAGGGGAGAAAAGGATTACAACATAGTCAAGATATCGATTCTACTAATCCGTTTCCGGTTACATGAAGCTTAGAGTGGTTCCGCGGGAGTGGAGGGGAGTAGCTTGGAGTATTGTAACATTGTATACTCTTCGATTTGTGTTGCAACTCTATGATATTCAGAAGCTGGAGTCTGTAATAGCAATACAACTGTGTAAAACCTTGAGCACAGCGTAGATAAAGCGGAGTAGGGGTGTTAGAGTTGACCCTCATACGCTCAAGAGGTATAGATGTAACAATCTGATTGTGAAAGACCGTTGGAACATAGTCAATCGAGTCATTTCAATCAGAATGAATGCATTATGCATACGTACCCCAAGATATCGCACTAGAAATCTGACACTCTCCCTTTGAAACTCCAATCTCCTTCGCTCTCCCCTCCCCATCGTCCAACCGGTTCAGTCTTTGGCCCTCCCTGTTCACCAGTTACCGGATTGACGTTGATATCTCCTTCGGTTTTTACATTGGTTGGCGGGGAAGGAGCGGTTGACAATGCAGGGTTTGGAAGGTTTTCGGATTGTTTTTGGAGCTCCTCGAATTCTAGCTGCATGTCTCGAGGAAGCTGTGGAGGAGATGGGCGAGAGAAGGTGTTGTCGCTGATGAGCCTCGCATTGCAGGAGCGGCGCACTAGGGCTACAGGGAATATTGATTTGGTTACTGCGAACATGGACAGGTGATGGTGATTTCTTTCTGGAATGGCTAATCTTGAACTCTTTACTAACAAATCTTATCTTGCGTTTGAATCATTTTACCGTGTCCAATGTGGTGTAGTGGCTAACATTGCTGTCTTTCATAGAGCAGCCGCCAAAATGAATTTTCACAGCAGCCCGGGGTTCGATTCCCCGCATTGGAATAATTTGACCCCAATTTTTATTGTTCAAATTATCACTTTTTGTCTACGTAGTAAACAGAACATCCACCTACGTACGTTATTTGTCTAATTCTGAACGCGTAGCATCCACCATGGAAACGTCCCTTCCCAATTTTTCCCCCGGACTCCTTCTACCTACTGTCTCCCTTCCACGTTGTGTTCCCTGTTCGCCCTGCCCTCCCTGCATATTCGACGTCCGCCACTCCTCTACCACCTCCAGGAATTTACTGTTGTTCAGTTCTACTGAGGAAACGATAGATGGAGGCCATTGCGGAGACGAAGTAGCCGGGGCGGAATTGGTGGTAGTGGAAGTGGTGAATGTCGATGAGATGCTCTTGCTGTATATCAGCATGTACGGGACCAATTCTGCGAACATGGCTGGCCCAGGCACGGACGTCGCAGCCATGGAGAGAACGATTTCTTCAGATACCTGCAACAAGTAGTTAGAATCACACTTAAAATGATACACTTTTTTTACCTCTTCTACATAACCTCCTACAGCCGCAGATGCAGGTGATTTCCACCACCGCGCTTTTGTCTTAGGGGGTTTCTCATTTGCGTCCGGCTTTGATATAACCAAATCATCTCGAATATCCCGAACGTATACAAATGGCCCTTTGTCTGATTTCAAAAAGTTGGATTTTGTTTGATTTGAAGTGGACGTATTGGGTTGAGTTATTGAATTCGGAGATGGGGCAGGCTGCATGAGGACTGCACGAAGGTCGTACTGGAAAAGGCACAAGAAAAAGAGAAAATCCAACAGAGATGAAAATGGGCAATACTCACCTGGTACTTCTTCAACTCTTCCCCCTCAAAAAGAGTCTTCATTTGAGTTTTCGCGCCACTTATCTTGGTGTCGAGATCTGCGATTATAGGAGAATGATAAATATCCTCATCCACGAGATTACCAGACGATACTGCTTGACTGACCTTTCAGCGCATTCTCAATTCCCTCTAACGTTGCTCTCAGGCCCCGCTCCGTTTCTTCAACCACCCTTGCCCTTTCTTCCTTTCCTACTTCCGTGCCATCGTCACCCTCAGAACGATTTGCAACATTTTCGTAATAGTACAATGCAGCACGGAGGGAGGGAAGGACGCCTTGGTCTTTAGAGTTGTTATCGCTGGAATCTGCAGCGGGAGCAGGTGCTGCTGTAAATGTAGACGACGAGGAAACATATTCCTGTTGTGAAGGAACAAACGAGCACCTGAACACAAAGAAACACACAGATCATAACTTGACACTGACTAACCTTTCCAATCAACTTTCCTCTGAGTTCCTCATACTCCCCCACTTCTTTTGCTAGCCTCTCTCTCTCCACGCGTTTTGAATGAACAAGTGGGAGGTTCAATGATAAGAAAGGGTCGATATATAGTGAAGATGGATATGAAAACCGTGACGATGAAGGCATCGAGGAAGACGAGTTATACAGAGGTACCGCGAATGACGCCGCGGTTGAGAACGAAGAATTTGATGAAGTAAGGACGAACGCCACTACCTCAGATGGAGTGGTAATGACAGTATTGGTCGACCCACTTGGTCCACCTTGTATATCCGGAACAGGCTTAGACAGATCTCGAGCGAGACGCGTCAAAAGGTCATTTCCAAAGGGCTCCCCGAGTGCACCCCCGCTAGAGGCAGAAAGATCTAACGATACGTACGTGTGATTCGATACTTGACTCGTCTTAAACTCTTCGCGTTGTCCAGGTTCAATGTCCACTTGCGCCGACGTGAAGGTGAGTAGCGGGGCGGGATCTGGTTGAGAAGCTACGGCAGCTTCAAAGATACCCGTAAGCTTTTCATACAGAATTTTTGTCGAGTCTGTTACCCCAGTAGAAGCTGTTACCGGCAAGACGTCCAAGGCCTTACAAACACCATCGCATTCGAGCCTAGCTAGATTAGCTAGATCGAGATTGCCAAAAAGCTCGATAATGCGAGAAAGAATTACCGGGTCGCTGTCTTCTGAGACTGAGGATTCCTCGAGAATAGACACGGTCGTAAGCCGGTTGCGAACCTGTGGAACATGAAATAGCGCTTGGAGGAGTAATGCTGCATAAATGGTCTCTGGTGTAGGAGAACGTAGGGATATCGGTCTAATAAAGCGGGAATTAAGCGACCTAGTAAATTTCCATTGGGATCTCACCTTCCATCCTTACGAATAAGCTCTTCCAGGTCCTCAACTTCCTCTTGATCGTTCTCCATTACCACCTCCTGGTCATTCGTCGCTACATCCCCTCCAAGTTCTCCTCCCAGATCTTCCCGTGCGCTTTCCATGCTCATCTCTATGGCCCGTTTCATCTCAAAGTCCTCATCATCAACAGCCATTCTATCGTCTTTTGTCAAATCGACAAGATCTGGGATGTCTTCTGGTGTATTCGGTCGCGCTCTCGGTGCTTTGATTATTGGTACCAGCGCCATCGACGTCGAGCTACTCCCGGTATCATCTCCCCAGCCAGAGGATGAAGCTCCTAGGCCACCAGAGAGCAGGACTTCAGCTGCCTTGTCTGCATTTCCCCCATTCCTTCGATATACTTCGAGCACTTCAGCTGTTTGGGCCTCGGTTCCGCCAATCATAGCAAGCAAAGTAGACACAGTCTCTTTCTCCTCTGCCGTTGGAACACCAATCGGTGAAGTCCAGGCTGTCATTATGCTTATTATGATTATTTCTTCGTATTTGGTGCTGGATGGATGTAGAGAGTAAACAACCGGCGTCTAAGCACCGGTTCAAAGCCTTTCTCCGCAATAATGGACACTTTGCCGATTGAGATCCTCACCGACGTACTTGTCATTGTACTTCAGGATGCAGCGACAAAACCAACAAATATTTTATGCACGTCCTCTCAGTTCCAGTCTATCGCTCAGAGAATACTACACAAAGATCTATGCTTTTACTCGTCTTCTCAACTTTCACAATTCGCAAGTCTTCTTTCTAAAGGAACTCTATCTCTGGTCTGCGAGCCGCAGACACTCATGCTTGACATCGCAGGCGGTGCATCTTATGGGATATTCGAAGGATTATACGCTGTCTTGACCGAAATCTTATCTAATGCTCGATGCAAGAAGGACGAGAACGGACGGTTGGTATTGGATACATTGAGACTCAGGTTGAACTCCCTTACGCATGATGACCACCGGCTAATCAACGCTTCCTTGTCCAACGCAAAGTGAGTCCATTCTGTGGATAGTGAATGCTTGGATTCAAGCTTATATACTTATCATATCAATGCATAGTGCAAGAAAATTCATATGGACAGGGCCTGATCCTCCGCACCATTTTTCTACTGCGGTCGGTTTTAAAGCTGTTTTTCGTACCTTCATTCAACTCAAGACACATCACAGATCGTGTCTCCTGCGGTGTTTCCCTTATTCACAGCACTTTCCACATACAGCCGTCTTACACATCTACATCTCACCAACATTGCTTTCCCCAATCCAATCATCAGCCCAGATGCTCATTGGACAGGCATTCCTTGCCTCCCCTCCTTACGCTCTTTTCATCTCGGTCAAGCGACGTTCCTCACCGCGGAAGATATCGCTGACTTTGTGTTACGATGTACCGGTCAACTCCAAAATTCCTCTTGCAACCTTCAATCTTCTAATGTTGTTTTCGAACACATACGTCTGGTAGACGTATATGAAGAGAGTATTTGGGGTCCCAGATTAAAGCTGCGGCGTATTTTGTCTGCTTATACTACGATGCTGGAGGAATCGCAATACTCAAATGAGATGTTGAGCTCGACAATATCAGACTCGATTGGAAACCTGATATCAGTAGATGCAAAGACGGAGAGGATTATGGGAGGGGATCGAGTTATACCTGAAGCTGAAGTATTGGCAATTCTCGCGACAACACACACTATTGTTTGACAGTATACAGCAGGTGAATAGTTATAGTCAGGCTCCTTCGTTGATTTAACTTTGAACTTAGGGCATTCTGAAGAACAAGCTGTGAGCCCTGCTATTAGATTCTGTCCTTGTCCTGGCATTCAAATGCCCCCACCCTGAATACAACAAGTCATTTAGCAGGAGAGATTATTCAATCGGACAACACACGCTCGATTTGACCTTCACTACGAAATATCATCGGTCTTCCATCAAAGTGCTTGGCTTACCCGCACACACAAACACCTCTGGCACATATCCGCTCTACGGACCAACACCTACTTAACGGAATCTGGTCATTGGTCGTTGTTTTTTGTCTTGTTTGGTTTTTTCCTTGTTCACGTTACCGTAGAATATCTCGCCGCGCTATCTTCCTACCTCTCCAGAATTCTTCGCATATGCCTGTTGGATAGTGAAGGAATGAAGTGGAAAACGATGATGCGCAATGAAGGACGATGATGATACCCATTACAGTAGGGTAGAGCAGGATCGAGACAGGTACGCGATACGTAGTAAGTCGGATTGCCAAACAATGAACATAGATGAAATGTAGGTTATGGTAGGGAGAAGGCATCGAAATTACGACTCACAACAACAATATGAACCTCAACCCATCTCTGCACGTCAAAGTGCCTCAATCATACGCACAAGCAATATTGAACCACTCGTTCCAGTGATCTGTTCCGGTTCTGCATCCTACACAGAGATCACCAACCCAGTAAACAGCTCAAAGCAAGCTCTCGGAGAAAAGTGTAGAACACCAAACCGAGAATTCAATGGTGAGTAGATCTGCTAGCAAAGCTGTTGACCTGGAAATGGGGCGGTGGTGTGTTGTCGATCCTCATCCATTGAGATGGAGCTGTCCAACAGCAATCATCCCCGCAAACGAGTCTGGCACCGATGGTTGACATGAAGGTGTCGTTGATAACAATATCCGAGATGAACGGTGACAAGATCAACACAATATCGATCGAGATAGAATGCATCCAGTTCAACGTGCATGGCCCAAGGTACATAAACTATTGCGAACGTCGCTATGGACTTTTGCTACAGAGATTTCCCTGAAACCAGTAACCAGTATAAGGATAATCAACGTGGAATCGACGTTGTCAAAACAAAGAACAAACATATCAGGTTGAACTTGAATCCCTTACATATTCTCGTCAAAAAGCAATGGCTGTGAAAAATGACTTTCTGTATGAAGAATTATTTATAAGATCATCATGTGGAAGGTAGGTGAAAGATTGAATCGTGAGCTGGAACGAGGGGTAGGTTTATGCCATGCATACCAGGTAAGACGAAACTGCTAAGGACGTTAACTGCTCCCTGCTCCCGCGTTGAATGCGAAGCACGGACCCTTTCAACTAGAGGCAAGGGGAAAAGGTTCTTACAGCGTATTCAAAAAACCTTGTCAGTAGCGTAAAAAATGAAATAAAATAAAATAAAATCCAAAAGGTACCCGACCTTTAGCCGACCGCTTGGCGAGTGCTGTCCTGTCACCTCCTGTGCTGTCCAGTTGTGAGATGTCATTTCAACAACTTCCAACTGGTTAGCAGTGCTTCGTCTGGACTCTGTTGTCTTCAGGACATCTCTGGCTATCTCTGGGTTGTCTTAGTGCAAGCCTTGGCCGTGTACTGGCATCTGACTGCCATTCTCATGTATCCAAGGATATCTAGAGGCAGCCTGCCCCCTCCATATGCTCCACCTTTGTATGATTGCAGATCTCTTGCTTCTGAGGTAGGACTAGTAACAGATGATGATGCCTCTGGAGAGTCTGACCATGCCAGGAGGAGTTCCATTGACATTGTGATCCTTCAGTGGACTTGTTACCTCCACCAGCCTCCAGCCTCCACCACTGGCATGGAAGATCATTGTCAAAAGGCGCAAGTGACAGCACACTCACCAAGCGGTCGGCTAAAACGTCGGGTACCTTTTCGATTTTATTTTATTTTATCTCATTTTTTATGCTACTGACAAGGTTTTTTGAATACGCTGTAATGATGGAATACAAAGTCCTTGGTTATAAACCTGAATTTCAGGTTGTAAATGAAAAGAAGAAGCATGGGAGGATCGGGTGACATTGAAAGGAAACGAGAAATAACGTCAACCTGGGCGAGAGGAAAGAAATTGAAAATCGAGCCTGTAGATACTTGTTTACAAGTTTACAAGATGATATTCATCTGTGTCCTAAAAGGACTAAGGCTACATGTAACCCCGATGAACCAGTTTAGGCTGCCGGAAAGATGGACAACCAACTGACATGGGTACACGCGATAGAACTTCAATACCAGCGCAATACAGGCGAGGGAAAACCAGATTTATACATACGAGTAAGGAAGTTATACATAAAACTTTCGCAAAACTAAGTTCAGCACCTCCATCCAACCTATATCGGATTGCATTTCGGACAAACGGGACTAGATGTATCGACCTGTACATTTGGCAGCCGAAATGGTTTTGCACACTGCTGAGCATCTGGGTCCTGGCAATGGTAACATTTAACAATGCGTGTCTCTACACTGCGGCACGGTTCTTTGAAAGAATTTCATCAGTTTTTCTTTTGAAAATCTTTTAATGTATTATGGAATTTTTCCAAGAACGAGCAGGCACACATTTGGCCTGAATTTTCAAAAGTGAGCACTTTCAACAATCTATCCACAGCCTTTCAAAATATTTGAATAAAACGACGGCACATATGAACCCGCACACTACTGAAAATTGGGGATTATTGGTTCTTTTCAATTCAACCGGCTCAAACCGGTTCATCCTTTTTTCCAACAAACGAAAATTTTATTGCGCAATATCTAGATACTACACTAGGATCTACACTACCTACATGAATATCAGACTGATGTTAGAGAGTGTGTCGACATTTGAGAGGTGGTAGACACCCACAGACATGTCAGACAATCCTTGACTTGAAGAATATAATAATATCGACTCGCAGCGATGTAAGAGGAAAAGTAAAATTTTGAAGTTGATGTTGAGTCCTTGAAGTTGGTGAGACCTTGAAGTTGATGCTGAAGTATTGAGGTTGAGATTAGAGCCTTGAGGCCGAGATTGAGAGCTTAAAGCTGATGTTGAGGCCTTGACAAACCAGGGAGAGCTGTGCAAGTGGACTGGCATCGTCGTGGCAGGAGAAAAAGGAAGGAATGAAAATTTTTTCACTGCATGGGAATTTGTAAGTCGATGTCATCTGACCACTTGTTCGACGGACTTGAACAAAATTTTATTTTCTGCCTGGTCTGAGAACTGCCAGCAAGCAGGAAGGGTTTTTCAAAAATAAGGCTTTCATTAGATTTTTGAAAAAAAAAGTCAAAGATTCTTCGTTCTGTCAGAACATCCATGGAAAATTTTCAAAATTCAATGATTCTACAAATATTTGCAAGAATACGACAAAATCATTGAAATATGATCTATCAGAAATTTTTGAAACGGATCTAATGAAATCCTAGAAAAGAACGGTGCAGCGGTGTACGTGGGCTGGGGTTGTACGGCAGTTGTTGAATTTGACATCAACTTGAGTGCACACAGTGCGGGTCTGACCGGGTTTGTTTGGAGATACAGGACCTGCATCAAGAAACGATTCAATGAGGGCCGCGATTTCGGGGTCATCCACCGCTTGTACATCTGGTCTGATCCCTCCCATGACCAGTTCATCTACTATATCCTCCTCCACTTCCTCGAACGGTACCTTCTCCATCCATATTTCCCAGATTGAGACACCCGTGGCGTATAGATCTTCCTCCAGAGCAAGAGGTTCTTGCGGAAGGCAACATCGTCGAGAAGAAGCGTAATGGTCAGACACGGCGTAAGCAATAAAGTTATCCCCATTTACAGATCCCAGAGCCCAATCACAAAGTCGGACTTGTCCATCAGAGCAAAGAAGGAGATTAGATGGTTTGACGTCGCCGTGGATAATTTGCCTGGCCTGGAGCCTTTTGATAAGGCGACAGAGTTTATCTATGATCTCTCTCTTCTCCTCATTCGAAAACTTCGCCCTTTCACCGGGTTCACCCCCGATATTAACTCCTGGCGCAAGAGCCTGCTCGTATGGCATGATGAACCCTATCAATTTCTGTTTTGCGTCGTCGAATAGTCTGCCAATAAGCTGAACAGAGTCCGAACCGGCTATGAGCATCATTCGCAGCTCATGCTCAACCTTTGGCCTGATTAGAAGAGGCTGTGACGGGTCCTCGTCATGGAACACCTTGAACACATATTTCTCTTCAAAAACGGAAACATATCCATGCCCGACCCAGTGAATAGGTCGACTTGGTTGCATGTCGCTCAAAATCCTGTCTGTTACCCAAGAGCCAAACGGGGCATCGATAGGTGGATGGTCGGTGGTCATAGTCAAGAGGCGAATTAGAGTGAAATGTCGATCAATTATCCCACTTGTACTGGAACTCAACTCTATGTTCACTTCATGGGCTTGCTGATTAGAGCTGATTAGACGTAGCAATTTCTGGAGAATAACAGCAGTTTTCGAATCTCTTTGCTGTACCCAAGTTCTCAATTATCCACTTTGTCTTCCCAGGTTTCCATACTACTCTATGTTAATTGATTGAATACGATGCTGGGAGTTGATGTCTATATGTATAAATTTTAGCGAGGCCAAGACACTTTTGATTATGCTTTCCGGAGGAAACCAAACGGGGCATTGCTGGATGGATGTTCAGTGGTTATTGGTGGGGAAAGAACAGACTTATGGCCCACATAAGTGAATAGATATAGTCATAGTCCTTCGTTGATTTAACTTTGAGCATAGGGGATCATGAAGAATTAGAGTTCCTATTATTCGAAGCTTTCCAGGCGTAATATACGTACGATAACAAAACATTCAAAGCAAAATCCAGTATGTAACCCGCGCGCTATGCAAATGCACTATCCAGAATATCCGAAAGTGAGAAGAACCAAGAAAATTATTGCACAGAGGCCGAGATCAAATCCCACCCCACCGCTGAGCTTGTCCAGGCGTAGCGAACATTGTTGACTGCTGCTGGGCCCATGGACCGCCTGCAGTGAACATTTGAGTCTGCTGCATCGATTGGCCATTCATACCCATTCCATAACCCACACCCATGCCCGTTCCCATACCCGGACCTGCACCTACGCCCATTTGCAGTTGCGGAGAAGGAGACATGAACTGCTGCCCTTGCAGCTGTGGCGTAGACGACATCGGCGGCTGGGGCGTTGTCGACATTTGTGGTTGAGGACTATGTCCTCCCTGTTGCATTGAACCAGAAAACTGAAACTGATTTTGCTGCTGCTGCTGGATCGGATTTGGATTCTGCGGCGATGGCGAGAACATTGGAGTAGGGGACTGCAACGACTGCATTTGCATCTGCACATGGGGGATCATCGGCGACGGTTGTGACTGGTACAACGGAGACTGTTGCGATTGTTGTGTCATGAAGGATGTCGAGAGACCCGTCGGGACAGCACTGAAAGGCAACGGAGCCGAGAGTGGGTAATTGGCGGACATTGGTTGCTGTTGCTGCGCGAAGGGGTTTGTCACCGAGAGCTGTGTCTGCTGGAATGGGTTTGTCGATGATGGCACACCAGCAGAAAATGGTGAATTTACGCCTAATCCCATGGGAGGTCCTGGATTAATGCTCAAGCCATTAGGACCCATTCCCACTCCCGTATTACTGTTGGCCAGGTTGTATCCCATTCCATTCATACCCATACCATTCCCATTCATACCAGAAATACCCGACATCCCGGTAGGCATCGAACTGTTCATAATACCAGTCATGGCGCCGAAAGGGTTGGTGGGTCCTAAGTTAGCAGTATTCGGAGGTTGATATTGTAATGGAAGTGATGAATTCGCTGAGGGTGCCTGTAATGAAACGAGGTCATTCCATACGCCTGTCCCATTTGCTGAAGCAGACATGGGTCCTGATTGTTGAGACTGCTGTGGCTGTTGTTGTTGCTGCTGCCGGGATGCAGGTTGTAATGGTGCAGATGATAAAGACGATGGTACAGGCTGTGAGACCGAACGAGCCTGGGCCATAGGCGCGGACGAAGATGGGAGGGATGCAGTAGACGGCCGAGCGGATATACCCGCTGGCGTTGTAGACGTCGGGTTAGGCTTCCGAGGTAAAATGGTGGAAGTCGATCGAGAAGGACCCAGTTTAGAAGCTACTAAAGCGTGTCTGTCGAAGAATTTTTTGTATTCGTACTTGGCTAGGGCCAAATGTGAGATATGGTCCGACGAGAGCATCCAAATTACAACAAGTACACGCACCTCGAATGTACTTTTCCAGTTCGCTGTCTCTTTCATCCTCTATTAACATCAGTGGGGGAGGGTGGCGAAGCTCATTGGGATTGTAAATGGCATTGGAATTCAGGTTGCCCATTTCCTTCATCCTCTTAAGGCAAGGCCCACGTATCAGTCAAAATTATACCAAACTGGTTGTAACTGCCAACGCACTTCAAGTTGCTCCTTTGTCCACGAGTCTAAGGTTAAGCTTTTCCTAAAACCAGTCTATCAGCCATTCCATAATTATGATTCCCATTTGGGAATGGGGAAAGAAGAACGCCAGCGTACACTTTCGTGACATGGGTTCCAATCTTGCGATGTATAGCAGCACAATTGACACTGAGTAGCCGAAATATTAGTGGTGACAATAGCCCGACCTTGCACTAAATTGTTCACCAAATGAATATCCCGAGGTTATGTGATGCCCATCGCGGTGCCCTGGCCTTGCAATCAGCACACACATCTACATTTAAGATGTTAAACGCTGTGGATTTAATATGGAAAATTTCCAGTAGACTCGCCATTTCCTGGCTGGGCAGCAATGTCCAAAAGAATCTTCAAATTCCTGTCGTTTGTTATCTTGTGGTTCGACATTGGAAAGAGACAAATATTTGAACGCCGTTGGTTAGCAACTTATCCGGAGTACAGCGGCCCGCTTCACATATGTTTTCCAGCCGTTTATCATTTTATCAAAACTGACGAAAAAAGTATTTTGATTGCGAAGAGTTCAAACTGATTTTTGGCATGACCATTACAGTACTACATAGTATCATGTAGTGTATCGTTCATTTTTGGAGAAGAGGTTTATCCACAACTCACAACAGCTCACACGAACTGACGAACAAATTGCTACCGGCGCGAATGCATTGATACTAGTAGTACTTATTCTATGTATTTGGATAATAGTTCGTAGCGGCGAAAATCATTGACCCTTTCGTTCGCTTTCCTTTTCTTCTTCCGGTTCATGAAGAGGATTGCTGTTTTTTTCTTCCCCGTCAGCCTCAGCTTTATCCGAGGCCTTCTCGTCTTTATCCTTCTCCCCTCGTGGTTGTTCATAGTCCTCCTTGATCTGACCAATCTCCCTCATCAATTGCTTCTTCTCAGAAACGAGTTCCATCCACTTTTCGATGTCCAGCCCGCGCTTTTCATACAGGGCCTCGCGGCGAGAAGAGACTGAACGGTCAAGCACAGAGGTGTAAGATACTTCTCGACCTTGGTAGAGGAACCTAATGGGTGAAGCCTTCTGAGTAATTCAGAAAGCAGCTAAAAGAAGTGCACGAACCAAAGATATCCGCATATCACGGTCGAAAGGCCTGACAAATAGGTGATTGGTTCCATTATATCCTAATGAACAACCCTTTAGTAGTCCGCTTTTCATCATTAAAACATTGAAATTGTGAACTACCCATCCATAATCCCAGAATGTGAGCCTTGCGACAGCGGCCCAGTATACAACGAGCATACCAAATCCACCGAGAGCCATCCGCCTTGCTCCTTTTCGAGCTTCCCGATCACATTCGCGTTTTAAGCCTTCCATCGTCGCCAACTGATAATTTATTGCGTCTAGCTGTCGACGCAAAAAACGCGTACGGTCGGCGAACGTTGGAACGCGCACTGTGATAACTTGTTCTTGTTCCCCATCGGACGCGTCGGGCGTAATATGAATACTGAACTCGGCTGCACGAGCAGCATTTCGGATAAAGTCACCAATGTCTGTTGAATCAGACCATTCGAATTGACGAGAATTTTGCGGGGATGAGGTCGAGGGAGTGCTTCTAAATGATATGGATGGTCCATTTTCGGTGATGCGAGGTAAGGAGGCAAGGATCAGTCGACCAGTGTGCGATAATGGTTGTGAAGGATGTAATAATAATACGATCGGTATAGGTAAGTCATTAGGCCCTTTGCGTCCCAAGGGAAGGATCAACTTGAAAAGGTGTGAAGTTGTAGGAAGAAGTTTTCCTGTAAGCCATAGGTCACTGAATTGGTTTACGACCTGGTACTATTGAGTGTACTGACCAATTCCTTCTTCGATATCACTGAGTTCATCGTCCTCGGTATCCGTCGTACCGTTGCCAGGTACTGCGTCTTTCCACTTTGAATGAGTAGAGGCGTTTGCGAGAAACTGGGAGTGTTCAACTTTGGAGTTTTCCAAAGAAGCACTGGATATTGGTCGTGTGCCTTTGACGTTTAGAGTCGAGTGCCAGAATATCCGCCCAGGTAGACTGGGAGTAAATAGAGAGTATCTTGCTGGATTTGTGCTGGCGCAGAGAAACGCGCTGCGTCCAGTAACTCGAGTCCAGAACATAGAAAGAAATACACAACTTATTGGATCATGACATCATTCTCATTGACCGCTTTCGGCTTTCGCACCGGCCGGTTTAATTCGCTTTCTCCAACTGCATATCCTTAAAATCGTCGCATTTGTTTGTCCATTTCAACATCTACAGATACTGAAGCACTATCATACATATGGCAAAGCGTACGGCAAGGTTCTTATGGAGTAGAGGAATTCATCAGTTCTGGAATAAGAGCGGTGGAACAGCAACTCGTAGACAATTTGTAGGATTACCGGGATACCCGTCAATGATAAGGCCAACTTTGCAGAATTTCAGGTTCGTAATCATTTTGTTATTGGCCCAATAGGTGACTGCTTCATCTCCCTGTTTGAGTTTGTGTTCAGCTGGGAGAATCACCTTGACATTGGTCCATATGTAATTCGTGTAGTCGCTAAGTTTAAACGTGAATTCATACTGCAGTAGACAGTAAGTATTGTTGAATGAGTGCATATACTAGTGAAAGGTGGAAATGCGTACTGTGGGATTATCATGGAACAGTTGAAGGAAAAATTTGTCAAGTTCGACGAGTTCTCCTAACAATGTAGACACAGTCATCGTATGAGGAGTTATAAGGCCTTTTCGATTTTCGAATGTTGGTATTTGATTAGCGTAGACGTCTAAAAGCTGAACCCGAATTTGATCTATGCGAGCATCTTCTTCGGGTGCCTTAAGGTTTTTGTCCACAAAATGATGAACCCAGAAAGCCCATTCCCTGTCGACTCTGTGAAAATGAGCTCAGCGAAAATGTATACTACCAAAACAAAAAAAAACCAACGAGTCTTCATCGATAGCTTGATTACTACGTCGGAATGCTTCTATGTCATCGAGCGACTGAAATAACTTTTCCAGGGTCTTCGTGGACTTGGATAGGGAATAACCATATTTGAGTTTGCCATGCGTCCTGGGGCATCTCACGAGACGCGATTTGGACACGTCGAAGTTGTGGGACCAGGAATTAATGCGCGCAAAATCGACATTTGGAACTGAAATGTTTTTGATGGGAGAGAGCGGGATTATCCAGCACGCGGAGTCTCCAACAGATCGTCCACCAAACCAGAACTCTGATCGTCGGCGGAGAGACATCGCAATGGAGGGCCTTTCTATCATGGTCCACCCTCGTCCAGCATACTTTGCCCGGGCCAACCCGTGACGATGGTCTTGGGTAGAGAACAAGGCATTCGTCATGGAAACACGATCCAGGAATGTAGCGCGAGGATAAAGCGCGTACGCATGAGAGTAAGTGATGATATTCATGACACAAGCTAGATGGAGACAGGTGAGTGTTCACAGTGTCTCGAGATGGAATAGTAAAAAAAACACACTGGAGTGGAAAGACAGTATGACATCCATCGAGCATGTATGCGAGGTGATCACTTGAATTCGTTTTCCACCTCGGCTGAAGTTGTACACAGATGCAATACCATTGTTCACGTATCCCTGAAAATCTTCTTCGTCATCGTGCAAGTTTTGCGTTCCTGCAAAATTGAGCGAAAGAGTAAATGCCAGAGCACCATCGAATGTGGATCTCTGTCGTGGCGTAGGTTGAAACTGATAACCGACGCTTGCAAGAAACTCTGCCAGGGGTCGGCAATGCCTTAGTTCGACATATAGGTCAAGGTCAGAGTCTGGATACACAACAAGGTCGAAAAACTGCAACGCAGTAGACCCAGAGATAAGGATCCCAGTGCGATACTGAAGCAAACGAAGCTCGTCGATTTCTGTTTGATCGAAAAAGGGTGCGAGCACTTGTTCAATCCGGAAGGCTCGTTGATTGAAGTTGGTTACAGTGTGATAACTCTCCTTGTTCATCAAGGAGTAACGCGATCGTCCCTGAGGGTCGAGGTCACGGATGATGAGGTCCTGAACTTCCGGCGGTCTGGAAAAGAATATCAGCAAAATCTTCGAAGAAAAGGTTGAGTGAAGGACATATTTACATCAAACCCATAGCATATATTCACTGAAACTTCGATAGAAAACAATAAAAGCGCAGCGCTAGGACGCCAAAAGTTTTTGTGGATCACTACAAGATCGCAGGTAATGTTCAAGTTGATGTTGAGACCTGGGACAGTGGGAAAGCTGTATTCGAAGAAAATTTAAGTCGCGCGCGCGCGCAATCACGTGCTACTGTTACTCTCGGCGCCCGCCGCCAGCCCGGCGGTACCGGTACCAAACTGTATCTGCGCATGATGTTTCTTATCTACGGGTCACCTATCACAGCAACTGGAATGTCAGGCCCGCATCCTATTTCCAACAGCGGGGCCCGCTTTCCACCCCAATCCCGCTCTAGTTCAACCTCACACTGCTTATCTGCCAGGTACAGTGTAATTATCAAATTGAGATGCACCCGGGGCGTACCAGGGCGTACCCTTGAAACAATCTCGCGAGTCCAGCCCTTCACCATTGTTCCGGACCAATACTCGGTTTATGTACTTGCCCACATCCTCAATCACCGTTATTATTGCCTTGTTGGAGTACATCCCCAACATTATGATGTCCGCGAAGTATTTTACAGAGATTCGAACTGAACTTTTGTGTGGATGATTCTCACCTGAAGAGTACACACAGTCTCTCTGATTATGCTGTCCTTCTGGCCTGACTTTGAGCTACATCCTCTCATGTCCATCCTCTCATAAGCTTTAGAACCCGTGCTTTCACCACGGTGGCTCGCTTTGCTCGTACCGTGTGCTACAGCAGGGTTCACAGCTTAAGATTAAGGTACTAGTCAAAGTTTGCTCTTACCAGGGTTCGTGTTGGTCCTCCAGGATGGGCTCATGTTATGTGTGTACCAAAGGCAGACACATCACTGCTGTGTTTTATGAACTGCGTATGATCACCACCGTATCCCGATCAGCAGATTGGACTTTCATGCCAGCTCCTTTCGGTCAAGAGCATTCGATTTCACTTATTGAAGGGTGCCAATATGAAGATGTCCGTCCTCGTCCGGCTAAAGACATGCCGATGCTATTGCAGATAGATGAATAGGGACACTTCTCGCTCTTTCCTACGGGTTTGGAAATGTCATCAACACTTTCAATTCGGATGCGCAACGACCTTCCAGAACCGGTCTGCCTCTGCATTATTCATTAAACCTATTCAATGTTGAGGTCGCCCACCTTCTCAGGTTTGTTTTTAGAGGATTGTTGAGCACATTTCTCTTAACCCACCTACATACCTCAGCCTCCGACGACGCGCAACCAAATCTTACCGAACTTGAAATTTTCACCGCAAACACTCCTACACGTATCAAGTCCCGACCTCATTGCAACCGACAACTCGTTTTTTGAAACAAAGGGATCTTTTTGTGCAGGGTTTCGTTTAACACGACGTGTTGAGTCTAGTATAGTGAATCTCCTCCTTCTCAAGTCACTTTTCTTTTCGATTCTGCGCAATTTCAATCAGGATTATACTTACATACGATCTACTGACAAAGTTACTCACCATTGCATTGTCGCGCCTCTTTTCTCTAGTTCACTATGCCAGGTTCCACCCTACCTGATTAGATACATGTATAAATGACTATAAATGACCCGGTAGACAGTAGAACATCACTGCTGGGTTCGAGTCTGGCAGGATATGTATTGACATCGAAGATACAGAAAGTCAGGCGTGAATTTAGTGCATGCCCAGGGAATAGTGAAAGTAGATATTCCTCGAAAGAGAATTAGAAGTGGCATAGAATAATGAAAAACTGCAATGATCATTTTCGCCGTTGGTTTCTCCTGCCGTCCTCTACACACAAAAGATCATGATCAGTCTCATTATAATCTTACAGAGAGCATACTGGGCACCTTTTGTTTTGGCCTTCTTGGGTGCACCCTTTCCACGCTTCTTCCTATCTTCAATATCCTGTAACCGCTGCTCCTCATCCTCATCCACAAGCTCCAATTCCGGATACATCCTCGCTACCCGCGAAATATTTAAAGTCGGGGGATAGTAACTCATCATAGCGGGTCCACGTAGACGAGCACGGATGTATTTAGCACCAGTCCGAATTCCGGTGGGGTTGTAGACCGTTTGGAAGATATTACATCGCAGTTTGGTCAATTTTACGAGACGTGAAGGTGATACGACGGACATGACCGTAGTTTTATGTATGTCGGGATAGCCTTCACGTCGACGTGAGCGTCAGGAAGATAGAGAATTTTGGCGATCAAACAGAGGTCAACATTGAATATTCCTGGCACAACCGTTTTATTGTCTTCCTTCCATGTCATTTGCGCTAAATGCATTGACTTCAGCCTCTAAATCCCAACTTTCTCTCTTTTCCAACCGATCGGCACTATGGTTGTTGTCCAATCCTCATGTTGCTAGAAGGTTTAAGTCGTCAGGCAAACCTTCAAAACGTGCAAAGACTCTGCATAATGGCAACAGTATTGGCGTACATCGAACCCAGAAACATCGTCCGTCCACTTCCGCATACAAATGGAGCAGAAATGCTGTCATAGAACGGCCAGAGCTACATCTTTCCTTGGACGATCATATTGGAATTGTCAGATACTTCGAAGAGAATGTAGAGCATTGGTCAAAACAAAAGGTTCTACATTCTCGTCTAGAATCATTTGGAATACCCACAGAAAGCATACACCCTCTTCTTCAACTCTTTGTTTCCGAAGTTCTGTCTGGAAATCTTTCCAACAACGACTCATACGACAAGTATACACTTGACCGTTTCGCCCGTTCGACGCCTGAAGACCTGCCTCAAACATATGCAGATATCGTTTACACAGGTATACTTTATGCCTGGGCCACAGATCCCGCTAGCCGGGACGCAGTAGAAAGAACCATCGGACCCGCTACGTTACTTTCCATACAACGGCTCTTCCACGCTGCGCGCTTGGAACATCCCGCGGATGACTTTCTCGAAGCCCGGCGGACTCGTCGAAAAATCATTATGCATGTCGGTCCCACGAACAGCGGCAAAACACACCACGCCTTGCGTGCTTTAGCTGCTGCCCCGACTGGTGTATATGCCGGTCCATTGCGTCTGCTAGCTCATGAGATCTGGGAAAGGTTGAATTTAGGCCAGATTGTTCCTGCGGGTGTAGAGGAAGACGTGATGCCCGCGTCACTCCCTATTGACTCTGCACTAGATGTCGATGTAACAGCTGCAGACACTACTCCTGCCGTCCTAAGTCAAGGAAACTCTAAGTTTGCCCGAGCATGCAATATGATTACCGGAGAGGAGCACAAGATTGTTGACCCTGAAGCCGCTTTGGAAAGCGCAACCGTAGAGATGTTGTCTATGACGAAAAAGTATGATCTGGCCGTGATAGACGAAATTCAGATGATCGCAGACGTCGGTCGTGGGTATGCTTGGACGTCCGCTGTATTAGGTATCAATGCCAAAGAGGTCCATCTTTGTGGAGAGGAGACTGCTGTTCCGATTGTTCAAGCTCTTCTTGCAGAGACGCACGATGAGCTTGAGGTCCGTCGCTACAAGCGTCTGACGCCGCTCCAGATTGACAAGAGTCTTGATAAGGACCTTTCAAAGGTACAGAAGGGTGATTGTGTCGTTGCTTTCTCCAGAAGCAGCATCTTTTGGCTGAAGAACTCAATCGAAAAAGCTACCGGTATGAAATGTGCGGTCGTTTATGGAAAACTTCCTCCAGAAATTCGCAGTGGACAGGCTGATTTGTTCAATGATCCAAACAGTGGTTACGACGTTATCGTCGGAAGTGATGCTATCGGAATGGGTCTGAACTTGTAGGTCTGTTGCCTATGACATATCTCCATAATTCAATTTTATCCTTTCAGAAAGATACGACGGATTGTCTTTGAAGCTGTCAGCAAATTCGATGGCGAAGTACTTCGACCGCTCTCCATATCCCAAACAAAACAAATTGCCGGTAGGGCAGGTCGTTACGGGATGCTGCAAGAACAATGCGGGCTAACAACTACCTTCCTCCCCGAGGACCTCCCTTTCGTGGAACAGGCTCTCGCCAAACCTTTCGCGCCTCTTCCCGCTGCTATATTAGGTCCAAGCTACAATAGTTGTCGTGACATCGCACGTGCTCTTCCTCCCTCAGCAAGCTTGAGAACCATATATGACGCCCACGTATACGTAGCCAAAACAAAACCTCACTACCGATATTCATCTTCCAACATCGATAAAGCCGCTGATACCGTCGACGAATATTCGGACCAGCTAAGTCTCGAAGACAGGATAACGTTCCTATTAGCTCCAGTTCCATGGCGAGAACCGGATTGTGTGGAAGTCTTGTACAAACTTTTGAAAAACTATGCTGAAGATCTGTCTGTTGGGGTAACCGATTTATTCCAAGGCACACAGTTTTTAGAGACCTTGCTAATTGTCGAGAAAAAAATGTCGACTCTACCTCTTCCGAAATCCGATACTAAGACGTTGTCCATACTAGAACTCTTCCACAAACTGCTTGGGCTTTATGCCTGGTTGGCATTCCGAAATCCTGTAGCTTATTACGAACCGGAACTGGTCGAAGAATGGAAGCCGAGAGTCGAACGGGCACTACATTGGGCTTTACAGGGTGTCACGAGGCATTCGAAAGGGACTCGGAAGACTGTTGAGAGTCCGTTGCCTGTGGCAGCAGTGGCGCGCAAAGTGGAGTTTAGGACAGCGGGGGATCTGAGGAAGCAGAGGAAGGCAGAGGCTTTGTCGAACAAAAAGACATGGGCAAACTCGGGCCCCGTTCATGCCTAAAGTCGGGCCCCGTTCATGCCTAAAGTCGGGCAACATAGAATTTCTACGAGAATTCCTACGATTCCTCGACTCCCTGGCATAGAGTTATCAATGTTCGACTCTCATTGCTATAAAAGTAGGACACATTTCATCCCTAATATCTATGCACCGTAGTATTCACAATATTTTGCATTGCATCTACATTGTTATCTCTACTCATGGATTCGTTGTCGTCGAATGGACCCCCTTTCGGCTAGGAAACAACGACAGGCCATCCAGAAGAAAAGTCGAGATAGTTAATACCCAAGTATGATGGTCCGCCAATGGGGTCACTCAATTTAACGTAGTGATAGACTATCACATCGCGCCCGCTAACGGGGTCAGCGAAGATACTCTGGCCTATAATTATACGATTAGCCTCATTTCTAACAACAAATTTCATCCTGGGCTTACCTCCGGGAGCGTAAACGTTATCATGAGATCCAAGGACAAGCGTTCCAGTAGCCGGGGTGAGGTTTAATGTAATATCATTCCCCAACTCATCATAGAAGGGACCCTGTCCGACTGCACCACGGCCTACGAGGACTTTGTATTCTGCTCCAGCAGCAGGACGAGAGGTAGCCTATATGTAAAGGAAGTAAAATTGAGCATAGTCAGTGGTGTTTAAACAGCGAGAAAGATAAATATCGATGGTATGTGGTACGACATCGGATGAAACAAACTTACTCCGATGAGAGGCGTAATACCGTCCGAGAAGAAGCCATAGTAATATGGTTGGCTGGCCGGCTTGTAGACAAAGCCGGCTTCAGCCGGTCGACCGCTGTATCCAGCAAGGTGAGTCCCGGGAGTAGCCTGTTAAGATTGAATTGTGAGCGAAAAGACTGCAGAAAACTGTTGGTAAGACCACACCGAAGCCTGATCATTGACTCCAGGCCATAGGCCAACCTGATATATCCCATCCCAATACGAACCGAATGTCAGTTGCAATCCGACAGTATCATCGATGATATTGGGATCAACTGGGACGTATTTAGTAATGGGCCACACAAGGCATTGTCTTCGGATGATACTTACTGGCATTGAAAACGTCACCGGTGACAGAGCTGATGACCTCCCCAAGGTCAGTCCAAGTACCGGGCATCATAGACGGACTGGTGGCAACGCCGATGGCTGAGTTCTGGCTTCCGAGAGCAGAAACTGCATAATATAAGGTGTAAAGCCCATCGATGAAGTTGATATCGGGTGCCCATATGTTACAGCTGCCGGAAGAATCGATTATTGAGCAGGAACTCAAAGCTGACCCTATGTTCGTCCAAGGGCTATCATAAAAGATAGTACCAGCGATAAACGGTCAACGGAAGAGAGCGAAGTACCCTGTTAGTGCTGAGCTTGTCCAGATAGGTATTTGGCCGTTCGTAGAAAATACGAAGTATTTCTGTGTGGCGATAATTTGGATGACTTGGGAAGAAACTCAAATAATATGGACGCACTGCTAGAGATGGATTGTACCAAATGGCCGGATCCCGAACTTCAACCGTATCTATTTCGTGGATCGGTTCCTTCAAAGATTGTACAACAATACAGAGAGCACCTACCACTGCCTGCGATAGGATTGGGAGTTGCAGCGACAAAGGTCGTTGTCAAGAGACCAAGTAACGATCCAATGATAGTAATCCTCATGAGGATAAGATGAAGCGGTCCGTTGTACAAAGGAAACTCGAATGTTTGCTCCAGTTATATACCTTGTTTGTGAGCTAATAATATGCAGCGCATGCTGGGCAATGATGATTTTGAATTGGGATATCACAGTTCACTTGAATATGACCGTGTTCCTTGAGTAGGGACCTTGTGATTGCTGGCTGAAGGCTTCTATTTCAACGGCCGCGGTGTATACCAGGGGCCTATCATAGGGACTATGTACAAAACCTGTTAGTCTCAAATGTCCAGAAAAATCCTGGGTCAGAGTCAGCCTCTGTTCGACAAGGCTAGCTGATGCGGTAATATGAACATCAAGATTCGGACACTGGTGAACACTTGAGCATATGGGGTCAAGGAAGACCTTCGTAGGATTTTCCTTGAACAAGACACATGGCTCCTCGAGCTGCAATAGAAAACATGTAGCATTTGAATTTAATCTGGAATTATTCGTATTGCAGCACACCTAATTAGTGGTTTTCGGATGTCAACCAGCCCAGACAGCGAAGGTGTAAATCCTTTCCGGCAAATGCAATTCTGATTTGAATTACACAAACGAACACGAACGAGTCCAACTTCCGTGTATTTGCTTGTGAGTTTATCGTACTTAGCAAGGTAGAGAGCGTCTATGAGCGCTAAACTTTACTTCCGACAATCACCTGCTATATCCCGAGAGATAGATGTCTTTTGCATCCTTCAACAACGCTAGTTTGATCACCGGTGCTCTGCTCTTAGTCCCAATCGTATTCATACTTTTCAGAAACCTTTCTTCCTCGCCTTCCTCGAATACCATGCCCTCAGACTCCACTAGTACTTCGACCACCTCTGAAGAACAACCGAAATCGATAATGCAGCCTGCACGCGCGGACCTGCTCCCGCCCAAAGATGATCCATTCACATTGGAGGAACTCAAGAATTACGATGGAACGGTGGAAGGAAAGCCGATCTATGTCTCTATCAAAGGTGAGTATTGATTCTATTCGATCGACTGTGCTGATTGTGTTCCGCTTGTTTCTACACAGGGGACGTTTTTGAAGTCACCCACAGAAGCGACGTTTATGGTGCTGGGAAATCTTATAATATTTTTGCTGGCACGGATGGATCGAAAGGTCTGGGGATGAGCAGTCTCAAAGCAGAACATGCAGTGCCGGATTATAGTGGGCTAGACGAAAAAGACATGAAGACGTTGAATGATTGGCATGCATTTTTCCTGTGAGTGGCTGCCGTCTCCAATATTTCCTCATCGCTGACTGCTGTATTGGGGTCCAGAAAAAGATACAATATAGTTGGTCGTGTCTCTGATCTTCCCGACGCTGTGAAGAATAAATAAAGGCGCAGGATATGTGGTATGAAGTAAACAGTTTGAGGAATCTCTATGTTCTTATTCGATCGTGACTATAATGCTTTGTGTTTGCTCAATACATACTCTTTCTGGATCTTGTCTCCATCATAGCTTCTGGTATAGTAACCTATTCAACATTGGGAAGCAAGCTAGTATGTGTGTATCTGTTATGCTATTTGGCGCCGACCTTTATCTGGTATCTCATATTTTTGGGAATCTTGAATTTTTGGCCTTCTTCTTTGTTTTCAGCTCTGCACACCTCGAGCTCAGCACAGCGTCTAATCTGTATCTAAAGAGCTCATTTGCTGGGGTTGTATCAAGTCTTGGACTGGCCGTAACCACGGCGCTAAGGATGTTACTGCAAAACTAGCGCCGGTTTGGACGCTGTTCCTCTGTTTCTCTTTCTGTTCATATATACCATCATCGATCCAATCATATCATATCTCAATCATATCTTAAAGAATGTCTTCCTCGACCCCTGAAGTCTGGCGACCAGAAGATACAGTACCCCCAGTTCCAGAAACCCCAGGATCGGAAATATTCCGACCTGACATCCTGGATGAAATCGAGAAGAAGATCGAAGAGATGAGCAAGGAGCTCAATGTGCTTAGCTTGGATATCCACGGTACGCATTTATCTCAACCCATTTACAAGAATCCGAACAAGACATTGCCCTATTTGTGTCAAGCTCATCCTGAGTTGAAATACGAAGAAGCGTACGCGGCTCATCAAATATATTTTACGCATTCCCAGCCAATTCATACGATAATCGATCAACAGACGAACTCACGACGTTCTAACATCCTTTATGTCTGAGCATGGGTTCAAAGTCGAAAAACACTACCTCCTACCGACGGCTTGGCTTGCAACATATAAGCATGGCTCAGGCGGAAGGACCATCGGGGTGAACTCTGAAATGGACGCTCTTCCCGGCGTTGGCCATGCATGTGGACACAACCTTATCGCTATCTCGGGTGTTGCAGTAGCTTGCGCAATGAGGGCGGTTCTTGAGCAGTTCAATATTTCTGCTACCATTCAGTTGTTAGGTACACCAGGTGATCAATATTTTTCGTCCGTTCATAACATGCAGCCTTACTTTTTCATTCCGTACTTTTGAACCATGTACTTGATGATCTATTGTTAATGACTGAAAACAGCTGAGGAAGGTGGGGGCGGAAAAATCAAGTTACTAGAGAAAGGCGCGTACAAGGATATGGCTGCTTGCCTTATGTGCGTTGTCCCCTGCATTTACAGTTTTACTTACTTTTTGACCGGTTCTTTTTCGGAAACCTCACTGACCATCAAGCAGGTGTCACCCAGCACCAGGCCCGAAAGGATCCGTAAGCTTATCCGGTAGCCTTGCTATTCAGCAACTGACCGTAGAGTATTTTGGACACACGTGAGCATTTCTGTTTCATGGTCACTCGAGGGGCACTAGAAAGCTAATGATTGGAGCTCATAGTGCCCATGCGGCTCTTTCTCCTTGGGAAGGCATAAACGCTCTCGATGCCGCAGTCTTGGCTTATAACAATATCTCCGCACTTCGTCAACAACTGAGACCTACGGCTCGGGTGCATGGAATATTCGAAGGAAAAGATTGGGCTGTTAATGGTTCGTTTTACAATCCTACCCGACTCTCTTGCTGTGCCTCCAACTCGTGCGTGCACAGTCATTCCGGATTATGCAAAATACATATGCTACATCCGAGCTCCCAACGTGACTGAACTGGATGATGTCGTAAAACGGATATTGCCTTGCTTCCCGTGAGTCTTGATTTGTCTTCACCTCGTCTGATATTCATAACATTTCTTGGTCGTCAGCGCTGCAGCACAAGCCACTGGATGCGAATATAAACTCACTTTGGCTGAGAAATTGACGGATATACATCAGAATAAGGCACTCGGTGAGTAGAGCTCCGGTGTTCTGTTCGTAGCATATGTTTTGGTTGTCCATATTGACACCAAATTTGACGACAGGGGAAGAAGTAGCGAGAATAGTCAAAAGCCGATATGGTGGAATTGATTTCGTTTGGGGCATTGCACATGCCTCTACGGATTTTGTAAGTTTAAAATCCTTTCCTTACATCTCTGTTCCTTCGCGTCAAATTCAAGTTCTAACTGATATCTCGAAATGCCAGGGGAATGTAACTTACGGTGTGTAGAGTTTGACATGTGTACATTGTGAAAAAACTGATTGGCCATTGAAAAAGAATTGCCTTCGTTGCATCCCGGGTTTGGTGTGTACTTTGGAGATTCATCCTCAAATCAATTAATTCCTAACCATCCTTCTTCGAACTTTAGCTATCCCCACTGTCCTTAATGGCGGGAACCACACCCGGGATTTTGCAGCAGCAGCGGCAACTGCAACTGCCCACCAAGCGTGCTTGGATGTATCTAAGGCACTGGCTGCTACGGGTATCAGGGTGCTGATTGACGATGAATATTTTGCTGAGGTTAGTCCTGAGTTATGGAATGGGAATGGCTTCACGAACATCGTATTTTATCATAGGTGAAAAAGACGTTTGAAGAGCGACAAAGGTTTTGAACAGTCTCAGTTCGGACGAAGTCACAAGACTATGGAACGCTTCCAAACTTGAACGATATCTAGTGGGATGATGAATTTTGTAATACATATGGTGTAAGAAATGGTGTAAGATACAAGTAAAATGACCGTCAACTTTGACCAGCAACCAAAATTGCAAATGTAAATATGACGAGTGCTCCGAGAATAAGAGAGCTGATAATGATCATTAGTCGAGCCACTGGAAATTGGTTGAGCGTTAAAGCATTCTGTATGGAGAAGTAGCGCGTTAACCCTAGTTGAAAAGGTATCTTGTTTGTCAAGGTGTGGGACATGGAAATAGTAAAATTATCGTACCAGTGATGAGCAGGACGATGGAAAAAATGACGAAGGCAGAACCCAAAGGTTTCGCATACGCTTGCATACGTTGGGACGTTGGTTCTGTTGTTAATGACGTTGTCGACCCATTGGTTGAAACGGATATTGTCAACAATTGTACAAGAGCTGAACTCGACAGTATCACATTTTAGACGGAATGTTCTGAATTGAAAGAGGAAAAAAGCATTGACCCACCGACACCGGTAGAAGCTATTGCCAAACTTGTCCTGACATAGGCTAAGAAAGTTCTTTCAGAGGCTAAATGATCTCTCGCCACACTTCCGTTGTTTTCAAGGATCAGCTGTGGGTTGAACGTTTTTTTGCTTCTGGATCGTGCGTGCGAGTTTAGGGACTGGGGTTGACTTTTGTCGTTCGCCGCCTCGCATTCCGTAGTTTCGCCAGGAAAAGGACAACGTGAACTAGTTTCCTTGTATTTGGAAGGTGCAGAAGACATCCCAGACTGATGACTGTCCTCCAGCTCTACGATTGTCCCGTTTCGTGACAGCGACGGCGAAGGTATCGGCAGTTGTGGGGCTGAAGAGGCTGAGGGCTCAAATGAAAGCTCGCATGACATTCCGTGGTCCGTAGCCATTTCTACACCTGCAGAGACAATCAAGTGTTGGTTGTTGTGCGAGCGGGGAGAAAGAGTTCGAGAGGAAAAAAATCCTAAAGACGTCGTTGACGGAAATGAAGTAATTCGGAATTCCTGTTTGTGATAAGCGCGGACCTTCGCGAACCATACACATGTTTGGTTGGGATCATGCTATAGATATTTTTGGCCAGGAAGCTAGTAGTCGTCGATTCAATACTCGTGTTACTGTTTACTGAAGTCGTCGACGACAAAGGAAGTTTGGCGCTGTTGCGCACAGACTCAAATGGTGCCATTCTGTGCACGAATTGCGACATTCGGGCGTTCGGACTTATCCTAGCCACCTCCGAAATGGATTGCACAGCCACATAAAATATCGATTTATCCTCCCTTGGTCTCTCTTGGTTAATCGAGCTCAGTTATGTCAACAGGACGTCCTCTGCCTCGTCCTTTCGAACTGCCCGACCCTGTCTGTGATACAGAGGTTGATTTAACCGTTATCGTATATGGCTCCTGCTCCAGAGATCCTTCCGATATGGAGGAACGCTTCTCGAAGGACGAACAAGAACAACGCCGGTTGGAGGTATACCTTAGACCCGTCATTCCAGCCAGTCAAATGTACACCGTCTCAGACCGTCGAAATGCGATCAGGCCCTATGTTTTGAGCATTCAAATCGACTTGAAGCACAATAGACCGTGGAGATGTGAATTTTGTAGTATGCATATCATTTTTAATGACCCTAATGCCCTATGTTGATACTCCCGTTACTACACAGCCAAATTTGCACGAGAGTCGGTCTGGATGACAAGCGAATGGTTGCAGCTTAAAACACCTAGCATGGTCAGCTATGTGAGTCCTTCGCTCGTTCTCTACTCTTTTCATTGGCTATAAATCTTCATTCAGGTTCATCTGGTCTGCAATTCAGAAATCGGCGAATGTGCACAAACTCTGTCTGCCATCAACTCAGAAATGCAATCATTGGCAGGTGCTCCTCCCAGACCTCTGCCTAAGCTATCTCGGAATGGCACAAAATATCCAATGGCAGCCAGCTGCGTGAACTGCAACAACGAAGCAAAGGAGAGTCGTAAGCACTTGAAGCAATGCAACCGCTGCAAGATTACACGGTATGTCGAACGCCTGGGCGTAATATTCACATCTACTGGTAATCACACAGGGCAGAGTGTTTAGTATGCGATGAGGCTGAAAGCACATATTTTAATCAAATGTGAGTCGAACGGTAAATTATCTGGAATCTATTTAGCAGGATAGGAAGAGCTATGGACTGAGAAAAAATCATACACTACTTACATGCGAATAACAAATCTGGTATACCTGAAACAGGTTCTACGATGCGAGAAAGTGGGTCTTTATGTATGTAGGGAGGTAGGCCATTCTACGAAGATGATAATGGTTCAAATTGGGTACCAACTCTCCGCCCGAAAACGGCAGTGTGCCATTCTGGATCCGGACCGGGAGATGTCCTTGGTACACTTCCGGCTTCCAGTCAACTGAAATCTTGAACCATGACGGCCACGATGAAAGAAATCCTGGTCGTTGGATTTGGAGGTGTTGGATCCATCTGTGCGCCCTGCCTCTAAACTTCAACTTACATAGCCTCACTAACACAAATAGTTGGAAAGATTCCCTCATCGCGAAACGTAGTGGACTTGCTCGCGTAACAGCAGTTGCTCGAAGCAACTATGATGCTGTCAATCGTGAGCAATTGGCACTGATGTGTGAACGCTGGATTAATCTCTGATCTGCTGTTCAGAAAATGGAATGCACTTCAAGAGCTCAAAATATGGAGATATACCTGGGTGGAGGCCAGATCGATGTGAGTTCAGACATACAAATCAGACTCTTCTCGTCTCTGATTAAGCACACAGTGTGCAAATCTGTCGGAAGCGCTGCTGATACGCCTTATGACTATGTCATTTTAACGACGAAAGCTTTACCAGATATCATCAAGACCCCGACAATCTTGGCGCCTCTTCTCACTGCTCCCTACATTGAAAAGTATCCCCAACCAGCGTATGTCATCCTACAAAACGGTTTGAACGTTGAGGTGGACCTTTATCACGCAATCAAGGCACTTGCGCAAGGCGAACCGAAAATAATCGGGACCTCGCTTTACATTGGGACGAACCTTCTCGCACCCGATGTAGTTGAGCATAATGGTTTTGTGTGTAGCTTTCTACTTATTGGAAACTGTGTCGTGCTGATAGCCATTTTCTTGTAGGATCGCCCGACGCTTGGAATATACAGACATAACGATTTTACAACTACTACCAATTCGCCCGAAGAAACTGTGATTCTTGAGGGTATTGCTTCCATACTTGCAAAGGGAGGAAGCACAGTCAGTGTGGTGCCCGAAATTCAGAGGAAGAAGTTTTCCAAGAACTTCTGGAACGTCGCGTTCTCCTCGCTCACTTCACTGACTGGGTATGTCTACTCTTCCCCATACGGTTTATTGACAAAGAGTTGATTACCTGGAAAATTTAGTTACACACTACCTTCGGTATTCCGCCCCCCACCATCTGATCCTTCCATCCAGTATGAACCGTTTGTTGCACCCAAAACTGCACATCTCATTAACGAGTTCACGATTCCTACGCTGAAGGCTATCATGGAGGAACTGGTCAGCTTGGGTGAGTCCATGATCTGCTATAAGGGGTTCTCACTGGAAACTGAACCCCCACCAGCTCGTGCTCTTGGATTCCCGGACTCAGAAGATGGCCTCCCTTCTTCGACAGTGGAAAGCATCCTCAATAATACCGCATCAATTCACGTCTCACCAGAGAGCACGCACGTACCTAGTATGCTTCTAGACGTACGGAAAGGACAGCCGATCGAAGTCGAAGTTATCCTAGGCGAAGTTGTGCGAATGGCGAAGGAGCGTGGGGTCTCCGTTCCTGTGGGTATCACCCATACTTATTCGCATGAAAGCTAACTCATACGATCATCATAGCGTGTTGAAACCTTATACGGACTCCTCCTTGTCGTTCAGAATCAGATTATCAGAACAATGGCAAGCAAACTTTGAGGTATGTTGTCTACAATGATTTGTGTGCATACAGTTCGTTTGAATTTCAGCTCAGGCTTTGTCCTTTGTTTACTATGATGCGCTCTTTGGGGGTTATCCCGATAGATGAACTTCCGAGTGTATATATGTCAACTTCTGACGGGACGAAAGAAATCCGTTTAATAATGTTAATTATATTTCGGATGATTTAGTCACGATATTTGAAGAGCGGGCGACGACAGCTTGCGTCCCAATGCTTGGTTCTGAATGACTAACAGAAGTGCATACAACGTTTCGATGCGCTGGGGGCGGTTTAAGAGAGTGGCACTTTTGGCAAAGTCTGGACTCACTGGCACTGGGACCCCTCTTTCGCGGGCCATTATAACGATGGAACCCACAATGACTTCAACCTCTATAGGCTGACCTTTCCTAGCATCTAGAAGCATACTCGGAACATGAGTGTTTCTAGGATCCTCGTGCATTCGCTTTTGGTTGGCAATTGTTTCATCTACGAGGGAAGAGGGAAACTCATCCTTGGTGTCAGGAAACCCGAGTGCTCGTGCTGTATATATTTTAGAAGCCTATTGTACAGATGTATGTTGAGAGAATCTACGTACCCAGCGCTTCCACTTCGAGAAGCATTGCTCGTAGAACAGGGATGGTGTACTGGTTGATTGAGGATGCGGTCTGAGGCTCCAAATATGGTTCGTAAGAGGTTGAGCCTCTCTTTGGTGCAGGGCGAAACAAAGCTGGGACGGTATAACTATTGATGTAGGTCAGCGCTCATACACGGACAAATTAAGATGAGGACTGACTTGGTGAGTGTTGCGGTAGAAGCAAAAACCACGTTGATCAAGTTTTTCGCCAACTTCTTCCGTTGAATTTCTGGGACAAGCTGGACTTGAAAGCCGCCACTGTCGAGGGGAGCAGCGAGCCCCGCAAGTATTTTCATCTCTTCATCAGAGTTGACGCAAGTGGTAAAATCTCCATGTCTATAGATACCAAGGAAGATCGAGTCCTATCGAACAATTAGTCGAAACTCAGAGAACTGTCAATAGATTGGGCTTTACAGCCATTGAAAGGTGCTCGACAACTCCTGGTGTAGTTATATTGGTCATGGTATATAGTGAGGTGCTGATAATCTTCGAATTCGGTTGTTCCCCGAGGGCAACAAGTGCATCATACAGATCTTGTTCAACCTTGAGACCATTTTGGAATAACGCATAGATTGGTTGCCCAAAATGTTTCGTATATGTGGAAGATAGGAGTGGTGCGAGCATTGTTGAGGTAGTGATTAAATCTGGTAGTGCTTTGGAAGTCACAATCACATAGTCATATTTTTGATCAGCAGCGTCGGAGACAGACCTGCACACTGAGAATGAAGAAGAGTTATCATAGGTTACACAGGAGCTCGAAGAATACGCACGTCTATCCGGTTTCCATCCAATTATTTCACCGTATCGTCGACTCTTTATGTGCACACCATAATCTGAGAGCAATGAACACTGTGCATGCGAAACCAATGAATGTATATGGCGTACCGTTTACAAGTGCATGACTGCTCCTTGCTACTACAGTTATGCGAGCAAGGCCGCCCTTTTTTAAACAGAAGGCGCCTTTGGGCAACCAGTGAGAACCTTAATTATGTTGCAGGTGAAAATGATCTACACACAGATTGAACCAACTGCACCGAGTCCGACAAGAAGTATTTCCTTTGGCGAAGTGGTCATGAGAGCGAAGGAACAGATCAGTACTGGTCAGTTCGCGATACTCTTTGGTGTCTTGAAGACTTGAACTCCATTCATTTTCATTTTTCATTTTGTATCACGGGCCACGGCTTCCGTGATAAATATCCGCGGAACTCGGATGGAGCAGAATGAGGACAACCACCCACTGTACGGGTGCATACGCGAACTTTGAGGTAGACAAGTGGATGGTGTTAGGCAACTGAAGCGTTAATCACAGGTAAGTTATTTGAAGGGTATAAGGTGTGAGAAGAGCAAGGGTTTCGTAAGTGTCAAAGCTGTCTATATCGGACCAAACTCGGGAGTATCCGAAATCATTTGATTTGACTTGTTGCTTATCGCAATCTCGGCCTGTTGGGGAAAGAATAAGTATGACTTGGGAAACAAATGCACTCCATCCCTTCCCTCAATAAGTATGAATGGTGTAAATGGCAAATATCATCAATCCCTTGACGGACTCGCTGAAAACCCATTGCGCCGTACTTGGCGCGGTAATGAGCAAGGCAAGAGCATTCTCTAATTCTAGAATTGGTCGTTTACCCATGGCCATCGAGCTACAGGAACTATAGAATTGAGTTCTGTTCCCAAGTTCGATGATCCATACCAGGAGCGTCAATGGATCAAGGTGCATTAACTCATTTCCAAGACTCGGAGTGCAGACTCACTTTCAATATAGGAGCACATGGCAGCTGCGTTTCGTTACTGGGGAAAATGCGGTTACGGTGAAGGTGTATCCGGTCATATCACCGTCAGAGATCCAGTCCTTCCTGATCATTATTGGTGAATAACTGTTCATTCATTCACCCTGCGATACCTCTAATTCGTGTTGATTTTATAGGATGAACCCATTCGCAGAGCATTTCTCAACGATGACTGTGTGCTTTCCTGTATTTCTTGAACTACATGAGCTGATCATTTTTGTTAGAAATCCATGCTTGTCTTGGTCGGTCCAGACGGCTATGTATCCCCTCATGGTGCCCAGTTACCTATAAACTCCTCTGGCTTCTATATCCGTAAATTAGACAGATGCATCTCCAGTACCCTAATCGCTCATCATCTACCGCAGACTCTGCTATTCACAAAGCACGCCCTGATGTTAAGGCCGCTGCTCATTGCCATTCCATTCATGGAAAAACCTGGTCAGCTTTTGGGCGCCCAATCGATATCCTTACCCAGGACTCGTGTTTATTCTATGATAATCTTGGGGTTTATCAAAATTTTGGTGGTGTAGTTCTGGCGGATCAGGAAGGTAAGAACATAGCAGATGCTCTCGGACCCAAGTGGAAGGCGTGTATTTTGCAAAATCACGGATTATTGACGCGTACGTTATGTCCTCGTAAGTTATTTCCTGCAAATGTGAACTGATCTTTCTTTTTTCGTAAGTTGGTAACACCGTAGATGAAGCAGTGTTTCTGTTCGGTGCTCTAGATAGGCTATGCCAAGTCCAACTTCTGGCGGAGTCTGCGGAAGCCAATGGAATCCGCAAGTCGGTTATCTCTCAAGAGGACGCAGAATTCACAGCCAAAACCATACAGTGGTGGGAGAACGTCTATGTCAACGTGAGCAACCGTTTTCCAAATGATCATAGCCTTCGTCATACTGATACTTGAGATAGTTCCAGCCAGAATATAAGCTGTTGTTACAGGAGACCAACGGAGCATTCTTGAAGTGACCCAGTTCAAATTTTGGGATACTGCTTACTTCGTTGCGTCGGACGCTGGAAACAGCCATTTCCTTGTTATTCGACTGCGCGTGTATACGTATGAATGCGTTATAATAATAGTACAAATGCAAGTGAGCGACTGTGGTGGAATAGGGTGGAATCTGGTCATGCAGAAAAGAAATACAAAAAATACGTAACGAACCGACGTCGACAAACTGAAAATCTCTTCATGATACCAAACCATATTCAATATTCTTCCACATCTGAGAGCGATGCCGCAGAAGCATACTCTGACACTGTACCATCATCATCATCAACCACTTCCTCATCATACTCGCGCAATACCTCTCTCATCGCATACTTCATGATCGGTGTCGTTGGTACCAATTTGGGACCAATGACAGAATCCATACTCCCTTCATACACACTCCGCCAGCGAGAACTTCTCCGTCGGCGGTTATGCGAGAATACCTCCTGCTCTGGGATAGGGACAATATCTTCTTCAGATGCTGCGGCTAGGTTTCCTTCCAGTTGATTCGAGTTATCCACAAGTGTGCGTCCATTGCTCTCGTCTCCCTCATCGCTGAGCGGTCTCGATTGACGATTTAGATAAGATGACCCTTCTGGTTCTAATTCTTTCGTCACAGGCTCTGTCCACCTTAGATCCAAAATCCTTCCCTTGACCATACCATCCACAGCATGTACCCCATACTCTCGGCATAGTGCAAAGTACGGAAGGTATGTTGTACCAGGTTCAGTGATCCGGCTGATTACCCTCAGTAGCTGCATTGCCGTGAAATCTGATTCACCGTACGTCGCAGCAGTGCTACTGCTGTCTGGGTCCTGGACGCTTGGGCCACGGGGATTGCTGATTGCGGAGTATATCTTGAAACCAGGTAGGCGTGATGATGAAGGAGGGTGGTTGGGGTTTGAATTTCCCTCTTGACCCTCACCCTCCGGAGAGTGCTCAGACGAATGAATGATGTGGAGATTGAGCAGGGCATGTGCCTGTAAGAAATGGGAGCTTCGTCTCACTATATGCACCAGTCAGTCACCTAACAACTTGATGATTATATATTTGGACATACCGTCAAGACGACCATTGGTATTTACTCAAAACCGACTATTCAGTGATGAGGATAATCGAAATAACGGTTCACTCACTGTAATCTGTCACAAAATCGTGCCAATGCACCAACTTTCCTCCAAATGCTTCATAGAGCACCTCAAAATTAAGTCCATACTGAATGTGCTCTGGAACACGAGGTAGAAGCTGTTCACGAAAGAATACTCGCGTCTCCGCTTTTGAACAATCCCCGATGGTTATGATCTGGTAAGTTTAGAATTAAATCCAATGTAGATCACCGACGATGAAGCAGACGCACCTTGCAATGTTGCATGACGTTCAGCTGTCTCAACCAAGTGTGGTAAAATGGGTCGCTAGTGGCGTGTATGACATGACACAGTCGATCCTGTTTGGTCAGGACAAGGAATGCACTCAGGATGCAGTTCATCGCCTCTGTTGACTGGATGAGGGCCGGCCTAGAAGGACACGTCTTGAGCCTCGCAATCAACTTGGGCATAAGCTTGCTACATACAATTTATGGGCTTCATCGAAAAAGACGACCTATATAAGTATTTGAAAATCTACCATTTTGAATGGGATGAGAAAACATACAGGCATCTTCTTCACAGGCCGTTTCCGTTTCTCAGCTTCCTTCTCTGACTCGCCTTCATGCTCTGCAAGACGTTGTTTCTTCTTACCTTGGTCCTCGTGCTTGCTCCTGAGGTGCAGAAGATTTCGGAATCCAGTGGTTTCACGTTTGCCATTTACACAGGAAGGATCAACACGAGTTTTAGACGACGACCCATGTTTTTCTTCTTCCTTACGCATTTCTATTTTCCGGTCTTCTTCTTCGTATGGGTTGAATTCCCAGTATTTCAGTAATGATGACTGCATAACCACGAAATTAAGCGAATTCCACAGTACGAATGACTGCGTGCCATACCTGGAATAGTTCCATAAGCCTCGCGATATCACTGGTTTTTACTCGACTGATGCCCGAATCTGGAGGGACTTCTGTCATTCTCCGTTCAACATTCAAACGATCATGCTATCGAGAGTCAAAAACTATATCAGTCAAATGAACCACTATGTTTACCTTAAAACTCCATGCCTCCTTCTCAAACTCCTTATACCCTTCCATCTGAGTCGACATGGCTTCGAAATACTGTTCCATCTGACGACTCAAACTCATGTACAGACTGGCAAGATCTGCAAACCCGGCTATCCGGAGGTCGAAATGAAGGACATGGTACGAGTCTCGGCATAAAACTTCGCGAAGGAGGGCAGTCTGAAAGTAGATAACCTCGGTGTTACAATGTAGAAACGGAAAACGAGAGTCGCGCAAACGCACCTTTCCGACTGATGTAGCACCAAAAAGAACAGTGAATGCAGGTTCTCCTTCCAAAGCCCGTTCAATCGTTTTGGCTTCAGCTCGACGAGCGAAGAAACCCGGAAGTCTGGAAAAGGTATGTTTGGGGCGAATTTGTGAGCGTTCACGATTCTCTTTGATTTCCTGCCGAGCCTCTTCAAGAAGTCGCTTGGATTCTGTAAGTGAACGAACAGTCTCTGCTGGCTATAAATTGACGTCTATGAGTTTGAGGCTTTGAGGGATAACACGGAAACGTACATTTGTCAGAACACTGACTATTTCTCCCATTCCGAAGAAGTTACGCTTCCGTACATCAGTAGGATAATAAGAGGATCTTCTTCTAGGAATGTTTGTCCGAAAAAGCCAATGCATAGACCCTACTGTCTGCTGGGACGTGTATCGTGAAGACCTTCGGAGTTTGTTATGGCCTGGGGTTGCTAAAGGCATGACTTCTGGAGCAAAACTAGAGATATTGAGTGAGAGATAGGTGCGGCTAGTAAGATCGTTCATACAGGTAATATGCATCATGATATAACTGTTCTTCGCCTGGTCTTCGCGTGTTCGGAGCATTTTGACTGCAGCTAGAATAGAAAACAGGACCACGATGCACGTTGAATGTTAATCGACGGCTACGGAGGTACAAAACATGGCAGAGCCTCATGTTGGAGGCTCTTCAGATTCAAGAGGAAATCCAGTGACCTCATCGAGTCGATCTTCATGGACGCGAAAAGGAAGCGGCTTACGTACTTGACACGTGGAACGCGTCGCGACGCGTTTCGGAAACTCCGGCGACGAACATTACGGGACGACCAGCTCACTGCCTCCAACCGATTGTGTACGGACTTGACTACTTGGCCTCATTTTTGTTTTCTAGTACACGTCAATCCTGATCTCAAGACCCCATAACTAATCTATCCCAGCGTAGCGCACGTCAGCGTTCTCATCCAACCACCGCAGCCATTTCTTCAAGTAACTTCCTCCATGCATAACTGTGGACGAATCTCCGACTACACACTAGAAAGATATGTCGGTCAATGCTACATCTAAACAGTACGACGAGTGATACTTACAAGGTGACGCTTGGCTCGAGTCATAGCCACTGCATTTACGTCTATAAGTAACAAGCAAATTCACAGGGAGAGGTTTAGCACACCATTCAAACGTCTTTTTTCCTTCAAAAATCCCACTTCTCTCTGTCGATTGTTCAAACGGATATAAGTCTCAACGATAGATACGTACGTACCTTGTCGTTACTTCTCACAAGGCTGATAACCACAGCATCCTTTTCTCGACCTTGCATACCGTCGACGGTTCCGATTTCTAGTAGCGTCCCATACAAGGGTCTTAAAAAAGACGTCAACAACGTCACCTGCGCCTGATATCTAGGTGCAGAATTGAGAGGATAGCGAAATGCATGAGGAAACACATACGGAGTAATGACTGCGATACGTTCTGGACCTACGCCAGCTTCAACCTACCAATACAACCAAAGACATTGAATGGACCACGAAATGTACAAAAACACAATGAATACGGACCAGACCTTCCACCCATTGCTTCACAACCGTCGCCTCATTTTCGTTGCATCGACTTCCTTCGTCACTATCCCCACCGCTTTCTCCATCTAATCGCTCAAAGTATTCACACCCTGCAGTATCAAAGAATGTTATCGGAGTTCCGAGAATCTCCTTCCGCGTTTCCTCGTCGTCTGATGCCTTTGTCGACGTGTTAGCGGACTGAGTCTCGGGCAAGTCAAGCAGCAGATGATTTGCAACAGAGGGATGCGAAGTCAACTTATTCGAGTATAGAGTCCGGGATGGAAATGTACAGATTTGATTGTGCATCCTGATAGGTATGTATAAGTGACGGATGTAGGAAACGCGAGTCCATCAACGCACCGGTATTGAACGTTCAACATCCTCTTGATGCCAGATCCGTACATCGACTCCAATCGGTCGAATAGGGTCGTTTCGAGACTGCGTGAAGGGCGCAATATAGACATTTTTGATCGTGGCTTGTTATTTGCAACAACGGTCTTGGACTTGGCATCATCGTCGCTCCCACTGCCAGCGCTTTCTTCTTCTGTGCCGGAATCAGGCGTGGATGGTGATTTGCTATCTTCAATCGCCATCTCGCCCTTGACATCATCGCCGCTACCATTGCCAGCATTTTCCTCATCTTTACGAGAATCAGAAGGAGAAGGGCGTATCGGCGTCGCATTCTTCGCCAAATTGGGTTTCACCTTGGACTTTCCACTACTTGTCTTGGTTTGTGATTTTGAACTTGAAGCCGATGCGCCTTTACTCTGTTGCTTCCTACGTTTGTCCAAGGAGAGAACAGTGGGAGGAAGTTGCATAGGGTCGCCAGCAAGTATGAGTTTCTTTGCTTTGAATATCGGGATCCAGCATACCTACATTAGACGTTGTAAGTTACGAAAAGACCTTAATGGGCGTAGCTTACTGCTTCAATGGCTTGAGTTGCTTCATCAATGATAACGACGTCGAATTCCTGGTTCCGTAATTGCCTTCCGCCGGACGAGTGGCATGTAGCGACCACAATCTGGACTGTGAGGTCAATATACTTCACTACACTTCGGGAATGGCAACGCTTCACCTGGGATTCATTAAGTACCGAGCTAACAATTCCTCCTTCGCGCTTTCTATACCTAAAATTGAAGGGTGAATTTCACAATGAATGCACCCGACAAGAACACTTACTCCTTCCGCAATGCTTTTACTTCTTCCCATAGCTTTTTCCGTTCTGTGCCTTTGACTTTCCCCTTCACGCCCTTCCCCTTGCCGGACAATAATGCCAGCGTCGTTTCTAGTTCAGATTTAACATCTTTCGCCAACGCAGCTTGGTCTGTCCTGGCCGCCTTCATATCTAACGTAGCCTCTAGAATACCTTGGTGTGTCATGACTCGTGCTGGGTGTCCAATACGAGTTACCCTTAGACGTGGGGATTTATCAGAGACAGGAAGAGCGAGAAGGCGTTCAAGGATGTTGTCTACGGAAAGGTTAGAGGCGCCACAGACCAGGATCCGTTTCGAGGAGGTGGAGGCTAGTTGGCGAATAATCTCGATGAGAGTATGGGTCTAGGCATAAACGCGATATGTACGTGCCAGATGATTTACGATGTCTAAGCTCACCTTTCCGGTGCCCGGGGGTCCATGGATACAAGCCACTTCAGGTGATTCCAGACAGAACCTTATGGCTTCTTTCTGGCTGGGATTGAGGGATTCGTCGAAAAATGAGATATCTTCAAGTTTGTTTAGAGGAGAGGGAGGCATCATTCCCATGAGCACCTTGATCAATGGAGTCAGTTCAGAGTCTTTTTCGCCTTTGATAGTTTTTTCAAGATGTTCAATCGCATGATCCATACTGTGTCGATTCAATGAAAAATTGAGGTATACCGGAAGAAAGGACCCACCGATCATAAGTAACACTGTTCGCCAGTTTCACAAGACGACAGCGTTCGGGAAGACCAAGATCATCTTCACTATCCACAGCGAGGACGATACGCGTATCAGAGACTTTGTATACCACGCCTTCCACTGTTGAGTCCTTAGTATCTGTGGATGCTTGTTTCTTTGACTTCGTAGTGATGTTTGCTTCGATTCGAGCAAGGTCGCCTGTTCTGAAAAAGTACGGATGAATAGCCGATTCGAAAGAAACGACTAGTGGAATCCAAGCTACCTCAGGTTATGAGGAGGAAAAGTGGGGTTCGTATGATATGCAGATGGCCTTTCGAGCTCAATTAGCCTGCACTTGACCATTGTCAATATACCATCAAGGAGGAAGGATTAGGAACACACGTCTTTCCACCTAAACCAATCTTAACTTCGTGTATGCCAAGTCCCAGAAGAGCCAATCCCTTCTGTTCCAGTAATCTGGGTCCACAATTCGAGAGCAGAAGTGAGCTCCTTTCAACTTCAGCATCTCTTTCTCGATTTAGAAGCAGCTTTTGCCTATCGATGAATGCGAGGAGCTGAGAATCAGATGAGGCCATTATGGTCAGTTTCAAAAGTACTAAGCGCCGGTGGGCGGCAATTCCAAGCTCTGCTTTTAATAACCGACTGCCACCTAGCTAGGTCATATCCAGACAACAATTTCATCGCTCTGCTTTTGTTTATCTTACTCGCTCAAGTTAATTCCTAATTTCTATCTTCGAAACTGTGTTTCCTTTGTTGAGAGATGGCCAACTTTGACTTGAAACGCTGGTGCCAGAGTATCACGCAGGTAAACCTCGTCTCAACCATGCAAATATAAAAAAGCAATAACGTCATGCAATTTAGGGCCAAGGAGAGATTGAACATTTCATTAGACAAGCCTTAGAGAGAGTTCGAGCCCTCGAACGGTCCGTCGACACTCACCATAAAATCGCGAAGAGTTTTGTGACCATGATGGATGATCGCTTGTTGGCCATGAATGGTGTGCTGTCAGGGTGCCAGGAATGCATAGAGGGGAAGGCTAGAATCACGGCCTCTACTTCAGGGAGAACTGCGTATCAGCTGCTCCAACCCTTGATTCGCCATCTTGAACAACAGGCATCTGCATTGACGGACAGTGTGCAAGAAGTGAAACGCTTGGCGGTAGTAGTAGAGCAGCGTCACTCCACCTTAATTCGTGTCTACGCGGTGCAGAAGAAGCAGGATCAGGCAAGAATCAAGAATGCCGAATCGCGCTTGAAAGGAAAGCTCTTGGATATCAGAAAGCCCAAGATAGCAATGGCATATCATAAGCTCGAAGGCTTGGAAACTAAACTAAAGGCCTTTGAAACGGATTGGAAACTTCGGCAAGTGCAGTTCCAGGAATTTGAGGAACTCGTTGACAAAGTTCAAAATTGTTCAAGAGAGGTGCATTCTATCTCTTCGTATAGATTGCAACATTCTCATCTTCCCCCAAGTTGATGATACCAGTTGATGTCGAACTATCAGAGCAGTCCACGAATACCGATTAGTGGATATCTAGCTGCATTAAACCATTGAGGCTCTTTATCACCATCTCCGCGCAATGCCAGGCAATGCCTGCTCGATTGCCAGCCGGCTCCAGAGTGACCATAACTATGCAAAACCGGTACCGAAATACTCCCTCTCTTCAAACGTAAACCGCTGTTTCGTACAGGCCGGAAACCGACAACTTCTTTCACTTCAATTTAGTTGAGGTCTTCTGGCATTGCTTTAAAACCTTCTGCTCGCAATTGCGGAGGTATCACTGCGGGAAAAATCTCCAAGGCTCGACGTTTAGGTATATAATATCGGGAAATGTCTTTTGAACTAGGCTCCACTGTTGTGGACTGCACCTTGCTTGGGAAAGGATAAATTTCAGTGAAATGGATACTAGAACTGGTATGGCAGGAACTAGGGAATGATGCAGGATTTATGTATGCAAAAAGTGTGGTCTAAGCATTATCTGAGTGTCTTTGTCAAGGTGTAGATTTTAGTTCAAGTATCAAGTGAAAAAAACAAGGCACATAAGGTGCACTACAGGATATACACACTTCAAAAGCCTTGTGGAAATTTGTTTGATTAATCTGAGTATTGAGGAAAGAATGTGGTGCATATAAGGTGCACTGCAAAGCAAGCACAGAGCTCTGGATGTTTGTAAACATTTGGCAAAAGCATGAGGCCAAGCACAACCAAAATGTGCCTGCACAAAACAACTTAACTTCCGGAGTGCAATAGACCTTGCAAGCAAGGTGATTTTAAAGAGATTGGGATTCACATCAGACACTTCTCTCTCAGTATAGACGGTGAAGTCACGCCCGGATGACAGGGCCGGAAAAATTTGATCGGATTTGGACGATGCACTTTTGGCCGAGATCTGCATTGTCCGTCTGTATTACAATCACGTTACTGTTGATTTCTTTTCTCACCATGGGTTGGCCGGTTCTCTGCCCGTCATTTCGCCTGTCCCTCTCAATCTATTTACCTCCGTTCCCACTATTAACACTCGGCGTCGTCCTTTACAGCTTGATCGACAATGGTGCTGCTGCCGCCAGCTATCTCTCTGTCCCGCTCCTCGTCTCTGCTCTTGACGACCTCGACCCCGAATCACTTGCACTTTTTCACGGCGTTGTGAATGCTCAGGCCGTCGCTCTCTCACTACTCACAGTTAGAACACAGCAAATCATTGATGCGATGGATGTTGACAAGCTCGGCAATTTGGGCGAGGCTCAGACTATCGAAAATGAAGATGAAGAACTCAAAGTTGTCTATCCGGCAGACCCTCAACCCGCTGACACGCTTGTGCTTCCAGGAAAGCATGAAAATGGGATATATTATGCTATATATACAAATATGTTCGTATCCTCTCTCCTTAATCTTTGAAACTTCCAGCTTACATGCTATCTTTCCCCTTCCTCCAGCAACCAGTTGACAGGTCCAGGACTGAAAGAACTCTGCAAGCAGTATTGTCTCTCAACCACAGGCAACAAGAAAGTTTTAAAGGAGAGGATAGCAGGGTTCAGCCAGGATAAGAGCCGATGGCAACAGTATGTTTTTGCTAACTGTTCACACTCTTCCTACAGCTGATCACATCTCCATTCCAGCCTCCTTCCCAATGCTCGACGTGCTCATCGAGGTGTTCGTGATGGCAGTATCACGAAGCACAGGCCTGTTAAGATCATGTACACCGTGTAACCGTGCCAAAGCTACAAGGTGTCTAAGTGCGGAAGACGAGTGGGACAGTAGTGAAGTTATTAACAACACCGCTGTTACGCCGTTAGTCCCCGGAGATCGAGAGTAGAGAAGGGAGGAACTGAGAAGCAGCCAGGTCGGAGCGGCGGTATCGCCGGTGACGAGGAGCGAACCAGAGAACGTCTAAGTCCTAAGGTTATAGTAGAGAGTACTCCAAGGCGATGAGCCTGAAGACTTAGAGAGGAGTTAAGTTGGGAAGGGAGATCTAAGTTGATAATTAAACTGAGGAACTACAGTAGCGTACAGGCAGTATTTATATCTACGGAGCGGCGCAGCGGTGCGGAGCGCCAGACTAACTACTAGGAGCTATACGAGTAGTACCTGCAGGGTAAAGTAAAAGACAATAAGGAGGGACTAGAACGAAAGGGTATGTGTAGCGAGAAAGAACAATAAGAGTGAGATTACAATAAGGAGCAGATCTTCGGAGTACCGAACGGCGGAATGGAGGCCCGCGGCATGGACTTGACAAGGCCCCAGACAAATGTAAGCCCCGCGAAAATCAAGAAGCTGAAGCCCTCGGTCCTGCGACGGAATGAGTTGATGGGTCTCCCCTTGCACACTCCGCTCGGTGCTCAGCTCTTTGCCTCGGAACGCTCGAAGGATATGCGAACTCTAGAGGAGAAGAACTCGCTTCTGCGTTTGGTATGTCATCTGTTTGTCCTTCGTAGATCTAAACTTATGCAGTTGTCAGGCAAAGGAGTTTGATGATGCTCATCCCTTCATCCCCCGTGAGGAGCTTGCCCGCAGAAAGAAAATTAGAGAGGAGGAACAGGCTAAGGAGAAAGCGAATAGCAAGGTGTGTGTCATGGGCTTTTTTTTCATTCCACCTCTAATGTTATTCCTTCAGGTAGCGGTAGCAGAGAACTTGCGTTCAATGTCTGAGCAAATCGCTACCCTTACAGCTACCATCCAGATACTCAGTGGGCTTTCAGTACCTCCCAAACCCCCATACTCAATGCTTGCAACGCTGGCTCCGTTCCCGGTATCCTCATCAAGAAGTGATTCATTCAGTTTCCTCCATAACATTTCGCTCACTTAACTTCTCACAGGTCTACCTCCGAATTCTCTCCAAGCTGGGCTGACGTCAAGCCATACGATTCACCACCATGGCTCTTTTCCCACAACTGGTGAGTACCCTGATCCCTGATCACAGCTCATCCATCTAAGCTTCCTGTCTAGGTATTTCAAGTGTCCAAGTTGGCTGCTTCACCCCGAGCCAGTTACTGGTCCCTCCTGTCCTTCCGCATGTGTCCGCCCCAAGCAGAAGTGGCGTGGTATGGAAACCAGTAAATCCGTAAATTTGTAAATCTGTAAATTCATGAATTTGATGACATCATTATTTACAGCCTTGATATTCTTCTGCTCATCTTAACCACCAAGTCTTGAGCTTGATCATTGATCAATCTGCTCTAGACATGGATAAAGCTGTATCAGTACAATGATTAGTACTATGGCAAACAGACAGGCCCATGCCTGAGGTGTGGTACTTGTACACCAATTAATACACTGCTAACTACTACACTGACCATACACTGACCATATACTGATCTGTAAAACCTGGATGTTCATGAGACCAAATGATACTAGCTGAAGAGTGCTGTGCATGCTGTTCAGCACTCATAAACTACTGGGAGTGCTTTCCCAGCTGGACAGTGCTGTCAGCTGCTTTTGAGATTTTAGCCAAAAATATAGGTTTTACAGATTGTTGGAGAGTACTCCGTACGCCTAGCTTTGACGTTTCCTTTTTTTCCTTCAATACTATACTTCTGTTTGGCTGCTTATCTTTTACCTATGTTTCGGCTTACCAACCCGACCTGGTGATCGGGTTATATATCTTTCGTTTCGCTAGTTATTCCCTCAGTTGATCTTTACACTCAACTGAGGTATGTTTACTCATTTCCAGTTTCCTTATTCAAACCTGTACTTATACAATCCTTAGTCTTATCTATTCCTACAGGTACTAATATAGTTGATCTTTACACTCAACTGAGTCTTATCTATTCCTACACAGATGTGACTGATACACTGACCACAATCCTAGGAAATTGCTTGCAAACACAAATTTGTACAAATTGTTATCTACTCTGCAATTCATTTAAGCCAAAGTCCTTGCAAGGGGTCTCCAAGAATACTGAGATATTTTTTGGGCATTCAAGTTATATAGTATTGAATTTGTTCAGCAATGTACTAATCTTTAAAACCTGTACTCTTAGCTATTTACCTGGGAACAGCTGGAAGCACTTTCCAGCAAAATTAATAGTCATGTAGGGTTTTGCAGATCAGTATACATACTGGCATTATCTTAGGGTACCAACAGAAATTTCATGTTGGTTGAATGTACCTAGTGTCCACAGATATTTTGCAAACTGAGGCAATGGCATGTAATAACACCGTCAACTGAGTTCACTGACATTAAAGATACACTTGTCACTGACATTAAAGATACACTGACATAAAGATACACTGACATTAAAGTACACTGACATTACAGATACACTGACATTAACATTAAAGTACACTGACATTAAAGATACACTGTCATTAAGTACACATCTGGAAAACCTGTTTTTTTGGCTAATTCTCCAAGAGCATCTGAAAGCACTTTTCAGCAGCCAGAGCAAGTTTCAAATTTTGATCTCAGTGCTTTGGGTGCTGGAGAGTGCTCTCCAGCCAGTACCCTTGCTCTGGCAAACACACAGGTTTTGCAGATGCATTGACATAGAGTACAACTATTTATTACAACTGCTATATTTATACATCACAACAACCATGAATTGTAAGTACTTCAAGTTGATATGCTGACTGTCAAGCTTGGGGAAACTCCTTGCAAGTAATGTACACTACTATAACACACTCACTGGTTTTTCAACTGTTATCCTGCACCTAATCTGCCTGAATACTATTCCAAGGTTTTATCAACAGAGCTTATCATATACATTCAAATCACAGAGGTGTTGAAATAACCACTGTAAACTGAAAATAGGAGATGTAAGTTGATAAGATGTGCCACTGGTGTAATAGCTCCCATGTGACCTCCTATTAGCTTCACGTGACCTCATTTATGAGTTTATGAATTTACGGATTTATGACTTTACCGGGTTCCATAGTACGGTAGGTCTCGCCCCAAGCCCGTTCGGCCTCTCACAGAATTTCAGCAATGGGGCTGTAGTGCCACAACCGATTGTGAATGCAGGTGCTGCTTCATCTATGCAGAAAGAGAGGTCTGATGAGGTTACGATTGGGCATGGGCAAGTAATTTATTACAAATATAGGGAGGTTCGTGAGCCCCGCCAGATTTCATTTGTCACCGACATCGCTCGACTAGACCGTGTCTGGGATGATGAGCGACCCAATTGGGACCCCGTTGACTGTGGTAGCCTGCTGGAAATCAACGGTGCTCCTATCGCTCTTAAATACTGGAAGCAAGTCTTCAGTCACAAGAATGACGGCACCTGGTCATGGTTGAAAAGACTCTGGGTCGAATGGAAGGTGGGAATCGTCTATATACAGCAGTTCTTTGTTTACAATTTTTTCTAGTATGTCGCGGAGCGTTATTGGTCTAGCAGCCCCGAGCAGTTCTGTCAAGAGTTCTCCTCCAGTACTGGTGATCGATTCCACTGGAAAGCCATCACTAATCGACTTCGTGACCTTCGGAGTGAGCACGATCAGCAGTTAGTTGATCAGGCCAAGGCTAAATATGGTGATAATTTTTCAAAGGTCTTTGTCAATAACCGTGGTAATGTACTTACTGATAAACCTACAATCGCTCGACACTACCGCATTGAGTTAGCAAAGCGTTCTATATAAACCTTTCCTTCTTTGCTATAATTTAGTATATCAACAGCTTTATGTATACGGTTGTTAATTTGGTTATAATAAAATGATCTATTTTTCAAGCACAATGGCATGTGCGATTACAAGTAGGACAGGCAGTAGTAGGTGCACAGTTCATGTTGAAAAAATCATCACGATCAACATGAGGATTGTCATTCCATGAAATAAGGTATTTCACGATAGTCAGATGTGTGAATTCCTGACTCCATCCTCCCCACTCACAGATCTGACGCAAAGGCTAGCGGCGTTCTACAGAAAGCCACTGGCACCCACCACGTCGGAACGAGTGTGTTCCATAGGGAACAAAGTCAACACCTACATCAAGAAGATTGTTCCAAAACATCTCAAGAAATTGTTCTGAGGTCTAAAGCACTGTTGAGCAAAAGCAAAGGGAGAGAATATTACACAAGATCACACCATGGGCTCATTTTCCTCAGCAAGGCGATCATTGGCTCGAATCTTGCGAAAAAGGTACCCTTCTTTCAAACCTGATACAAGGATCCATTTGACAAAAGCCCGTACAACACATAAGTGTTGATATTCCTCGGGCAACTCGTACCAGACAAAAGGCTTGATATCTGAAGTGATTGACATCAGTGTACAAACTACGCAATCCCTATTGCCACTCACCTCCAAACTGACTAGTTTTCCGAAAGGGGAGATGAAGTGTGAGCTTAGTCTGACCAGTTATAGGGTTCTTTTCGAATGTTATGTCTTGCAAGTGAATTTTGAGCATTTCATCGACACGGAGTAACCCACAAAATGCAAAGTTATATCCACAATTCATCATCAAACGTGCACGCGGGCGCAAGTGTCCTTTAGCAGTAGGACTCGAAGAGGGTTGTGGCTGAAGGTTGAAATAAAAAAGGTCTTTGAGTAAGCCCTAACGTAGATATTGAGCTTTACTGAAAGACCTAAAGAGCCAAAGCATACATACAGATGTGACTGCTCGAGCACTTGTGGGCGTATCACCACTCTGTGTCTACAAATATACATCAGTCAGATGCAATTTGTATCAAAGCTTGTTAAAGTTGTAACATACCTTGCGACGACGAAGACTAAGCATGTAGGTGGAGACAGTCTCAGAGACTGATGGATTACCTAGTGTCTTTCCAGAAACTTCACTACGGTGCCAGGCTTGCATGCCTAAGCCATGGACTCTGCCAAATCCAAAGGTCGCAGCAGCACGCATCTTCTGGGCATGTGTATATGTTGACCGTTCCCTTGTGGTCGGAATTGCTTTACCATCCGTCAATTATATCACAACTAGGAAATGGTTCAGAGACTAATATATGAAATGATTGAGTTACCTACGAATCCATTATCCAAGCCACTAGATATACTGCTGCTTGAGGATGAGGTTTATTGCAGAAGAATTGGGTTCCTTTAGTTATCATTTGTCGATCAACAAGGAATGTATTACATTGCTTCATCAACCTTGAGTGAATGATTTGCCTTAGCAAGATATGCAGATCTAGCACTTAAGAGTACCCACCGGAGATATTCTTGCGATGTTTTTTCAGATACGCCTTTTGAAACCTCCCGAATTGCATCGCTAAGCCCAGACAGGTCGACCTCAACTTGGTCATGACTTTCTTCCAGATCGTCCAAAATATCTGCAGGGCTCAAGTGCTGTTCTTCGGTAATGACTTTGAGCAACCCAGAGTATGAGCTGTTGGTGGAGATGTCAATGGTCATCGAGGTTGAACTTGAGGGAGGAATGAATCAAGCCCCTATTAGCAACAAACTGCGGTTCTGTTTATGCAGTGCAGGTACTGGGCTGGTAAGAGAGCAGCCAAGGGGTTTAATACGACGTCCAACAAGCCTCCAGGAAACCTGGAGGCCAACTCGAGGGAATACTCATCTGTGAAACATGGGGAAACATGCAGATATATTACAAACATCAATCAAAATACGGTTATATTACTTCAACAGCAACAAGCGCGTTTAGATGATTGTAATACTGGAGGCTCCTCAAGGTCTGAAAGATCACTGACTTCATCCAGGCCAGCGGCAGTACGAACCGTACCCCTCCAATTGCCCCTGCAAATGTCTGCCCATCGCGTGAACTTCTGCAGGCCTAATTTCCATTGCGATGCCCTTGATGCTTCCCGTTCAGTGCATTCTGCTGCAGTAACCTTTGCTAAAATTGACTTGTCTGACTGAAATCTGTTGTCGCGCCATCGGAAAAGACCACCAGAAGAGTACTGTATCATGGCGTAGCGGGTCTCGTGTGCTTAGATGGGAATGGTAGAATGTGTGATAAGTGCAGAGGGAAAGAGGATCGTGGAACCAGGAGGAAAGCGAACTATGAGCCCAAGATCCCAGAGCACAAGGTGCCCACCTTTGTCGGGGTCGAAGGGTCCCATGTTGGTATCAGCGCACCAGCTGGAGGCGCGGTTGTCCGGGTCCATGTGAGGTGGAGAAAATGAGCGGGGTCCCAGGTTGAAAGTAGTGGCAGCAAACGCGGTGTTTTGGAAGTTAGCCCGTAGCTCAGGTTGCTTGTGTTGGATTTCCTCGTTTGTATCCCTATATTCAACATGGTTCTTGTGGCAGAATGTGTTGAAGAGGGCTAGGAAGAGTTTTGTTAGTATTCAAATTACTGAGAAAAGGAGAAACTGCGCACCGTTTTGAAAGCCTGAGATACGCCGAATTGCATCGTTTTGAAGAAGCTCTTGCATGGCGTTCTGATTCGCTCTGCCGGAAACTTTGTAGTTCTGCGGTTTGCGCCGCCCATTGCCATAACCGTATCCAACCGTTCGCGAGGCGAAATCTCCACGCCGACCATGTTTTTGTGTTTCAGTGAAGGTACTCGAGTCATGGCAAAGCATAGCAGCAGCAGTAGCATCAGCTTCCACCGCCCGCCATGCTTCCCCTTTGGACCCATGAGGAACGCCGCCAAGGACTGCAATAATTCAGTCATGGGTGTCGACAAGTGCTACGCAGCTCCTGAACAGAGAGAAGTTAGTTATTAAGCTCATAGTTGAAGGAAATGTTACACGCACTGCCCATCCCATCGAAGAAGCTTCAAACCGTTCAGCGAGCTCAGGGCTTCGAGATCTTTCCAAACCCTTTGAAGCCCAGGGGAGAGCTTCTTGCGAGGGTTAGCATTCCAGCCACTCGATGAGACTGGGAGAGTGGAAGCATCGAAGTCTTCAAGCTCAAGGGGCTCTGCCCCTTGAGCTAGTTCGACAACAAAGGGCTTTATGCCCCTGCTCGCAACGCGTTTGACAGCTTCAGTGGCGCGTTTTTTGCGTGAACGTTTTGTAAGCTTTGCGTATTTCTTGTTGTTCCGGGACATTGAGGGAGAGTTGTTGGAAGGATCGATGGCAAAGACTGATTCTGCGCAGGCTTCTTGTTTAACTTCCTCATTCACGCCCTCATCCTCATCCTCAAACTCTATCTCTCCGTCGTCTAAGAATTCCCCAGCATCTTTGGCAGCCATGTGCGCGTTGTTGTCGGCCTCAAGAGCAGAAGATAGGTCGAAGGAGGGGAATTTTATGCGAGCAGTGGGAACGGTGTTATCTGTGAGCAAAAGCAAGTTTGAGCCGCGTCGATTGAAAAGGTCAGGGGCAAGGGGTTTTCATTTCAGCTGGCGGCGCGTTTATGCGTAGACCAGAACGAATTTTCAGCCAACAGAGCCTTGCCTAGATGATGGGCTGGGCGTCCATTGGCTGGAAGATTCGAACTGGGAGGGGGGGGGAATAGATGGGTATGGGTATGAGAGAAGATGCTCACCTAAATCAGAGCCCATTTTGTAAGAAAGTTGGCGGCGATGGGAGGAGCAAGGAAGATGAGGGAAAGGCCATCAACAGAAACGCGTGACGGTGGCTGTGAATGGTTTAAGCGCGCGCTCTGTCGTGGCTGTGATTTCCATTCAAGCGCGCACTGCATTTCTTTCAAGTCCGTTTCAGCTGTTACTGTTATTCCACGTTCTTCCGAGCTGCCTTAATAAAGCTTCTACTCCTAAGCACATCTTGAGAACTCCCTGTGCCTAGAACAATCTTGGTAACACCAGGCCTTCTCAAACATATATTCTAGCTCATTTACACCTTCCTTTTATTAGCACCATTTCTCCTTCGGGTTCTGTCTCTCCTCGGCCAAACCTGCTTCATAATCCTCCGTTTTCTTCTGCGACTTCTTTACCAATGTCCGCTTTCTCTGCAATGCGATTCGGAGCCATCCAAACAACGCCCACAATCAACACCGCAACCGCCTAGAGACTCGTCAACTCGTGACAAGAATAAGTTCGTTCCACGCCTTGTCGGTGCGCAGACTCTTTTTCATTGCTTTATACCAGCCTCATAGGTCATCAGATCAAGCAGTAAAATCTCTATGCGAAATATGGCGTCCTCGGAACATTCCTCCAATTTTTCTTACCAGTTCTCGTGCTGCCGTTCCCGCAACTGGTCCATCAATGAACCAGTCAATCCCAACCCGTTCAAACCCCAGCTCCATCTTTATTTGCCACCGCTATCCATACCGAACGCGAATCGCTTCCCGGTACCCGCAATCCCGTGCCCATGAAGGGCTTTGTCCACGTAGCTCTACGGCGTTCCCAAACATCTAGGAGCGTTCTTCAGACAGCGCTTTGTTACCTGGAAGCCATTCTGTCCCGAATTTCGGAAATCGCTCAATCGGGCACTTGTGCCTCTTCCCCATCTTCCTTCACCACGCCCACGCCAAACCCAAACTAAACCCGCTCTGAAAAAGAGCAAAGGACCATTTTTGGCACCTGCGCCTCTCCCCATCTTTCTTCACTGCTACCACGCCCACGCTGAGCCGAACGCGCTCAAGAGCAATGAACCATCCCCGGGACATGCGCCTCTCCCACATCTTCCTTCACTACTACTATGCCCGCGTTGAGCCAAACCCGCTCTCAAAAAGAGTAAAGGACCGTTTTCGCGTCGCTCAACAGATACGCTATGACAAACCCAACAGCCATCAGCTCGTTGACATGGACATGTATTTGCCAAACACTACAGCCAGTGTCGAACTTGATGTGCAAGTAAGTCTACCTACACCTTTTTTTCCATTCCTTCACTGACATGAAGGCAGCTTGCGCATCCTTCGAACACCGATCTGTATATTTCTAGTACCAGTCCTCCGACTGCTGGGCTTACCTACTCACCAACTTCGACAGAGCCTTTGTCTGATGATTGGATGGCCCAAACACATTGCTGCTTCGAAAAGAAGAGCATAGCTACAAGGGATAGGCATACTGCTGTGGTTGCTCTGTCTACTGGTGGGAATGGTGTGGTTTTGAGGATGGATCTGGTCCCTCTCTTTCTTTAGTTTTCTCCATATGTATTTTCCTCCATGTCCCTTCTGCTAAACGGAATCCTGACATGTACTTATGTACTTAATGCAACAAATGCTTGGCCGGCCCGGTCTTTTACAACCCTTTATGAATAGGAGTAGTCTACCGACGTCGCTCTAACCCATCATAAGCATGGGCATTCAAAATCTTTGGCCTGTAAGTCACCACCTTATTGCTTGCTATTTTACTCATTATATGTCCTATATAGTTAGTGGATGAAACTGGATTTACCTGCAAGCTCAGAAACTTTGTCACGGAGCATGGATTCATTCGAGACCACCATTGTTCTCGTACAGTTGTTATTGGAGTTGATATCAGGTATGTCTTGACAAAGCCAATTACTCAGTATCTCACCATCATGCCCTTGACCTACGTAGTTCATTTTTGGATGGCTTCCGCGCTTTGGATAGGGTCGCCCATGCTGATCACCGCCTTCATACATCCGACTTGACCCTCACACAATTTTTCAAGCTATTGTGTGGTTTGTCAAAGGCCGGCACCCACTGCATCTTTGTTTATGACGGTGATGGATGCCCACTCGTTAAACGGGGATCTCAAGTTGTTTTGCGTGAATCAGACCACTACAAGCATTCGCGAAAATTGATAAAGCATTTTGGCTATTACAGTCATACAGTAAGTGTTTCTATCTAGTCTTTGTGAGACTTACCTTACAAATACAGGCCCCAGGTGAAGCGGAAGCAGAGCTTTCAAATATGTATGAACGGGGGTATCATCGATATTGTACTTTCCAAAGACAGCGATGTTTTCCCCCTTGGGGTTGGAACTATAATGAAACTCATTGTCCCGTAAACAGCTGCTCCTTCGCATTCGATATATAGCTGACATTCAAATAGAAAGGAGCCAAGACATCTTTGGGGAGATTTGGATGTCCGTGTTTACCACGCACAATCCACAGGCTACTCTCAGGGAGGCTTTATTCTGATTGCTTTATTGCTTCAGAATGATTTTGGTAGCGGCGTCAATGGTATAGGCCACCATACTGCTCGTGGCCTTGCTCAGAGTGGATTTGGGGATGACCTCCTCAACGCCTACCGGTTGTTTTTTAACCTGCCGCAACAGCTCTCTGAAGCATTCCACAAACTGAATAGCGATATGACATACGAAATTCGGCACAACAAACAGGGTAAAATGGGCTTATGCAGCCCTTTTCGGGCGGATATCCTCCGGGACTCTCAATTTCCTACCCTCAAAGACGTTGATGTCATGAATGCATTTCTCAAACCATTAACAAGCTCTTCACCTGGGTTTGATCCTGTTCCAGTCTCTTTAATCCTACCTACACTCCCTGATATCACCGGGATTTCCGGATTTTGTGCCGAGCACTTCGCCTGGTCTCCGATCCTCACCCTGAAGCATTTTCACACTCATCTCTGGCCTGGTATCGTGATACGAATGCTTTCCTCTGTATGTACAATTGGACTATCTTCGCATATAATGCTAACAGTTTTTTCTTAGAAATATATAGCTTATAACGTACAGAAGGCAGAATGCCTCGTTCCCCGCTTGCAGAGTCAACCTCAGACAGACAGCACGGGGAAATCATATATGCCTACTCTATCAACTATTGTCATGAACCCCAAGTCCCTGGATCTCCGAGCAAAGCATGTCAATGAGAGCATTCCCATTACTTTCGATACTGCCTTTTTCGTTCGACTTACTGGTCTCTCCTCCTCGACTATTCAATCCACTCGTAGAGTCGATGTTCCGGTTCCCATGCTTGCAGTGGCTACAAATCAAACAAACAAGGTCGATCGTTTAAGTGAATTACTCGGTTAGTCTCCCGTTTTGTACTTCGTTCCACCATTCACCTTTGAATTTGCAGGCTCGCATCCAAGTTCCGATATCTCTGTCCGGATTAAACGCCGTAATGATCTAGGTTTGAATAACGGAGCATCGAGTGAGCACTGAAATCTCTCACATCTCCTTCAAACAACTGACCGTGCTGCATAGGTAGCTCGCAATTGCATGTGTCCATAAACACACCCAAACCAAAGGACACTCTGGCCTCTGTAGATGGGAGTAGCAAGTATACTCAGTCCAGCATTAAATATTTAGGTCTCGTTGAGCTTACTGATAGTAGTGAAGATGAGCTTGTATAAAAATTGTACTGTGGTTATCTATTAGCGTTGTAAAATATAATGCAGTAAAGTTCACTATATTGTTGTACAAATGCTCTGTAGAGATTGAGTCAGACGGGCAGAAGGTACAAAGAATGGAATGGTTTGCAATGGCGGTAAGCGTTCTGATATCTCCGTGGACATGGACATGGTCTTTTTTACCTGCCCACTAAACTTTGCAACTTTTATGGGGGAGAGAAAAAGCTAGAAAGACAAGATTGCTGCATAATAAGACGATGGCACAGAGATTAGACAGACAATGCACATAATGTAGCTTAATATACTAGAATATACTTAGTCCAACACTTTGACATATACTAGTAGATCCTTGAATTACTTGTTCAATAGACAACATGTCCTGTTGCTCACCGTTGCTCACCGTCTTTCATGGCTCTCTAAGGCCTTGGGTATGAAATTTACTAGTAGTAGTATGTGGATAATCAATTTTAACATCCAGCTTGCAAGCTTACTCTGGGGCATAGGTGTGCATTGCATATACATTGCCTCTAGCTCCTGCACAGACTATTTGGACTATGTACAAATGTTATTCAATTGGTATATTGGAAAACTTCCAAAAATATCTACTTACAGACAGCGGATCGCCATTTTTGAATGCAAATTATGTTTGGTAACCTTCTGTAACCTCCGAAGTTTACATGTAAGCTGACAACTCGGTTGAATCCGAATACAGCCAACATCTAAGCAGTGGCCTGACGTCTCCAACTATCATACATACAACATATACAATTTCGCAACGCATTTTCTATTACATTCATACCAACTACACCCCTTCACCCCCACAAGTCTCCTCACCGTCTGTGTCAAGTCCATGCCTCGGGCCTCCATTCCGCTGCTCGGTACTCCGAAGATCCACTCTTATTGTTCTTTCTCGCTACACATACCCTTTCGTCCTAGTCTCTCCTTATTGTCTTTTACTCTACCCTGCAGGTACTACTCGTATAGCTCCTAGTAGTTAGTCTGGCGCTCCGCACCGCTGCGCCGTTCCGTAGATATAAATACTGCCTGTACGCTACTGTAGTTCCTCAGTTTAATTATCAATTTAGATCTCCCTTCTCAACTCTCACTCTTCTCTAAGTCTTCAGGCTCCTCGCCTTGAAGTACTCTCTACTATAACCTTAGGACTTAGACGTTCTCTGGTTCGCTCCTCGTCACCAGCGATACCGCCGCTCCGACTTGGCTGCTACTTAGCTCCTCCCTCTATACTCTCGATCTCCGGGGACTAACGGCGTAACGGCGGTGTTGTTAATAACTTCACTACTGTCCCACTCGTCTTCCGCACTTAGACACCTTGTGGCTTTGGCACGGTTACACGGTGTACATGATCTTAACAGTCTGCTCACAAGGCATACTCTCACACTGCTCTCACCCCCTCACAAGTCTCCTCACCGTCTGCTCACATACTCTCACACTGCTCTCACATCTTCAAATACTGTCTCCTCATGCTCTCACTTCATCAAATTCTTCTTCATTGGCCCGTATATAACCATCTGCTAACAATTCAACAAAGATCATGGAATCTCAACTGTGAGTTCTCAGCTCATTTTCAACTCGTTTTCAGCTCTTTCCACAACGTTATGCCTCATTTTCTGCTCTTTCCGCTCTTTCCACAACATCCTGCCTCTGGCATCCTCTGTCCCCTCTCACTTATGTTACTCGAGGTTTTGCTCCCGCCGCCGTCGATTGCCCGCTCGTTGTCCGGAGCGCAGTTCTCCGTCGGGTCGATGGAATGACAGGTCCCTGAAGGGGACACTGCATTACATCAGGTCACATCTCGTAACGATACGTTATTTGATGTGACCCGCAGTGTCTTTTCCTTCGTTCTCAATAGCACTTCTAAGAGTCTGTGACAATACATATTCTTACAACGTACATGCTAATCATTGTACCACCAATCATGACCTTGTCCACTTTTTCTTAGTATGATATATGTTCTTTCCGAATCCTTGACTTATGGTGTTCAATGTGCACAAAAAATAAAATGCCCCCCGGTCACAAATTTTCCGCCCCGTACTCAGTAATGAGTGATTACATTGTTCAACCAAAACACCTGACATTTACTACAAGAGTGTATATATGTATTTAATGGCTGTATAAAGCTCTTGAAGCAAGCTGGCCCACCTTATGCTTATAATAATCAGTGACTTGTGCATTGGTTTAATCATTGCTGTGTTATTGATTTTACTACAAACATTGCAACTTCAATACATATACATCTTGCAAAAGGTTGCATTTTCTTGCTGTGTGGGATTATGTATCAAATCTGCTGTGAATAACTATACCAGCCTCAATCATTAATAATGTGCCACATAATACCTTCAACACATTGAGGAAGATTTAACTGATGTCTGATAGTAGATCCCAGCAGTTTGTTCTGGGTGCTTTCATCATCTGCTAAACCTGGTTTTTCAGCTCTGAGAGGAACTGAGAGTGCTTCCCAGCAGCCAAAGCACCTAAAACAAGTTGAAATTTTTGCTCTCAGTGCTTTGGGCACTGGAGTGCACTTTCCAGGTAATACCCTGACTCTGGTAAACATACAGGTTTTGCAGATAATTACTGGGAAACACTCTCAGCTGCTGTTGGACCATGAGCTGGATATCCATGTTTCACAGATTTGAAACCTTGGCCCTGAAGCTGATGAAATGTGTCACATTGGTACGGTGTTACAAGAGATTCAGATAGGTGAGTAAGAGTTATTAAAACTATTTGTGTTCTCAACACTTCAGATGGAGGAATATATGCTGAATGAAGGCTGCTACATGTGACTGATATATAGAATTCAAATGAATTTATTTGGTAAAACAGTCCCAAGTGCATGTCTTCAGTACCATTGTTTTACTCTGATTACTGATTTTAATATGTGTGACTATCTCTTCAGATGTAGTTTGAGCATATATTGGAAAATTTTCATGTACAGTATCTATGTAGTAATACATGACTATCATACCTCATATACCTATGTGAACCACAATGATTTGCAAATATGGACCTGTCAAATTAAGAATCAAGAATCAAGAGTTAGAAATTGATGTAAAAACTCATCTGCAAAACCTGACAATTCAGCTAATAGCCAAAAGCAGCTAAGAGCACTGTCCAGCTGCAAAGGCACTGAGAGTACTTAGTTCAAAAAAACCTACACTGTGTGTTCCAATCAGCTGAATTCACATGATATTTGAATGGATTGTGAGCACAACTAAAACCTACTTAGATACAACAAGTAAACAAGGAGGTATTCAATAATTTATTTCTCCTTGGAAACTTTCCAGGGCGGGAACTTTCTCTTTCCGGGGCGGAATTTACATTTCCGGGGGGCTTTATTTTTGTGCAGAATGAACAGCATATTGACTTGTGTAACCCTCCGTCACCCATGGCGCGTTCAATATGATCACTTGTCCCCACATCTCCGAGTCCTTTACCTCTTCTTGTATTCGCGAACTTAGACCGGTGCACAAAGAGTAGATAAGTAGTAGAAGCATTATCTATGCTTCTCCTCTTTCGATCCATAGTATTCGTTCTGGTGCACCTTCATCAGCGCGCTCGGTTCGCCCTCTGTACGTTCCTCTCCCCACAACACATGAATTCCGGTTCAATGCTTGAAAGATGATGGGCGCCTGCTGCCGTAGGCATGAAATGCTGTTGATAGGTCCCCGGGTAGTTATTCAGCGACCATTACGACGGGATAACCTTTCTGGAGCAGACGAATCGAAGTCGTTAGACAAGGACATCGATGCGTTATTTGAAATCAATTCATGGGATAATAGATCCCATTCTGCCATGTGATTGTGACCGAACAGGATCTTTCTTCAATGTCTTGCACGCGTCTTCTAGTGATCAACCCAAACTCTTCCAAATCTGTGACAGATGGGCTGGAGGAAGTACTTAGGCCTCCTCCTCAGACCGAGCTCGCGTTTTACACTGCTCCAAAGAATGCACCTCCATCGATTAACGATATGATCACTGCAAACTTAACTGCTACGGCGTGTTTCCTGGACATACAGGAGAAGAAACTTATCGATCAGCATGACGGATTTCTGGTCTGCTGTTGTAAGTACTGACCCACGATAGAGTTATCATGAAAAGTCAGGATTTACGCCGGATTTTAGTCTCTGATCATCCGCTGACGCATATGCTTCGCGAAATAACACCCAAACCCACCATTGGGATCTTTGAAGCGGCAATTACCCAAGCCCTCCTCTTAGGCAAACGCTTCGGTATTGTGACTACGGGATCAGGATACAGCGCTGACATTCATAAAGGCGTACAAGCGATTATGGGTGGTAACTCTCAGAGATTCGCTGGAATAGTAACGACTGGCCTTGGGGTTGTGGAGTTACGAGAGGGTGATCGCCAGAAGATCGAGAGGAATATGAAGGAATATAGCGGTAAGATTGCTCAGAAAGGCGCAGACGTTATCTTGCTCGGATGTGCAGGTATGTGAAAGGTCTTTTTATGGTTCTAAATCCAAGAGTTCATATGGTTCGAAGGAATGACCGGTATGGAATCATTAGTTGTGCAAGGTGCAGCTGAAGCACGACCTATGGCCAGTCCTGTTCGTGTCGTAGATGGAGCTAAAGCCGGTGTAGAGATACTTGCAGGCCTAGTGCGATTCTGTGCATGCTGAACACTCGTTACACTGTAAATTTCTGCGCAGAAGCAGTACACTCATAACAAACCTTAAGCGTGGCTCTGTCCTTTCCAATATCATGCGGCCAGAATTAATGATACACTAGGAATAAGATCAGTTTATTTAGCCTGCGAACATAAGTACATGGAGGAACCGTTTATTTGGGCGAAGTTTTCACGTTTCCGTCTTCACCCGACTGCCGCTCCCTGAGGTTACTTTGCGTTTGCGGAACATGCTAGGAGTAGGTGCTAATGTAGAAGGGGGTGGTGTAATAACCTCATCTTTTCCTTTTTCTTCTGTTTTCGTTGTAGTAGATGATTCGGAAGGCTCGGATTTGATTTCGATTTTTTGAGTTGGGTCGTTATCGTTGTTTGCTGGTTCTGCCAGGGATGAGGCAGCTTCAGTCGCGCGTTTCCATTTAACAGTCGACCATTTGGGTTTATCTTCTTCTTCTTCCTCCTTCTTGACCACCTCCTCGACGTTCTGTTGGGGCTTTGGCTTGGGTTTCAAGCTGATAACACCTGGATCATACACCTCTCCCAACCCAGACCTCAAAGTCTTTTTCCTCAATTTAAAACTCCGTGCATCGTCGTCGTAGTCTAGTGGTTGTTGTTCGTCTGCAGTGCGTTTCAGAGTAGTAGTTTTGGATTCAACAACCTGCCACTCCCCCGCTATACCCTGGCTCTGCCGCAAGGCCGCCTCTGCAGCTGCACTTTCTGCATCTGGATCGACATACCCGAGTGAGGCTGGCGAACTGTAATTGGTGAACGGGTTTGATGGTTTCGAATTTTTCGTTTTCGACGTCTGAGGTGCGGGTTTTTGCGCCAAGGTAGACCCCGACGCTTTCGCCAGTCCAGCACTGATATCCTGCGAATAAGCAGCCTGGGCAGCAAGTTCAACTCTTCCCATCTCCCTCTTCTCCTCTTCTCTCTCCCTGCCCTTCTTTTCTCCATCTTTATATATCCCCCGGATGAAGCGCTCTCGATTCCCTTGGTGTCTTAACCCATTCTCGTGATGTTGACGCGACGGTGCGTCGTCGGCGATGTAAATTTCGCAGTACTTGCAGAAGTATTTCTTTTTAGAGATCCAGTACTCGCTCATGGGTAAGGTCAAGTTATCTTACTACGCGGCATCACGGCATATCTGACAACCCGGCAGCGTCGTCCGTCACGATTCATGCACTGAGACGTTCCAAAGCTCAAATTCTCACTGCACCTGGCGTCCAATCTTAGCCAACTTCGACAGCCCGAAAGCCCGGATATGTGGGTCATACTAATTCAGGATTTGAACTCTGCACCGCCGCAATGCGGTAAAGATCTACACAAGTATGTATATTTTACAGCTTTTTTCTGCTCTCCAATCCTCTTCTCATTCCCCCGTCGTTTGTCGATACTAACGCAAGATCATGGTTTGGACGCAGCTACAAGCTCGGAGTGACTCTGAACCTTATTTAGAGAGGGAGGGTGTGTTAGTTCATGTGATTCCTCCTGCTGTGAGCGCTCCTCCATTCGGGTGACTTCTGTTAAAAACTAACACTCGAATCCGGTAGATCTCATTACTACTCTATGGTGCATATACTTATCCCTCCAGTTATTCTTTCTCTGAAAGCTACATTTTTTATTTTCAGGATGCTATCTCCCTATCTTCGTTGCTTGCATGCTCATCGTATACCGGCGTAAACGCAAAGCTTACAAGACCCAGATGTTAGCGATGGTATTACTCGCCTTGGCTAGCACTGCATCGGTGATCGTTCAATGCGTGAACCAAGGGAGGGCATTGTTGGCGTTATGGGATTCAAAGGCTGCGTTGAAGGGTGATGCAGGAGAACGCTCGAAAATTGTCCAGGATGATATGACGACGGCGTTAATACATGACTATGCGGTGCTTGGTATATATATTTTCTCAAAGTGCGTTACTGGACAGTTCTCCCGCATCGAAATATCTGCTTATCATCCCAGTGTTATAGCGGACGCTTTGCTGGTTAGTTGGTGTTCCCATTCCAACGAAGCAAATGGACAGGCCTGATAAGTTTTCTCTCCATTGATCCTCCAATGTGCAGCTTTATCGGTGTTTCATCATTTGGGAGAAAGACATGCGCGTGGTGTTGCTTCCTGTTCTGGGGTTCTTGTGCAATCTCGGTGATTAATACTATTGGTATAAACCAACCCTCTCAATGATCTTTTCCGTACAGTTCTAGGGATTCTGGGATTATCATACAATGATGAATTCGTATTTTATTTTTGGATATTGACGATTGTAGAGAATATCGTTCTCACAACACTCATCAGTACGTCCTCACTTTAGCTTTTCCTGTTTGCTTATTGTCGTGGTACACAGCTGGAAGAATCTGGTACATTAATCGCACGTCTGGCGAAATCCTTGGCTCTACGGTAAAGACGAGATATAATATGATTGCTGCCATCATGTACGTACTCTATTGACATGCGCTTAAATTCTTCTTGAGACAGTGACCTTTCGCAGCTTGGAATCTGGGTCTGTCTACTCGGCCATTGTGCTTGCAACTTCAATAACATCAATGATGCCCCATAATGCCATATTGGCTTCGTGCATGTTAGCCGCTGCGACGCAAGTTGTTGTAAGCCACTTAGCGGTCATGGTACTGCACCTCTTTTTAATATTTTTTGCAACAGGGTATTGCGCCTTGTCTCATTATCATCCGTGTTGCTTTAGACGTCGACACGCGGGACCCAGAGCTTGCTTCCATAGCTATCATTACTAGTCATGCGACACAACATACGATGCAGGACCCTTCTGAATTGCAGAACAACATACTGGAATCAGAAGAGGCACTTTTTTCCAAGGAGGTGAAGGAAAACACTGGGATTCATGAACAAAACCTTCATGTTCGAGTCTGGGACCAATTCCATAGTCAAAATACTGGTCAAGGCAAATATAGTGCAATCGTAGATACTGATGATGGCGAAGATTCAAAACTCAACAGTACCAATGCATCATCTACCAGCATGATAGACTCTCGTACTCACGTCGACGACATGCCTACACCCAAGCCCACACCGAATGCACAGCAGGTGGAGTTTGCAAGATCGGATACGGCAGTGCTGGGATGGTACTCGCTAGAACCGAGTTCAGGTTCCTAGTGGCTCGAAACCTATCACAGAACCATAAATTACATTTACCGGAATTAAAATTGTATTCTATAGTGAAAATAATGTCAGACTCCTAAGTAGCTCTATGTATAGCATTTGCCCACGACAATAATTTCACTGGGTTTTTGACTTTCCTCTGCTCATGGCTTCCTCTCCTTTTCCTCGTAGCACATCCCTCATTAACCACTCTCCAAGCACACATATACCACCAGACCACAGCGTAAGCAGAGATGTGATGACGAAAAAGGATATAGTCTGGCCAATCTCGAGCCAGGAGCCTAATTCATTGAATGTGACAAGTCATCAAATCGAAAAAAGAAATTTGGAAGGAAAAGTTACCTGTATCAGTAACGTTGAAGAAGAATATCAATGTCATTCCTGGAGAATGATAGATATTCAGTCAATGAGTTGTCCGTTACGAACCGGACAAAGTGCTTACCGTCTGTAACACACAATGCTACGAGGAACAGGGAGAATGGCGGTAGGCCAAGGGAGTGCGTGACCGCTGCTGTGGCAATGGCTAGAATCACGTAGGGCGTGATGATTTTGCATACCTGGACAGAGCAATCAAAAGAAATCCAGGGAAAAAAGCTACAAAGCCTACTAAAAGTCCACTCATGAAGAACGGATTGAAAACTGGAACGAGGCGATACACCGGTGAGAGGTAGAACGATGAAACTGAGGCCACACTGTAAAGGACGTAAAAAGTGTGGGAATACTCAAACGCTAACGCGACCCACTTTCCAGTCCCAAAAAACGCAATTTGAACAAAGAAAAGGAAAAACAACGCAATACGAAGGTCGTCTGCTTTGAAACGATATATTGATAGGATTTCTTCGCCACTACGAGTGCCATTTACGTCCCCAGCAACTATCCTCGGCCTACTCACAACTCTCTCTACTTCGGCCCAAAGGCCCATGACGAACGTATACGACACGAAGAACAAGGTCTCGTCGCTAAGTGAGAGGATGATGAAGAGTGGGGTTAGACCGAGAAGGTAGCGTAAATATAGAACTTGTTTTGCGGCAGGTGCTGTCGCATCGATAGACAGCACAGGTAAGAAAGTAACAAGGAGGGAAATGACTATGCAAGTGAAAAAGGATATGAAAAAATTTTCTAGACGAACATGGCAGCACTCACTCAGTACGGACCATCCTGTAGCCTGGCACCACTTCGGTAATCCTTCTTTTGCTTGAAGACTGAGCACGGAGCTTCGGGTCACCAAGAGAGCAATCAAGATGAGAAGAGACTGAGTAAACGAGAAGAAATTAGAGACAAAAAAGCAAGGAAAGACAATGTAATTTACTTGAACTCCAACAAGGACGAGCACCACTTTTTTGTCCGAGTGATGTGGGACAAGGATGACAATTTCTCTCAGAATCATACCACCTACCAGAAGCGCTGCAAGACCCCCTAGAATTCTGCGAAAAACGTGGGCTGTTTTGACATTGGCATGGAAAGCTACCGTGACGGACATACATATTTCCCAAGTTTTCCTCCTTGTTTACCTTCAACAACGGAAATACAGCAGCTATTAAACAAGAGACTGTCCACCACCACGTTTTCTGCCCTGCGCTAATACGTTTAAGCTGCAAGGAGACGAAAATCAAGACCTCACCGACCCAATGACCTCCGCGATACCACATCCCATTGCAACAAAGGCCACGCAACTCCGATAATGATGAATCCGATGCTCCATATGGACCGATGAGTATATCCGAGCACCATGCAAGATAAAGCGCAACCGACGAGTAGCGCGTTCCTTACAGTTTTGAATATTGTGCCTCTGTTCAATCTGAGCAAATCAGAGACGTGCAATGGATTCGCCGTGATTGTGGTGACCAGAGTGGAAATGACCCGATTCCAGAAAAAGACCTGCGGCAGACCAGATAGTATTTTGGAGTTGCTTGATAAGTGGAACTTTGACTCACGGGGAACCCCAGATACAGATAATAGGTCCATGGTGCACGTTCCATCCAGAACATCCCGCTCATGCCGAAAAGTACGGCTAGACTGAGAAACTGTATCGCTACAGTGGCTATATTGTGGCTTCCGACTCGCTTTGATGACAAGGGAAAGAAAACCCGAGAACCCGCCCACGCGGCCCAGCCCGTATACGCCATGCTCACCATAGCACGAATCAGAGTCCGCTCGTACGTCTGGAGGTAGTGAAGTCCTGCGAGAGCATCAGCGATGAGGCGATCGGAATGATGATTGACTTTTTCATGAATCGAGAACTCTGAAGAATTGCTGAAGATATATTCTTCGAGCATGTCAAGTTCGCGTATATACCGGTCACCCGAAAGAGAAGGAAAGGGTGTGTAAAATAGTTTGTGAGTTTGTTTCAATTCTAGTCAGCACTTGTCAATTCTATGCAAAGCAGTAACTATAAAAGACACAAAACAGACCATGCTTTACACGATACTGTTCCAATATCACTTTTGCATTGACAAACTTGACTTGGGCTTTGAACCACTCTCCATCTTGTTTGGTTCCATCTCCACGAACTTTTGAATCGACTCCAGTTGTTTCGGAAGGGTTCAGTAAATCAACAGGCACGACTCCTACACTATTCACTGGCCAGTTAATCCCGAGGAGGGCTGTCATGAGAGGAGCAAGATCTGCTTGGTCGATATCGCGGCGATATAAAAGCTCGTTCGAACTGGAGCGGAATTCCCATCCTTCCGAGTACGCGTCGTGCGAGGAAAAACCAGCGTCAGCTAGAGGACCGCGTAGGCCTTTGCCCCAGACGATATACGGAGTCCTGGTGTATATAAGTACTAGAATACACCAAGAAACCTATCTGGGAGATTTTACCGAGTGTTATCCGGATGGCCGTCCCCATGATTCCCAATGACACTCATTCCATGGTCAGCGGTAAACACAAAACTCGTATCCCCATCGTGGCCATAAAATTCTTCGACCATAGCTTCCACTTCGCGAACGATACGATCAACGACTTGAATGTTGTGCATGTATTCTCTTGAGAAGGGACGATATGAGTGGCCGGTGGTGTCAAGACCCAGAAGGTGCAGGAAGAAAACAACGCCTGATTGGTGAAGTGATTCTGAGAATGAGTTGTCGCGTAAGAGCTCTCGGAGACGTTCAAGAACCCAAAAGTCAAGGGCAGTAGCATCTTTTGTGAAGTCCTCCTCACTCTCATCGTAGCACCACTCGCTCACTCGTCCTTCCGCGCTCTTCGTGAACATCGGTACAATATCTGGACTCCCAAAGGCCCAAGTTCCACTGCTCCGGTTGAAGACTGAATCAAACTCGACCGGGTTTACCTTCCATCCCTTCGTTACTGCTGATACGTCTTCATACATCCCGGCTATAATGGCTACGTGCCCCGGCCGACTCTCTGTTGGTACACGCGTGTGAGAAACACCGTACGCGCCTCGGTTGGAAATTATTGAGTGCAGGTAAGGCGCGACGACGTCAATTCCTTCCGTATCGTTGGAGGGTAGTGCTCCACGAAACCCGTTTGACTCGAAAAGTAAATCTGCGCGTAGACCATCGGCTGCAACGAGACATATTAAATGTAGTAGTGTTAGCTGGGAGAGAACACTCACCGGATATTAGTACAACTCTCTTGCTAAGCCTTTCATCATTCACACTTACGTTAAATGCCTGCATTCCATGCACCACCGGGCTTGTGAAGTAGCAATCAAATACAGAGTATATGAAGATGAGGTGAAAGACGAAGCCAACAAGCAGAAGAGTATTGAGTGAAGGAAGAGAGATGGGTTTTCGCGCCTTTTCTTTCTCCATCGTTGCCATGGACTAGAGTCAAAGATCTATTGTCAGATTGTCCAGCTGCAGTTACTTGAGTAATAGCCTGTATGCCAAAACTGAGTTCATCCACACATGGTCGCAGCCTGGTCGCAGCTGAGGACAGGGAATCTTGACGCTCACACGTTGACTGAGGGCGCCTGTCTGATTGTTTCATGAGTAACGAGACCTTAACTTTAAGTACAGCATAACAGTTCCTTGTAGAAGGAACCTGTCGAGGATCCTCATTTAACTGCAACCTTATAGAGGATGAGCTCCGGTTAACGACGACCGCGCAGCTGTTAGCAAGATACTAACGCATTTCATGAAATATTTGGAGGACGTGCAGCGTACTGTATTAGAATGACTTGAAAATAGCAATGAAAAGATGGAAAGTTTGGATGAATACATGAGGATTAATTTGGCGTGTGATATGGATACAGTAACGGGGGACCCTAAGAGGACAGAAGACAAACTGCGGTAAAGCAAAGTTGGACTAGCCTTATTACTAACCAGTGACGGTGCGAGAGATATCCGGTTTCAAAAGCGATAAATGTCTCCCTGTTCATCGTCAAGATCAACGAAGTAAGCAGACTCCAAATCGGGATCGTCGTCGTCCCCAGAGTGAATGCCGTCTTGATAGTTCACCTCATTATCGTCAATGTCGGAATATTTGCTATCATCATCGATCTCTTCACTATCATCATCGGACAAATGTATACTTTCTTCTTCTCCTTCGTCTTCGTCGTCCGAAAGCAAATTGATAGTAGTCTGTGCACGATTGACACGGCGTCGAACTGGTCGAGCTGGACCTAGGCTGTCGTCATCGTCTTCCTCGTCAGTTACTTCGATAACCTCACTGGGTCCATGACTCGAGTTTATTGCTCCAACGCCGTCATAGTCAAGGTCAACTTCTTCAACATTCCGATCCCCTGGTATCTCCTGGACATCTTCCAATTCCTGGATATCACTATCATCATCAATGAACCCATCCATCCGGTCTACCTCGTCTTCTTCGCTGTCCGATCCTAAGATTTCTACATCCAGGGCCCTATTGCGCTCGACCCTAGCACGACGACCGAGGGTTCGCCGCGGCAAGGGTAAGTGATACGCGAGGTCAAAGAATACATCTTCATAATAGTCGTCGTCCTCTTCATCGTCTTCTTCGTAGTCTGCTCCCTCTAAACGGTCGTCAAAAGCCAACCTGAAAAATGGTTCCACATCCTCATTGCCTTCAGAATCGTCACCGAAATCGATACCGCGATGAGCTCGGTATACCCGATGACAGTTTGTGCAAAAACCACCGGTGATTTCGTGCATGCAATCTACGCAGCGATAGACACCACCGTCCTCGTCGTCACGAATTCCAGCATCTTCACGCGAGGCAAGAGAGAGCAAGGTGTCACGATGAGGATAAAAAATGCTTTTCCATAGCCCTTCTTTGGAAGGCTCTGTTCCAGATCCTGGCTGGCGTCCATTACTACTACTTGCCACCGGCTGACCGTCAGACATTGGTATTGGAGGTATCCCAACCAGCAAGCCAGTCCCTACAAGGCTATTGACCATGTTCTTAACGGCCCAAACTTCGACTGGTGGATCACGAACGGTAGCTCGACAGTGTGGACAGCTCTTTTTGCGGAGATAAATCGGTGCTTGGTATGCATCCGCGCCTTCGTCGGGGGGACGAGAGAACCATGACATGAGACATGAGTAGCATGCGATATGACCGCAAGGGGCAAGCGCATAAGGTTTGTAGAGTAGGTCGAGGCAAATCTGACAGGTAATGTTTTGTTGAACTTGGGACATGGCGTTTTCATGTGTACTGATGAGCTAAACAGATAGTTGGTTTGCACATTGCTATGGATCTAGTGTGATAGACAGATTGAAGACTTACAGCGGATTTTGTGGCTAGTTCTGCATTCAGATTCTGGATGTCGTTGATGCTCGTGTCAGGTGCTGGTACTGAACTTGCCACATTCGCATTCGTATATATCGCAGCGGGAACAGCAGATTCTGACGGCGGCTGGCTCTGCATCCGAGTAATGAGATTAATGAGTAGGAGTGTGGAGTATATGGCTTACAGTTTCTTTAATTTGGTCGAGAAGTTCAACAGCGGGCATCGAGCGCACCGACGAAGTTATCGTAATGGGAGCACTGGACTTGATAATAGAGTCAATACTAGCAACCACCGGCTGCTTCTTCTTCTTCTTCTTTCGCTTTTTCTTGTCTTTCTTTGTGGTTGCAGTGTCACCGCCTCTCAATTTCTTGAGACTACGGCCCTCTGCATCACTAGTATCTTCAAGACTTGGCCTTTTCCTAGATGTAGTATCGATGGTGCTGGGAGCTGGAATGGCCTGACGCGTAACGGAAGAAGACATAAAGAGATAACATTGACAAAGTGTCTTGAAACCCAAAGTGGCGCGTGTTGTTTGTGTTTGCTTGGATCCGAAGTCCGACTACCGGAGGTGTGCGGGATGCGATTTGATAATGAAAAAAGCCCCTCGAATTCGCCTCCTCTTTGAAAGTTGTTTTTCACCTCCCACTTTATTGCGCTCTTGCCAGTGCACACTGTTCTAACTCTACTCTCCTGTATCAACCTCAACATCGTCCTTGCTCAAGAGTTCACTTACGAAGGCGGTAACGAACTCTGGCTAAGGCAACGGTCGGTGAGAAATTCCATTGCCCATACGGAGCAGGCATAGATTGCCCGTGCTGAATTATTCCGGCATTAATCCTTGGATTATATAGATACCGTGTGCGGCTATATATGTCGAAAAAGCGTTTATCGTGGTCCCCATCAAATCTGTTGTCTTTCCTTCCTTATCCCTCTATGCAAACCCTTCTGCTCTCGCCCAAGACGGAAGAAACAACTCCTATCCACGACAGGGAGAGTCGGAAACCCTCAAGTGGCCGTTTAAATCTCAATTCAGGTGCAAAGCGTCCCTCGTCCAAAGAGCGCTCGCCAGTCCCTGGCGGTCGTTCATTACGTGCTTTTCATGCTGAGCCTTACGGTTACTCTCCTGGCCCCTCTCTTGCCATGAAGTCGAGTCCTAATTCCCTTCTACCCTCCCCGACATCACATTCATTACCATCACCATCCAAGACATCTTTTACCGATTCACGGCCGTTCTGGCTAACGCTGTACTTTTTCTTCAATCTCGGCTTGACACTATATAACAAGGGTGTCCTTGTTCGTTTCCCCTTCCCTTACACTCTTACTGCCATCCATGCGCTTTTCGGAAGCTTGGGCGGTGCTGTATTAGCGCGTTTCCAGGTCTTTGTACCGCCGAGATTAAAGAAGAATGAAACCACAGTTCTCCTAGCATTCAGTGTTCTATACGCGATCAACATTGTCGTCAGCAACGTATCCTTGCAGCTTGTCACTGTTCCCGTACGTTTCCTGTCATCCTTTTTTGGAATATGATCTAACCTAATACCTAGTTCCATCAAGTCATTCGGTCGACCACACCAATATTCACAATAATATTCTCTGCGCTTCTCCTTGGCAAGTCCAGCAGTCGCTGGAGAGTTATCACTCTCATTCCTGTCACTGTTGGTGTTGGCCTTGCGTACGTGGGACATATTTTATGCTTCAATTATATTTTCTCATGCTATCGCTCTGTTTCCCATCATTCAGAACATATGGTGACTACTACTTCACCCGCTGGGGACTCATCCTCACATTACTTGGAACCGTTCTTGCCGCCCTCAAAACTATCTTTACCAACGTGCTCCAATCTCCTGTGCCATCGCTCACTGATTCCACCCCAAAATCGTTCCTAAGCCAAATTTACCCATTTTCTATTCTCGCCCAAGCAAGGTTACACCTCAACTCCCTAGCACTGCTCTCCTTGCTATCGCCACTCGCTTTTGTGCAGTGTGTGGTTTTGGCATACTTGACTGGGGAATTAGATCGGGTGAGGCTGTACTCTCAGCAGGAAATGACTGGGACGAGATTGTTGGCACTGGCGTTGAACGGCTGCATTGCATTTGGGTTGAATGTGGTCAGTTTCTCGGCGAACAAGAAGGTGGGAGCATTGGGTATCACAGTTGCTGGTAAGCCTCGGCTCATTTTTTGCGATGGATATCAGGAAACCGTTTAAATCTTACTCTGCGCTGATTCTCTTATCACCAGCCAATGTTAAGCAAGTCCTTACGATATTATGCGCGGTGATGATGTTTCACCTCAACATCACTACATTGAATTCACTGGGCATACTCTTAACGCTCTTCGGCGGGGCGTGGTATGCTCGGGTGGAATACATGGAAAAGCAAGAGCAACAACAGCAGAGAAATCGTACGATATAGCAACGTGGGCATATTTTAATGATGTGCTTGTTGAACGGATTTCGCTGCTTGGCAGTCGTCATTCAGAAATGTTCACCAAGTCAGACACTTGGATTGCTGTTCCGGATTTTACTGGGATTTAGATTCATAGATGACCCGTGCGTGGCTCGCACATGTATTATCACCACTATATTCATTTATTGGTCTTGGTCGAAACGTCCACCTAAAGTAGCTTTCCCGTTTCTCCCTGCAATAATCCAGCACTGGTCCACTGGTTCTTTTGTTACACTACATTCCACATCCCCACATTGCTAGTGTTTCAGTTATCAGAACATTCCACTTCACGTCACATATTGTTTGGGCCTCATACGTGCGTGCATAGATAGGTTTCCGTATTTCTTCTCGTCCTTGTGCCATATTTTATCAATCTAAGTACTTTGTCTATTCGTCGTTCATTACATAGTCTCTCTTTCATATCCTCTGCATCCTGTCTTTATACACCCCTGTACATGACTATTTCCTAACGAAAGGTTATAGATGCAAACGTCCTATTCAATGAACTACCACCGCTCAGTGCTATGTGCATCTATAATCACTTTCAATGTTCAATGCCCTCCTGCAAAGAAACTCGGCGGCTTCAGGACCCCCGGGAAGGTCTAGGTTGAATAGACGGGCACTTGAGGCCGCAATTGATAAGATACTTGCGATTTGCTGCCTTGTGGCCTTCGGAAAAGTAGATCTCCGACTGTCTCCAACCAACATTCCAGCTGTACTCACGCTGCAATAAACCAATTCGAACGCCGAAGGTGAGCGAGAATCCGAATACACACTAGATCTATCGTCTCGTTTGAGCTTGAGCCTGTCTTGAGCAAAAGTAGAAAATGGGAGAAGGAGGAAAAAGGAGAAACAACGTTCAACGTTGCAACTTAGATCTCTTTATTTCCCTTGGATAATCTTCAGCGATCGCATTGAAGATAATCTTCAAGGATGAAGCATCTTCACCCCTATACTACTAGTACCCTATACACTACACTCGCTTCCTGCTCGCTTCCGCAATCACCGTTTTGCTTGGCGCTGGTAGACTTTCGGAGGCAAGTCGAGGCAAGTCCGGAGTTGGACCGCGACCTACTCATGACTGGGAAAGCTCCGTCTCACTCCTCGAAGCTCAGTAATAATCTGGTAATAATAATTCTTCCTTCCATTCAATTTCTGCATCAATTCTCGACTGAGGGGAGTAATGTGACTGCTGCTGCACCGGGAATCTCCCTATCCTCAGCAACAATATCTCGACACCCCCCCCTCCCCTCCCCCTTCATTTCCTTGACAGATAGATAGCCTTGTTTTTCTCCCCGACAGCAGTCTGATCTTCTTGTTTTGCCCTGAAGTTCATTCTGTTCTGGAGTTTATCAATACTATTTGAACGAAGTGTGTTAATGATAACTTTGGTCGATCTTGACTCCGGAAAGAAGAATGGACTGAATCACGAGAAGTTACGACGGGGGCTTGATAGTGTTTCCTGACGCAATGACCTCACTATAGATGCATCCATTCAGATGTTGAAAAGTCAGGCGTCTGATATGGTAGCGAAAGACAACAACAAGGCGATAAGTCAAATGAAAAATAGTTTACATATACAACAATGAGGACAACATTGGAAGGGTATGGGTGGAATCCGGCGCGCTACAAAGTCGAGCGATCAAGAATCGTTAGTACATAGGATTTTGACGCCGACGTTGAAATACCCTGGTCCCAAGACGAGTGCGCCGCCTGGAGGCGCCACCACTACGACTAGATTTCCGTCGTTTCACGCGGGTGGAAAGACCAAACACATCGCCCAGATGGCCCCAAAATTCCACAAATACCGAGGGCTCATTCCTATCCTTGCGTGAAATCTTCACAGGTTTCTCAACGCCATAAGGACCATAACGTTTGCTATAGAACTTCATCAAAGCCTTCGACTCCGCCGCACGCCTCTCCTCAACCTTCCTGGCCTCCTCTTGCTCATCCTTCGTACTGATCTCAATCAAGGGCTTATCCAACAGAATCTCCTCCATTTCCCGTGCAGTCGCCATCGACTCGTAATCAATTTCGTATTTAACCTCTCGTCCGATACCCGTCTTCTTCACTTCTGGGATTTTCACGTCCTCTCCCCACCAAAGTTTACAGACATGGCGCATCAGAGACAGATCGTTCATTGGCACTTTCCAGACCGGTAGGCTAAGCATCTGCCGCCGCCGATTCATCTCTTCGATACGGGAGGTGAGGAAAGCTTGGAGCTCGCTGACGTCGGGTTGGTCTCCCGGTTGATCGAGATATAGGAGCCGACGTTCGAATTGTGCAAATGGCATCCCACTCCAGGATGAACGTGATGCAGAGGGAGGCATGTAGTCGCGCAGGTTGGAGACTGGACGCGAAGGTAGTGTTTTGTCTGCTCGAGGGACAGCGGAAATACACGTCAAGAGCGACGCGGACGAGTCTGCATGAAGTGCCGGAAGCATACGAGGTAGAGTAGGACGACGAATGGCTGGTCCAGCAGCTGCAAGATGGTGAATGGGGAGATTAGGAGAGTAAGAGTCCATGCTACGGAGGGTGGCTTGGGGTTGATGATTTAGTGGAAGAAGTTTCGTAGAGAGAGATAAGTATGGGGATTTGTGAGTTTGATTTTCCGCTTGGGTTTAATAAAGGTGCAAAGGCAGCTTTGACCATCGTCGAGGATTGGACAGACAATGGGCCATTATAGCGCCACAGTGGATAAAGGCCCATCACGAGATTTGTCGTCCGCCAGATTTGGGTATCAAAGCAGAGTTGAAATGGCTAACAAAGGAATTACAGGACTTTACCAGGGTCGAGGCAGGCAACGAGGCAGACAGTGTTTTGTCCTCGACTGATAGTAAGACAATTGCAGTATTTCTCTAATCAAGACTCACTCTGAGCGCGCGTCTTCCTGAGGCTTCAATCTCCTTCGATGTCATTTATATGAAGAGCGTACATACATGTCTAATTGTAATTTTGGAGATTTAGTCTTGATCGCTTTGGTCCCTTGGTCGATATTTAATTCCCCGGCTTTCCAGTTCTGCTTCCACGTCTTCCGGCACTCGACCTTTCACTCGGACTGCGTACATACCGCGAGCATATTTTGCTTTTCCAAAGTCCGTGTCAGCTGAAAATTAAGCGATGAGCAGGTATTGAATTACGCACCGGTTCGCTGCCATCGAGCAACCCAACTCGTCTCAGGATCTATTAGTGCAATGACTCCGTCGAAGTACGAAGTACTACAAGCAAGAATACGATCTGGGTTATCTTTCAACTGTGAAAGACGGATAAGAAAGAAATCAAGTGCGTGATGACTCATTCCACTACCTGAAGAATCTCTTCGCAATTAGGACAACCAATGCTCCGAAAATCTTGGGAGGTTTGAATTATAGAGCAGAGTAAACATGCTCGCAAATGTCTACTTTTGGTGGCAGGAATAATGGCACTGGCTGCATCGCTCATGATGGTTAGGTCTAGGATGGGTGTTACGTAACTCATCCCGACTTAGAAATTAACTCAACCTACTGAAGCCTACCCACTGGCACTGCGCCGTGTAATTACTTCCTATTCCTATGAAAAATGTCGGCCAGCAAATGACTTCGGGTTCGTTAACTTTTAGCTCTTCTCGACTACTTACGAAATTGTGATCCAAAGGCGCTGTGTCCGGCTTGACTTCAACCATTGCCTTACAACCATGTAAGGCTCTAGAGCTATTTAGTTTTGTCGTTTAACCAAAGCATCTCACAGCATCTTGCAGTTGACCTCTTGAAGACCCGGCTACAACAAGGAGACAGCGTTCAAGATCGCAAGTATGTGGGTTCATATTTCGCTTGAGACTGTGCGGTCTAAACAAATTATTACTCATAGTGTATCCGTCCTGAAGACTATAAGGGAGGTCTTGAACTCCAATGGAATGCGAGGGCTTTGGAGGGGAACGGCGCCTTCCTTGATACGGTGCGTAAACCATTAACCCATTTGCGAAATGTTTGAATAATCATGACCGTTTAGTAACGTCCCCGGTGTAGCGCTGTACATGACTGGTTTAACCCAGCTCCGGTCTATCATGGCTTCATCCCAATACTTTACTGTTCCAATCATCCATAATCAACCAAATGCGACGCACAGCTCCGTGTTACCTAAACTCACGAATACTGGGAATCTTGTCGCTGGTGCAACAACTCGAGTGGGAGTGGGACTTTTGATGAATCCTCTTACTCTGCTCAAAGCAAGATTCGAGGTGTATATTGCTTTATATCATTTCACCTTCGGTCTGTGCTGATGCAAGTATACCAAGAGTAACATTTATGCATATCAAACGCTATCCGGAGCATTCGCCTCTCTTGTCCGATCAGGTCCCACCGAACTCCTACGAGGCGTATCAGCCGCTTCGTTGAGGGATGCACCGTATGCTGGTATCTTCGTCGTGTTCTACGAAGCCTTGAAACGGAATGCCTGTAAGAAGGCACGGTACGACTGGTGTCAATGACTCAAATCATTTTTCTCGTAGCTCTCGTCGTAACACCAACCTCTCACACTCAGTCCTCAATACTGCACAGCGGCGCGGCGGCGGTGGCGGGCGCGCTTGCGACTCTAGCTACTCATCCCTTCGATGTTGTGAAGGTGCCACTTCGCACTTCTTTCGTGTCTAATGCTCATTGACTTTCTTTAGACCAAATTGCAAGTCCGCACTGAGAACCAATACCTTAGCTTTGCATCGACAGTGCAGACCATCTGGAGGGTGAGTTCATTGTTTCTTTTCAATTCTCAATATTTCAAACCATCTATCTTTAGTACCGTGGTATACGCGGCTATTTTGATGGTGCTTCCCTTCGGCTTTCACGAAAGGTCCTGAGTTCGGCTATAGGCTGGGCTGTCTACGAGTTCATTTTGATGTCTGTATGGTCTTGAAGGAAAAAAACACTTGTGCTGGACTCAAAATTAATTGATCACTTGAAAAGCTGCTATCTGTATATACATATATATCTTCAAGTTATTTCAGCAATGTGCTGTTTTCCTTGCTTTGATATATTTGTCTGTAGCCAGTGTTTCATGTGAGCTACTTCTGAGGCCTTGCACTCTAGCCCAAGACCCTTGAAATGGGAAATGGTAATGCAGTTTCTTTTTTCAACTGTCAGTCTTTTAGCTGAAAATCCAGGTTTTGAGATGTGTAAGACCTGGGTCAAAAGGGAGCTTGTGGGTGAGGTGGGTGGTATGAGATTGTGCTGTAGCATGCTAATAGCAGGCTGGAGCTCAAAGGGAGCTACAGTAACCATGACTGAGGACTGGAATGACTTAGTGGAAGTACAAGGGTGGTTTATAAGACCCATTGGAAGGTCCCTGGGGATCAATGTACAGAAGAATAGAGTAATGTAACATAGTTGAGGTGCCTTAATGGTAGGTGTAGATGTGTAGAGCAATGTCTAGGTCATCGAGGGGACCTGGGAGGTAGTCCTGGAGTCAGGGGAGGTTAGAGATTGTAACCTGAGACTCCAAGTGACATGATGTGTAGACATAGGGGAACTCCAACAGAATTTGTAGATAAGGTCCTGATGCTTTCAAAGTGAGTACATCTGCAAAACCTGGATATTCAGCTAAGGGCTGAAAGCAGATCCCAGTGCTGAAAGTACTGAAAGCAGTATGCTCTAAGTGCTTTCACTACTGGGATTTAATTAGTCTGGGAAGTACTCTCAACTGCTTTTAAACCCTTAGCCAAAAGTACAGGCTTTGCAGATGTAGGGAACTTCAGGGAGGTTTTTGGGTAGGTAGCTCAACAATATGGGGGACATTTGGGGAGGTTGTAGACTCACTTGGGTGCTTAGACATGATATAAAAGTGTATATTCAAAATGTAGAGAGACAAGAGATAGAGCAAAGAGACTGAGATTGAGAGTAAGGAGACTGAGATGAAAGGAAAATCCATATTGTTGGAAGGAACTTCCTTTTCTGGCCGATTCTTTCCGCTTCCACGTGACTTATACTATTTAGTTTGTATTTCGCACGCAACTTCCCCTCAGCTGTTTTGACCCTCATCGGATCGACACTGAGGCTTCATTTGTTCTTTGTATAGGATTGACCTCTAAGAGGTTATGGGTTTTTCTCTAGGTCTTTTTATACATTGAAACGATTCGAACCACTTTCGTGGCTATCTTAGCCAACAGCTCAACAACTGTTTCCTGAATTGACGCGTTCCTTCTCGCTTAACGAGATTCATCTCCGGAACCAATACTTGCTCCCGCGGATGAATACTGACGATCGTGGATCCCGAATGGATCTCACGGCACCTATTCACCGTGATCTACCTCGGACCCATTCGATTCCGTATCAGACGCCGGTATCTATCCCAGTTCGCCACAACCAACATTCGCCTGCATATATGCGTACCAGTAATCATGCCACGTTACAAATGGATGCGGGACCGAGACAAGACCATTCTTCTTCTCCTCGTTCCATTCATTCTTCTCCACATATCAATTCTCCTCTCCTTCATAGCACTGTTCCATCACTTCCTTCTTTTCCTTCTGTACCAAACATTCCTCAATCTGTTTCTGAAACCTGGCATCATCGTATCATACCCGCTTTCCAAAACTTGACTCATAACTTTACAACTCAGAATATGATTAATTATCAATGTCCTCTGCCTTCTGCTCCCCCACACTCATCGACTACTTTCATTCCTGACACATACACTCCACTTGGTTCTCCTCAATTTTTACCTATGAATTTCATACGATCACCTGTCTCGGTCCCGTCAGCCTCTGTTCGTCTCCCGTCTCGCATCGGCTCACGAATGGACAACAGCAATACCGTCGAACGAATGCCGACCCGTATTCTCCACCAGCCTCGACCTCACCGCATTGTTGATCTCAACCATCTCTCTTCGTCTGCCCAAACCATTCCCGAAATTCAGAGTGCACCGGCCGTCATGTCTCAGTTCCCGCAAGAACATTATCCTTTCCATCATCACCCTGACGTACCGCAGCATTGGATTCCATCGCCGCCTCGAGGACCTATCGATGGTCAATATCCTATGTATTATACTCCGTACCCTGTCTATCAGAACTTTCAGCCACCTCCCGAACAGCCACGTTCGACTACTCCTAAATTCAAAATCGAATACTCTTCTATCCACGCAACTTTTCTTGCAACAATTAAAGATGCCGATTCTTTGAAGGACCGTAAATCGTGGGTCAAATGGAATGAAGGCGTATGGCAGGCAGTCGCCGATGGTTTCGTCCTAGGCCACATATGTGATGAACCTTCTCCCGGGACTCCTTGGACTGAATGGAATACACCAATAGTTCGACCGAACATCTCCATTCACCCAACGAGAAAGCCCGTCTCAAATGGGATAAGAATGACAGGTGGACTTCTTCAATCTTAACTGCACATTTATCAGATGAGGCGCGAAACCACTTACCACCTATGATTAACGATCAAGGGGAAAGACGTACTGCGAGGCAAATATACCTTCGACTAAAGGCTGCATACCAAGCCGCCCCCGATAGGAAGGCATGCTTACGCATCCAGGACGAACTTGTCATAAAGTACGCAGCCCCTATCATTTTCCTTTTCTCACCGTCTCGACGCCTTTACTTGTACGATACATCATCCCATCACTGTCAAACCCCCATCGATTACTGATCCACCTGACCCATCTTCTCCTTCTATTGGCTTCCGCCACCTTCCTTGTTCCTAAACTGTACAGTATTACATCGTTGTTTCTTGCAGACCGGATTATGTATATATAGCCAACCCTCCACAGCCTGGTCCCTTATCTTGACCTCTCTGTCATTATCTGGGACCAGGTATGTGCTTACTTATTATTACCTATGACTACGATACTCAATATATCTCTGTCATTATCTGGGACCAGCCTGCTGTCATGAAGTATGTAGCCCCTATCATTTTCCTTTTCTCACCGTCTCGACGCCCTTACTTGTACGATTACATCACTGTCAAATCCCATCGATTACTGACCCACCTGATCCCCATCATCGATTACTGATCCACCTGTTACCCTTCTCCTTCTACTGGCTTCCGCCACCTTCCTTGTTCCTAAACTGTACAGTATTACATCGTCATTTCTCGCAGATCAGATTATGTATATAAAGCCAACCCCTCACAGCCTGGTCCCTCATCTTGACCTCTCTGTCATTATCTGGGACCAGTCGCTCCGCCTCACCACCTTGCTTAGTCGCTCCGCCTCATCGCCTTGCTTAGTCACTCCGCTTTCCTGCTCCGCTAGTCACTCTGCCTCTGCCGCTTCGTGACACCTGCCGCCGTTCTGCTTAGTCGCTCCGCCTTGTTGCCTTGTCCAGTTGCTCCGCCTCACCGTTCTGCTTAGTCGCTCCGCTTTCCCGCTCCGTTAGTCACTCCGCCTCTGCCGCTTCGTGACAGAACTCTTCAATTCTCAAATTCACGGCATAGATATCAAAAAATTCAATCTGAAATGGAGTTCCACCCTCACAACTTTACGAAACTACGGATACGAAATTCCCTGGGATACCCTGATATTGAAATACATATCGAAATTACCTTCAGGTGCTCGCTATATCTATCTCAAACAAACACTTGAGGAAGAATTCGATCAACCAGGTGTTATTCCGAACAGGGACTTGTTCGATAAATTTGCAATCCGACTCGAGAACACGCGCAACAGAGAACTTCTGGATCTTGCCGATTCTGGGGGTGGCACATACAATCGACGCTTCCAACGTAACGGAACTGGCGGGACATCTGACAAGCCACCAGAATCTCAGAGACCGAAGGATCCTTCGAACATTTCCAAACTGAATAGTAAACCATCTGCTTATGTTACAATGGTCACTTCTCCGAACTCGAACAGTACTTCCAAAATTGAAACGGTGGATAATGTAACTTCTGTACCTAGTGTTATTCCCACCACTAATACAACTGTTCATTCCACATACCCTGCGCAACGTCTGAAACCTTTTGCGGCCTTGTTATCATCATTTCCTAGCAATCCATCGCCAATACAAAACCTGGAAGTCGACAATCACATTGCATTCTCATCAGTCATTCAAAGGACCCAAACACTATTGGATTCCGCCTGTACGAACCACATCATCAACGACCGGAAATTCTTTTTCACATTTGATGAGGATGGCGCCCTTGCTGTACAAACCGCCAACTCAGGTATATTATCCACCAAAGCTTCGGGTACCTGCTACTTTGAGATGTGAATTGAAGGGATGGAAACACTCATTCTGGAAATGCATGATTGTTTGTATGCTCCCGATGCACCGGTGAACTTACTGTCTGTAGGCGCGATGCTTGAACACGGGTTTACATTCACCATGTCTCCTCAAACGGTGGAAATACATCCAGATCCGGAACGCTTTGCAGTTGCAGGTGTGATCCGACATTTATGCATACTACGAGGACGGTTCCTACTTCCTAACAAGGACTCTCCCGACTTCATCCATCTCGCGATGCCGGTATTCATTCCACGTATTCCGAATGGCGCTCTATTCCATGAACGTTTTGGTCACCCTGGCATTGATCTTACCAACGAACTCTTAACGGGAAATTCTGCACAGGGACTCGAGGAATGGAACGGCACGAAGATGCGAGGAATATGCGATTCATGTCTTAAAGGCAAATATCCGCGTTTCCCATACCCTTACCATGGCAATCGAGCTTCCAAACCACTTTAATTGATCCATACTGATACTTGTGGACCCATCGGGACTCTTTCGAACCACCAAAGTTCACATTTCAACATAATACTTGATGACTACACGAGTGCTCTATCGGGCGGCTGCTTCGCGAAGAAAAACCAAGCATTATGAATCATTAAATCAATGATTTCTACCTGGGAGAACATAATGTCTCCTCACAAGGTCAAGAACATCAGACTCGATGGTGCTAAGGAGTTTCATGGCTCGGAAGCTACAACGTATTTTGAGGAGAAGGGGATCCTGGTTCAGAAAACGGCAGCTTACTCTCACCAACAAAATGGGAAGGCCGAACGATGGGTCCGCATTATTGAAAACAATGCAATGACAATGCTCGTTCACTCTGGCTTACCTCTACAATTCTGGGAAGACTCAGTCCGAACAGCAATCTATGTTTGTTTCCGTCTACCAACAAAAACTCTACCTGATAACAAAACTCCGTACGAAATGGTCCACGGACATCCGCCAAACCTATCACATCTCCGAGTATGGGGATGTCAATGTTGGATCCAGGTCTCGGAAGACATCCGTCTTAAATTGGGAATAAGATGTTGGAGGGAATCTTCGTAGGCTATGAGGATAATCGAGTAGGATGGAGGGTCCGCGATACGAATGGGAAAGAACATTTTTCAGACCAGGTTGTCTTTAATGAATCTCAGTTCGGTCGTCTCCGTAGTCCACGCTCACCAAAATCTAATACAACTACACTTTCTCCACCAGCAAATTCTCAAGAACCACTCTCAAAACCTCCACTGAACCCACCGAATGGTCCTCGACCTCGGCGCACAACTAAACTGACGGAACGAGGGAAGGAATGGCGTGAAGGAATCCGGAGGCAGGATGAACTTATTCAAGAACGACGAGTTGTTGAAGGACTTTCTCCTATGCGTGATACACAAGTTGACCTCGATATCATAGGCTGTTCACTCGCTTGCCGACTACTGGAAGACAATTTTGATTGCATCAATGATGATTCGGAATTTTTCTTTGCTGCCCTCGCTAACATCCCTAGTCCTTTTCATCCAATAAAACCGACTTCAACATCTACTTCTTGACCCCGTAATTTCGATCTCAGGAAAGCACCGTCAACCCGCCGAGAAATGCTATTACAATCTGACTTGAATGAATGGCTCAAAGCTGAAGAAAAGGAAATATCTGGTTTGTTTGATCTCGGCGTCTTCGAGGAAATACCAACTTGTCCAAAGGGGAAATTTCCAATCGGACTCAAAATGGTATACGACCTTAAACTGGATGGCACGAAAAAGGCTCGCCTTGTCGCCCAAGGTTTCACCCAACGACCTGAAGACTACGGCAATGTTCACGCTCCGGTAACTCGAATGGTCTCTTACTGCATCGTCATGGCTTGAACCGCTCAGATGGACCTTGAGTTGTATTCTTTTGATGTCAAACAAGCTTTTCTAAATGCACCACTAGCCGAGGAGATTTACGTCAAACAAATACCAGGTCGTCCTATTGCTACCAATCCCAACGCTGTCTACCGTTTACATCGAGCATTGTATGGTCTTCACCAAGCATCCACGGCGTGGTATTCGACACTATCTAAGGCACTGGAAGATATTGGTTTCAAACGATGTGAATGCGACAATGCTGTTTTTATCGGTTGATGGACAACGCCACCCAACACTTCCATTACAATGCCGACGAATGGTAATCCACTTGTCATGCTTATTCCAGTCCACGTTGATGATGGACTAGTTTCTACCAACTCCGCAGCTCTTTATCGTTGGTTTATTGCTCGAATCAATGAACAATTCAAAGTAATCGATTTGGGACCGACATCGACTTTCCTTGGGATAAGAATATATCGGGATCGCCCATGCCATCTCTTATGGCTCTCACAGGAATCCTACGTCGAAGACATCCTTGAACAATACGGCCTTACCGAATGTATTACCCATGACCTGCCCCTCCAATACAAATTTGATGGTCCCGATCCTAATCCGACTCTTTACGCTGATGTAGATCCAGAATCGTTAACAAAGATCTATCAGGGCCTCATTGGCTGTCTCCTATTTCTAGCTCTTTGTACTCGACCCGATATTGCATACACCGTTATGTTTCTTGCACAATTCAATTCAAAACCGACGTCTCGACATCTCATTGCAGCAAAGGGAACTCTTCGATATCTGGCGAAAACCCGAACTTGGTCTCTACAGTATGGAGGAGATCACCGGGCTGACCTCATTAAGACTCTCGGAATCAAATCAGACACCATGGCTCTTTCCGACGCCGATTGGGGTAGTAACTCCATTGATCGCAAGTCTATTTCTGGATTCGGAATATTTCTTTTTGGTGGTCTGGTTGCCTGGTCGGCGTCGAAACAGAAAAGTATCGCCTTGTCATCCACTGAAGCTGAATACATGGGCTTGACCCACGTCCTGAAGGAATTACTCTGGGTTAGAGTATTTACGGCTTTAATTCCACTTCCGATTCCTGTTCCATTTCCTCTGATTTCTGATAACCGTTCTTCTATTGATATAGCAAACTCACGCTCCGTATCCAATCGTTCCAAACACATTGATATCCGTTATCACTTCATCTGTTCCCATATTGAAGATGACTCGATCACTACCATCTGGTGCTCCTCACTCGACATGATTGCCGATATCTTTGTTAACGTAGGGTTAAGCTCAGTTGATATGAAAACAACTCTATATTATCT